TCCCAGAGAAGGCGTTTGCTAGTTATATCCTTGTACTCTACTAACCACATTGGGTATGAGCTCTTAATGAAATCAATGTATTTAGAATCGTCAACAAGACTTGAATTAAACTTCCAATAAGAAGGGCCCGGTTTGTGATCAGCGACCTTTTTAAAGATCAAGGTGGTAGCTGAATGGTCTGTTTTAATTGCAGGAATAATGTCGGTAGAATAAATATCCTCTTGACACGAATTGCTTATTAACCAAAAGTCCAACCTACGCTGAATGGTAGAGTTAGGTTGTCTCCATGTGAACCGCTTTTTTCCTGGGTGACGCATTCTCCAAACATCTGTTAACTCATTGGCTAACATGATGTCTTTGACAATATCCACGCTTTTTTGTTTAATCTTTGGATTACCACCAAGACAATCCAAAATATCATCAAAGAAAATGTTGAAATCGCCACCTATGATGATTTTACACTTCAGATAAAAATCGAATCTATCCAGCTGGCTTTCAATCTTTTTAAAAAAGGCTTGTAAGTTGATCATCCTGACAAATTCTGCTTTGTTCACAATTAAACCCTTACCTATAACCGTATTTGTTTTTTTTTTATTATTATTTTTTTTCTTTGGCCCAGTGGAAGTTCTAGCATTTTTGCCTTTTCTTTTGCTGGCTCTAGTGTTCTTCGATTATTCTCGCAAATTTTTTCCAAATTTACATCGCAGGAGGGGCAAGACTATCAATCCAACTACCACATATAAGTTGGTTTTATTACCTGATAATTTAAATTGGCCACCGTGAAGATTTTCTAAAGCTGAGTTTTCGAGCGTTAGCCCTTTGCTCTGAATAAGGCTAACGCTCGAAACTTCAGCTTAAGGAGATCTCTATGGTGGCCAATTTACATTATCAACTAATTTTATTAAACCAAATTATCTTGTTATACCCCTTCCCTCCCCTGCACAGACACAGCACCACTGTTTCCATAACAACTTACCTCCTTTATCCAACTACTGCATAGTCTTTATTGACATAAAATACTTCCTGCATTTAAAGGAGACTGATTTGCAAACGAAATTTTAGAGCTATACATGCATCGCTAGAGCAAGTGTCATAAAATATATTCGATATCTATCGCCCATGCTCATAATTATATCTTATCACGCAAACGTGACTTAAAATCTAATTGATACACTTCTGCACAGGAGGGCGTTGTATAAACAGTTAACCCTTTGGACGCAGAATGAACGTGACGCCTCTTAGCGGTTTTTTGCTTCAATACCCTTTTTTTCAGGATGAGTCGACATGAATAACGTCGTTATTATTTACAACCCTTTTAACCCTATAATCTGAAAAGCATCCGCATGAAATGGCCATACGAAAAGGCTGTTTGGTCAGTTCAAAGCGCACTTATACATGTTTAATATTCAACAATTATAGAATGCATGAACCACTCCACTTAAAATTTAGACGGTTATTCTTTTTTAATGAGTAATCAGCTAATAGAAGCAGAACTCTACAAAAGCTACTCAGTGTCATACCATGACTCAGTGATATTCCAAATGACTCGTGAACGAAAAAATTGCACAAACAAGGTTGTTTACAAATCAGACCTCTATAACATCTGAAATGTTTGACTTGACGTAATAAATGTTACAAAAATTGACAGCGTAACGGATGAAAAAAAAAACCATCAATTCTCCTCATTCATTGATGATTGCCATATGTCCCTTCGCGTGTTAGAGGATTTTTTTCTTTACATCAAAAAAGGTGAAGTCAGTTTTAAGGTTATTTGGTAATATCAACCGTAAAGAGTTTCAAAGCTTACGTTTCGAGCGTTAGTCCTCCGTCAGAGCGAAGTCAATTTCGCTTGGCAAGTCAGTGATGTTACTTTGAGCTTCTGCTGTTTCAAATCGTCACTCCTCTATCCCCCCCTCCCCTTCAAAAAAATACATACTTATATTCATCACTTATTCGTACGCTTTCATACGCTTCTCAAGGATATTTTTCAGTCTCATCAATCAGCGGCTTAACCAAGATGATTCAACAGGGGGTCCTACACTAGCGTCGTTAATATTTAGGGGCATATCAGAATACTTCATAATCTCTTTTCCACACTAAGAGGAAGTGGTAACTACTTATTGTGAATCCAATATTTTATTTTGCAAAAAGATTATGACTGAACACCAAATTCTCCTTTTTAATTTACAAGGAAGTGTATAGCAGTCGGTAGGGAGCATTACTTATTTGGGAGTTAAAGGAGGGAAGAGGAGGACCACCCTGCGTCTCACACCTTCCCCCTCCCTCCCCCCCCCCTCCTTTTCTTCTTTGGCCATTGTTGATGCCTTTGTGAGTGAATCTTTTAAAACTCTTGACAAAAAAACTTTAGAAAGCTCGATTATCACGTGATTATATTAATATTGGGCAGAGGTCTGCTTTTGAACTTGTGGATGTCGATGTCAGAATTAGTATCTGTCAAAGATTATAAATGAGTTTGCAATTCAGGAGAAAATATTTAAAAGGCCTCATTAATATACGATCACTATTAAGACACTGAGCAAGCTTATAAGGAACTACTACGACAACAAAATGAGACTTCCAGTGCTATACAAGGCTGGAATTAAAGTTCTTTCTTTTGCTATAAGCTAGTTTTCGTCTCCTTGCGGGCTATAAAAACTAATGGGCATTAATTCTTCCGCTCTTGAAGTTTGCATTTTTTTTGCTTCGATGGCTTTCTAGAACAATTTATGTCTTCTGTGCGTAGTTAGTCACTTGAAACGGTTTCATAAAATGAGCAGCGAGTATTTACTTCACTCTACCTCCTCAAGCTCCAAGACTATTAGAGAAGGCATGTACAGACTAAAGCATTCTGTTAGTACGGAGGTCCGAGAGAGAGCTCCTTTTCCTTATTAGCAGTATCTAACGCTCAAAAAACCATAGATGCAAATTTTTTTCAAAGAGTTATTTATTTCTTGAGAAACTGTTGGACTGTGGCGCTTGGTTAATTATCATCATATCTTGAACTTGATGTTGCTAAATTAATTTCGAAAAATAATCTTCGTTTGAAGCGTTTAACATTTATGTCCCACCTCAGTTGGTTTCACGAAGGGTTCACTATTATTGAGCTATTGCTTCCACGATAAATCTGCATCGATAGATAATATAAAATTATTTTCTTCATAGTTCAAAATCGTCTATTAAAATGCTTAAACAGCCTTCTATTGTTAGGTACGCCTACTGCTTTTGCATTGTTTTCCATTTGTCTCGTTTGGCTGACTTTTGTATGCCTCAAATGTCGATAGGAAAGTTTTCCTTTTCTTACTAAATATGAGAGAAAATGTTGGCGAACATTACATGTCAGCTATAGTACACCAGCTTCATTTATAAGCGAAGCACATGGGAGATCGAACAGATTATTCCTGCCATTCCTGCGTTTTTCAGTTCACTGATTATTAAAAGCTAAATTGCACCAATCTTAGTAAACACATCTGTTCATCACGCGCGAGAACACTCTGATATTGGACTGTTTTAAGTTTAAATATTTCGTCCAACATAGACACTGGTTTTACTTGTAAACAGAGAACCGATAAAACGTCGCCTTCTATTAAAGAAAAAAATATAGAAGATACAGAAAAAGCCCTGATACCAATAAGCCTTTCATTTTTTTTTCCGGAGGTAATTTTCTCTGGTTGGGTAAGCATTTTCAAAAACACCACTTCCTTTGACGGAGAAGAAGGGACGCCACGCTATGAATGAATGCCTCTGTTCAATTTAATTTCGCGGCGTCGTCCCAGTGAGATTTCATCGCGTCCGATGCGCTTTTTGGACTCTAAAAGCACAAAGTCTATAAGGAATAGTGTCACTGAGTGCATCAGAGAAGCTTTCTGCTTCCCTTAAACTCTTTGTCCTTCCAAGGCAGCCAAAACAACCATGGATACGCTTGAATACTGTTCATTTACAATACGTGCTCTGCCCCAACTAATCAGTTATTCGGCAAACACACAATAAATGTTAAACAATCGCTGCTAGAAACACAAAGAGAAATAGAAAACAAAAAATTGAAAAGAATAAAGCATCTCAGTGGGTCCTGAGCGTATTAACAACATAGCTATTTTTTAGCCCAGGTTGAGTGGTTGAGTGGGCAGTAGATAGAACCACAAAAAGAAAACACTCATCTGTCACCCAGTCCTTAAATTATCTTTCGATGTTTTTTTTCTCTGAGAGCGCAGCGATGTCAAGTTTAAATGTCAAAAGTCGAGAGCAAAGCTTGATTTTGCCTTACATTAAAAAAATAGTGCTATTCGTACATGGATCAGTGCTTTGAAAACCGTTTTCTACGCGAAAAAGTATTTTTACACAACTTTTTGTTTCTAGAAGGATGCCTTTGAATTCTGCATGTAATTACATAATTTTCTTTTGGTCTCAATCACTCATGCGTAGACCCTCCTACCCAATTGTAACTTACACTTGAATGGATCTCATATAACCAACTCAGTCACTGAGCCATTTTTCAGAGGTACCAAGAACTTTTTCAAGTAAAACTTCAACCGAATTAATTATTTATTACCGAATTAACATTTTGGTAGTATTTTTTTGCGTTATGATGACCAAAAGAAACACATGATGATGCAGAAGAATACGCCATTGAATAACACAGAATTTTTTACGAGTCATTAAATACGGGTCTTTTAAAAATTTGCATATACAAAAACACACACCTAAATCTACCGCCACAAATACATCCAAATCCTCGCGAACAAAACTACACACCATCAGACAGACTTAGCCCAATCTTTTTCCGTGGAAATAACCAGTGTGCACTGGTCAATTTGGCTGATTAAACTTCTTTAAAACATTTCGGCAGAGTTTTTTACGCATGCCTGGTTAAGAAAAAAATTTTCTTTGTATAAGTGGCTTTCGGCGTGCAAACAAAATCGACATTTTTTCAAAAGCAAAGGACGCGTTTTACAGCTGGGTGGTAATGTATGCAAGTATTTTCAATAAAAGAACATCATAGAATGACCCCAGGATTAGTTCTGAATGTTTGGCGTCCCCGCACGGTCTACAACTTTGAAGAGACTATAAGCTCGCTCCACGATGACTCGTCTTGCTGTTCTAGGAATTTTGCTGATCGTTTTTCTTGCAAGCATTGATGCTTTCCCCAAAAATAGGCTTGATGTACGAGGTAAGTTTATTCGTAAAAATGATGTGTTTGATTACCTATATCGAAAAATCTGGAATCAAAGTTCTCCAATCAGCAGTTACAACCTTCTCCTAGGTTAGAGTGAAACGATGGATTCGCAAACTTAAACACACCTCTACCGCGCCCTGCAGTCGAATTTTAGCTCCTGCAGTTTTACTGGATGCAAAAGATGATTTAGGTTTAAGCTCAAATCATCCAAATTGTGAGCTAAATTAAAAACAAGATAAATTATGTAAGCGAAGTTAAAATGATTGTTTCTGAAACAGCTAGCCAGGCTGTTTCCTTTGCTTGTTTAATACGATTAAGCCGATCTCATAGTTTGGAGTAAGCATCAAAAATATATTTGCGATTTATTTCCTTGCTCAGTGGTGTCTAACGTAATGGAATTTTAATTGACTTAGAGCATTAACGCCAATAAAGAAATTAATCGAAGAGTTTTATAGACCCCTCTGCCTAGAGACTTCTGTTCTGTCATTTTTTTTGCATACGTAGTCGTGACTCGTCGAATAAGATCGAATCCATGATTTGCAGACGAAAAATGCGAAGCCAACCCACATGATAAATTTAGGGCGAAGAACATACTTAATGGCTGTTCAACCGGAAAGCTTATGCACTGAGCTGTGTTAGCTGACGCGATTTCTCTTAAAAAAGAAAAAAAGAAAATAAAGATTTTAACAGTGATTACTTGCTGAAAAGAAGATGATTTTAAATACTACATTTTTCAACTGGACCGTAAGGGAGCTTGAAGTAGAAGATTGACTCAACAAACCAGTATTGTTCTTTTGGGTGTGCCGAGCTCTTTTCAATTTTCTCTCATGTCATGGTTAAATTATCAGGAGTCGCGTGTTTGGAGGACTGGTGCGAACGACATAAAGAATTGCAGGGGTAGGGTAGCCAACAGAGTAAACGATCGCATATTTCGAATGACCAGTGGTCCCGATCCGTGGCCCTAATTTCGGGTTTTATAACATCCTTTTTAAAATCACTGACAATCCTTGTAATCTGATTAACTCTCAGCAGAACGATTTCTTCACAAATTGCATTACTCTTTGCTCTAAATCACAAGCCATCGTGTGGCAACTTTGTAACATTTTTTGTCCCCAAGACTTTTCGTTTTCTTTCACCGCTTCTTTTTTAACAAACCTGCTCAGTAATAGATCAATAAAATATTTGTACTGACCAAAATCCTGTATCTGGGCGAATAAATTTTTCAATTTCAAAATGGATGTAATAAAGGTAATTTTGGTCCGATATCATACTCATAATCTCAAGTAATCAAAAGGACGTCAGAGCGTTCAATTTATCTCTGTAACAAGACAAAATAAACAAATTTACCCATAAAGTAACCAACACCACGAGAGGCTAAGGTTTGGGAATTAAAGAACAATTTGACTCAGAATGCCCGAAATTTTAACAGGGACAATGACAATAATGAATGATATGGACAAATAACACGCGAGGAAACCTTCAATTCACATAAACTTGATTTTCAGAAGGGTTCTCATTGAAATAAAGTCTACGAAACTTCCGAGCAATGACATTTAAAATAGAAACCAGCAATCTAAAAGTGCGAAAAAGCTACGAAACGTAACATTCGGCAACAAAAGCCTGCGGTTAGAATTTAAGGGAAAAATCAACGAGCAACCATGAATTCTCCATTCATAGGAAAAAGGTACAAAGTTGAACAGGCATAATGACGAGCTGAGAGTAGCCTGATGACAAAGGAAGCAACTCTGACAACTACTTGTATTCTCTACATCATGCTCGTAGTTGACCTGCAGAAATTTCAAAGGCTTTCTTGCATAGGTGAAAGGCAATTGTGCTAAATTCAGCCGTAGTAGCAACGAAGATTACTTTCACATCGAAAAAAGAAAGATTGGTCGAGTCGCTCGTTACCTTTGTATTCGGAAAGACAGAGCCTAACATACTCTCACAGGCAGGGGTCGCTTGGCCTTAAAATTGCTATTTCCCTAGCTTCGGAAGAATTTTCAGTTTAGTTTTGGAAGTCAATCCACGACTGCATTGCTTTTGCCACATTACACTCATTACATTCTGTGATTGGTTACAATACCATTCAGAAGAGAAACTGAATCAGTCTTCGATCTGCTACCAACGTTTTCTTCCCATAAAGCCAATTACCTGGGTTAAATTTGAGTTTCCTTTGGTTTACCTGTTGATGGTTAGGATAACGTTGAGTTTTGTGTCAAGATTCTTTTTCAACGCTCGAGAAATTGATTTGAAAACTTTATGACCTGTGTTACTCAAGTAAAAAATGTTTTGTTATTATATTGAAGGGAAACTCGGAAGCGAAAGCAGAGTGTATAGAGGACAGTTATCCCTGAAGAATGTAGATCAGCGCCTGTCTGAAATTGAAAGAATTAAGATGATGATGGATGAGATAGAGAAAGAGGAAGTGAGCAATGATGAAGCCGAGGAGGAGAGTGGAGAGAAAGAAGAGGAAGAAGAACAAGAAGAAAAAGGGGAAGAGGAGGAAGAGGAGGAAGAAAAAGAAGGAGAAGAGGAGGAAGAAGAGGAAGAAAAAGAAGGAGAAGAGGAGGAAGAAGAGGAAGAAAAAGAAGGAGAAGAGGAGGAAGAAGAGGAAGAAAAAGAAGGAGAAGAGGAGGAAGAAGAGGAAGAAAAAGAAGGAGAAGAGGAGGAAGAAGAGGAAGAAAAAGAAGGAGAAGAGGAGGAAGGAGAGGAACAAGTAGAAGGAGAAGAGGAGGAAGAAGAGGAAGAGGAGGAAGGTGAGGAAGAAGAGGAAGAGGAAGAAGAAGAAGGTGAGGAGGAAGAAGAGGAGGAGGAAACGGAAGGTGGAGAAGAAGAAGAGGAGGAGGAAGAAGAAGGAGAAGAAGAGGAAGAGGAGGAGGAAGAAAATGGTGAGGAGGAAGAGGAGAAGGAAGAAGAAGCTGGTGAGGAAGAAGAGGAAGAGGAAGAAGAAGAGGGTGAAGAAGTTGAAGAAGAGGAAGAAGAGGAGGGTGAAAAAGAAGAGGAGGAAGAGGAAGAGGAAGGGGAAAAAAATGAAGAAACAGAAGAAGAAACCGGAGAGGAGGAAGAGGAGGAGGAAGAGCAAGAGGGAGAAAAAATGGAGGAACAAGAAGAGGAAAAAGGTAAAGAGGAGGAGGAGGAAGAAATAGAAGAAGGAGAAAAGGAGGAAGAGGAAGAAATAGCACAAGGCAAAAAAGAAATGGAGGAAAAAATAAAAGAGGGCAAAAAAGTGGAAGAGGCAGAGATAGAGGAAGGTGAAATGGAGGAAGAAAAAGAAATAGAAGAGGGCAAAACCCAAGAAGAAAAAGAGATTGAAGAGGGTGAAAAAGAAGAGGAAAAGGAAATAGAGGAAGGTAAAAATGAGGAGGAGAAAGAAGAAGAGGAAGGTGAGAAAGAAGAAGAGGAGGAGGAAGAGGTTGGTGAGGAAATGGAGGAGGAAGAGGAAGAAAAGGGAGAAGAGCAGGAAGAGGAAGAGGAGGAAGAGGGAGAGAAGGAAGCTGAGAAGGAAGAAGAGAAGGGAGAGGAGGAGGAGGAAGAAGAAGAGGAAAAGGGTGAGGAGGAGGAGGAAGAAGAAGAGGAGGCTGGTGAAGAAGAAGAGGAAAAGGAGGAAGAAGAAGGTGAAGAGGAAGAGGAGGAGGAAGAAAATGAAGGTGAAGAGGAGGAAGAGGAAGAAGAAAAGGAGGGAGAAAAGGAGGAAAAGGAGGAGGAGGAGGAAGGTGAAAATGAAGAGAAAGAGGAGGAGGAGGCAGGTGAAATGCAGGAAAAAGAGGAGGGAGAAATGGGTAAAGATGAGGAGGAGAAGGAGGAAGAAGAAGGTGAAAAGGAAGAAAAAGAGGAAGAAGAGGAAGGTGAAGAAGAAGAGAAAGAGGAAGAGGAAGAAGGTGAAAAGGAAGAAGAAGAGGAAGAGGAAGAAGGTGAAAAAGAAGAAGAAGAGGAGGAGGAAGAAGGTGAAGAAGAAGAGGAAGAGGAAGAGAAAGAAGGTGAAGAAGAAGAGGAAGAGGAAGAGAAAGAAGGTGAAGAAGAAGAGGAAGAGGAAGAAGAGGAAGGTGAAAAAGAAGAGAAAGAAAAGGAGAAAGGTGACAAGAGAAAGCGCTCATCTAAACGTCTTGCACATACCCAAAAAAGGTTAAACTAGGGAAGATTCTACAAGAGGCAAAGAATGAACTGAACTCTTAGCTAAAAATTTCTCAAAAACACTCTTAAGTCTAGCAAACATTATGAACTCTGCTGCAAATAATATTTACTAATTTGTTCACTGCATGACATTTTTAAGCCAAAGACATATCTGAGAAGATAATTAGGTCACTTCCGACACTTTCTTTAACTGCTCATCCATGAGTGTGTTAGCACATTAATGGGACTCATCCCTAAAAAAAATGAAAATGGATAGAGTGGAGTCCCGGCATCTTAATCACGTGGAATTTAAAAGACAGGTATGAGCTAAAAAGTTCAAAATTTCAAGGGTTAAATTACAGTGATATAAGTCTTAAAAGGGTACATCAGTACATGGAATCACAGTTTATTCACAACAATTGGAATTGAGATCATGGGGCTCCACTGTATGCACTTATTGCAACAATTGAGAGTTTTTTAAAACTAAAAAAAAAAAAGGATGAGTTAATTACATCCTCAGCAGTCAAGTTGAAAAGGACCTCAGACCTCCAATTCAGAGGTGAGGATGTAAAGACACCTCAGAAGAACATCACAACCTTGCCTTTCATCAAACCTTCAAGGTTTGCACTAGCTAATTGATAAGTTTAATTCTATTTTTTTTTTTGGAAACAGAATTGCAATTACGTGTACCTGAGACATACAAAAGAAACACAAAACAAACCAAAATTCATGGTACAGATACAGCTACAGATATCCATGTATTTTTCTCCCTTCAGTTAATTTTTCATTTCAACATAAAAAAATCCATGTTTAAGCAGTAGATGTCTTCTTTTGATAGATTTTTGAAATCTTTGACAGTTTTGCTCTTCAGTTAATGTTTACTTGTTTGATTATACTGGTAAAAACCAAAATATTTTGCAACCTTTGGCAGCTTTTATTTTAAAAATTGCACCTAAATTTGCATTAAGTTAACTTTCTGAATTTTTCGTATTTGAATTGTAAAATAATTAAATAACATTTTTAAATTAAATCTGGTTTAGTCTCTTTTTTGTGGAAAAAAATGGGACAAGATCCTGGTGGGAAGAATGTGACAGTATTTGAGAAAATGCAAAATGAAAACCCAAATCTTAGAAGGAAAATGAATTTCGAAAAGGCTAGTCACTTGTACTATGGGAGCTTATTACATTTTCCAAAACATTAAGTAACAAGATATTTTGTAAAGGCTGCCGGTGCCAATCCAAGACAGGTTACCTCAAACCATTTTCAACAATTTTTTCCACTCAGTTTTTTTGTTACCCACTCATACTTCTTGATAGAAAAGAGCATTATCAAAGTAAAATTTTTGCCCAAAGCACACCACAATGAATAGGTCTCAAAACAAGATCTATCAATCTAGAGTCCAATAACACTTTTACTTAACTTGTGAAATGAATACTCAAATTCAGTCTATCATTTTTTTTGCCTGAAAAAAATTTGAAGTGTGGTGTCATAACTACAGTTGGTTTGTTACTCGAAAAATAAGTTGTATGCTCTTAACAGTTGGGAATGTCAGAGGAGAATAGGCTAAATCACCCAGGAAAATCTTAGTTAGTTCATATCCATTATAGGTTGTTAATATCTGAAAAAAATAGATGACTCTTCACAAAAATACAGCGTGAGAGAACAAAAAATATAGAGAAATTGCAGCTACAACATCTTCAGTCTTCACCCAAACTAAACTGTGGAAGACAGAAATTATAAAAAGAATTTGATTTGAAAACATCATTATAGCTCTTCCATTGAACCCAGCCACTGTCTTGGATTTCTTTCATAGCAGCCTCTCCATAGAAATGTGGATCCTGCAACAAACAAATCTTTTCCTTCAGTTTGATGATATTCAACGGCACTTTCAAAATCAACTTTTTTCTTTCTCTTCTATATGAACCAGACAGAAAAGGGGAAACAGCCAGTGATTATTGACAGATGAAAAAATATCTTACAGCAATTAAGAAGTGAAATGTTTTGTTTGTCTTGCAAACACCAAGCAGTGTCTTGGATGAAGCATCAACATCTCCACCTAGAAACAGAAATGAAATTTAGAAAGCAAAATATTTGCAAAAGTCAAAAATAGAATGGCTAGATAGTAAAATTTTTGGGCCACTCCAAGTTAGAAAGAACTCTTTTTCAAAGCAATTTCTTTTTTCCTTGTTCCGGGAGGCAGTGTATCCAAGGGGTTGGGGTCATGGGGCCTGTTTCTTGCAAGTCCCAGTAACTTAGCAGCTCCAAAGCCATGTTTTAAAATCAAAATTTAAGGATTAGAAATGCAGGTTGTGGCTTCCTAACCAGTCCATTTTGTTTCCTTGGCTGATGGTTTCATTTAACAATTTTCAAAACTTTTGACACCCCTTTCATGAATGAAAACAGAATAACCTTACAGGCCCATTAAGTCACCGAAACTTTCCAGAAACAGGCACCTTGTTCAAGCCCTCTGCCCTATTGCTCACTGGATTAGTTCTCAGATATCCAAAGACTAATTCATTAGCTTAGCTTGGTAAACAGCTAAATGGTCTTCCCACTGTCAGTTGGGGTTGTTTCTTTCAAATATATTTTACAGTGGCGTGAGAAGAGCCTTATAAGGGGAGTGATCAATTAAGTTATTAAGGGGAAAAAAACTAAATTAAAGACATCTAGTCACTGGTCAAGGGGGTATAAATATTAGAATATTCTCAAAGACGTGTATCATCATTACTCTACAATGCAACATACACAGTCAATAAACCCTCATGATAAGGCACACTTGTACACATGCCATACCCCTAATGTGGATGTAAATTGCTGGAAAAAATGTTCATCTTTTAATGAATGACATCCCAGAGAAGTTTCAATAGACTTGGAAAATACAGTTTTTGCTATTATATCATTTAACCAATCAAACAACAACTTGCCTGGCTAGTTTATGAGTATGTTAAGAACCACATTAACAAACATGGAGTTGTTAATGGACTTAAAAGGCAACTAATGCTTGATCCACTAAAGCACTATCATGAAGTATTACAATCTGTTTAAATATTCTGTTGAAATCATAACTTTACCTATCATTACAGGTGAACCAAAATGTTTAAAATGTTCCAGAAGAAATGGTGCAGCTTTCTGCTCCACAGATTCCCCTTGTAAAACATGAATGATCTTACTGCAAACCTGAAACAAGATCATCAGCATTATCAATTACTGGCAAACTTTTTTTATATCTTTTCAAAAAGGAAACCAGTTCATGACTGGAAACAAAATTTCAATTCTCTGGTAGTAAGCTTAACAGAGCATAGCAAAAAATAAAATAGCAAACTGAAATTCTTAAGCTAATCTTCACTATTTGCCAGCCAGGTTGTCTATAATCCATTTATCCCCCTTAATGAGTACTTGCCACACTCCTTTTTGCCAACAAATTTTATAAAAAAAATCAGGGGTGCAGCTTATCTGGAAGAACATCTAGAAGATGTGGGGCTAATTTGCATAAATCAACTCTATTCAACAAAAATTTGCAAGTCTGTTTAACACTCTAGCTAATGGTATATAGACAACAGTTTTCTTTGCTATATTTGAACCTTGAGCACTATATTAATTGTACGAGATGTTGTTGTGATGTTGTACAGATAAGAAGGTCTTTTGGCCTAAACTTTTAGAAATACAAACATTTTGTCCATCTGCAGTTTTGCTGACTTCTTCTCCAATGAAAAATCTTTATGATTATTTAACCTGTTTTCACTTTTGTTACTTAAAATTAAAATGCCCATAAACACCATCACTTTACAACATTACTCAGCAAAGCTGGAAATGCAAAGCAGCCACACATAAAACACCACAAACATTGATAGTTACCTACTCCAAAAGTCTGATCCATGTAGAGACAGGCCTCTACACAGCCAATCCATTCTCTTGATCCCACAAAAGAATCTGGTTTATCCCCCATTTTGACCAAAGTCTTCTGTATGTCTTGAAGGCTAGGCACTGGATGATTCTGAATCTCTAATACATGACCCACCCAAGAACAAATTGTCTGCAGTGTCCTATATCCACATCCCCAACCCTTCAATACAAGCACAAAACATTTGAATGGCATATAAATATGACTCATCACTTACTGGGGGAGGGGGAAAGCTGGTAACAAAGAGGTACTTAGGAGAGTGGATTTAGCAGGGGGGTCATGAAAACATGCCCTTCACAAGAGGGAGGGTCAGGGCTATTTGAAATTGGCTATTTTTACCAGTCTTCCTACTATTTGTGAGCTTTTAGCTACATGTGTCATGAAAAGCACTTTCAACCACAAAAAAAGGACTGACAAAAAAAATAGGGACCGTTTTCCAGAACTCACCCACTCAGTTTTACATTTCTCAACCACAAGGTTGTGTCTTTCATGCATACACAAGCAATTCATACAAATATGGTAAAATCATATAAAAAAAAAGTAAACAATATGTCAAAGTCCAGTCATTTCAATATTTGGGTGTCCTTTATTTACAGGAAAAATGATGATGACATTTGCTACCAAATAAATTATTCTTGATTGGTCATCAATCGACAAATGCCAACTCACACCAAATAACATATAACAAACAGATCAATCAATCAATCTTCATTGATTGGTCAGGCCTTAACCATGATGTGGTCACACCCTACAGAAGCATATAACCTATTCTTTTTTTTACAACTGCCTTTCTATTTCCATTCAAAGTTCAATGATAAAGTTCGCATTACAGAAGCGTGCATTTGGGTTATTGTAATATCAATGCAGCTAGAGAGTTTGTGAAGAGACTGGAGTAACCGCAGAATACCCTGCCACTTTGGTCCACGTCATTTACATGTGTCGTGAGGCATAACACAATAGACTTTGTTCTTATTCAATGACATGTAAATGAGTGGCAGGGTATTCTGCAGTTTAGCTAAATCTTTGAAGCATTTTCTCACGTTTTTGAACTTGAGTAATAATTATGCATCAGTATGCTATACGAAAAGCAACCTGTTGTAAGTTTCTCATACACTCACCCTGTCATCGAAACCATCTACGTTGTAATGGTAAAATTCATATTTTCCCCGGACTATGGCAGCATCAACGAAATCGCGGGGAAGCTCTAACCCACTATGCACATCACTCAACATTTTTTATACTGACGCCCGCATGCACCAGTGGTGGTGGTCAGTGAAGAAAATATACAATATATGCGCAAACTGTTAAGAGAAAAAAGTCTGGGTGAGGGTAGGGAAATATCTCTTAAGATAGGTGACATTCTTGAAAAAGCCCAACTAACCTCTGTTCCTCTCTATTTTAAGCTGAATTTCCCATTTTATCGATCAAAATTTGCTCACAGATTAAAAGGTAAGCCCAGACTTATAACGTCTATAAAAATGTAGACTTAAGTAGAATTTAACATTACTCACTCTCCCCTACTGGGTAACGTGATGCACGTATTTTTACCACAGATGTGTGTTCGAACTTTCACTTCCCTGCACTTTTTGTAGTCTGTGACTAAGTTTCAATCGGGAAGTTGTCCTTCTACAAACGAGAACAGCCGTCTTTACGGGATTTTTTTGACCAGGAATGGTCAATGCAACGTCTAAAGAAGTAGTTCCAGTTGAAAATGACGAAGAACCAACAATTTTGTGTATCGTAAAGGACGAAACAACTGTCGACAGGAAACAAAACAATCATACAGTGAATCTTCCAGCCTCTACTCTTGTGAAAGATTTGTACGCTTACGTCGCCAAACAAGTAAGCTATGTAGAAGACACCTTCCTTCTCGTGTGGAATAAATTCATTGGTGGAGGCAACGAAGAGGTAGTTCTAAATGATGAAAAGGCGAAGACTTTACAAGAAGTCGGCCTGGCGGCCAACGGGAAAAAGAACAATTTTCTGATCAAAGATAAAGATGGTGAACAACCGAAGAAAACGAAGGTTAGTGAACCATCAAGCCCTTTTCAAGTTATTAATAGTCTTTGGCAATAAAATGGATGATCAAGCTGATCGCGAGAAGGTTTTGAATCTTTTGCGCAATCAATGAGAAGCTTCAATACAATAAAATGTATAAATTTACCTTCCTGAACTTCTGAATGTAATGCGAAATACGTAAAAACATCATGATAACGGGCATTTGCTCTAAAAATGGTTCATCAACAAGTGCTTTGTGTTTCATTTTGGCGAAACGAAAGATATTAAATTATGTTTGCTGCAATGCATGGCGAACAGAATCGAAGATAGGATAACTACAAAAAAATGCTACGTTCTTGTAGTTACATGCAGGAACTGGTAAAGTTGATGTACAAGTTTCCGGTGCCTCTTAGATTACTGAGGTTTTCGTATTTTACTCAAGGGTGTGTAATTAGATCTGTCTTGGTTTGATTTACATAGGTGGGGAAAGCTTTAGAGTAGAATTCGCTCTATTAAAAAAAAAAAAAAAAAAAAAAAAAAGGTATATTGGAGTATAGTTGAACCATATACACGAACAGTGCATAGTAGAATTTGACAAGAAATCAAAATTTGCAACAGATCTTACACTCAGAAAAACAGTTTGATCTTTGGATTACATCACTTGAGTTATTTCTGTAATATTATCCAATAAGTAGTGTCAGCTAAACTGTTGTCTCTCATTACATTGAAGAATTGACAATCTGTCAAAAATTACTGCATTTTGTTGGCAAAAGTCAATATTTCAATGACAATTTCGTATAAACTAGTGACAAGGGAATTCATCTTCCATCTTGATTTATATTTGATTGATTATACTAAGATTGTTTCAAAAGAGAAAACAAAATGTCATTTGCAGATATCCTCTCATTGTCATCCAAAATGTAATTCAACTTTACACGTATGTGCAGCAAACCAATAATTGTACTCCTGGCACTTTTCACTCATTGTCGTAGAGGGTCAGAGGTCAAGAAACAGTTAAGGGTGTGATTCAGTTAGCTAAGATTTCCTCAGGTCTCAACCTAAAAAAGATGGTCAAAAGTGATCTCAATTGATAAAGGGGACTTTTTCTTTGAAGCTTCAAGTTAGATTATCCAATCTATTTAGTTTTAAACCAAAATACTTGTTGTGAATATTTTCTGTGGATCAATTTGACCCTGATTAGGCAGTTGGAGTTTGTAAATTGGTGGAGATTTATATGTCAACTTAGTTTTTATTTCTCGTAGTGTACTATTTAAGTTTATTTAAGATGTGGTTCTGTTCAACACATTGAGATTTGAAAAATTAAATTTTGTCCAATCCTTTGAGGACAGTCCAAGAGAAAGACAATTCATGGAGGGTTAGCAAGGCTTAAGTCTGAGCCTTAGTCAGGTCACTGTGAAACACTCTTGAGTGAGACACTTTTGTCTCCCATTGCTTTTTTCCACTCAGGAGTACATTAAATGCCAACTGGCAGATTATCGTGTAAACTTAATGACTCAATACAGGGTAGCCTGCAATGGACTAACCCCTTATCCTGAAGGAAAGAAGCAGTACTACTACTGACTGAAAACCCCACAAGCTCCAGCCAGATAGGTCATGGGGGTTACTTGCTGACTTTACCTGTTGCCTTGCAGGAGAATGATGATGATGATTCAGTTACAGGGAGTGTCAGCAACCTGTTCCAAAGCAATTCTAGCACTTCAAGTAGTTATTATTCCTCCTCCAGTGATAGTTACACTTTGGGAAAGTCTGAAACAGGTTAGGGTTCAGGATGATTTTTTTATCAGTTGCATATGCATAATTTAAATATAATTGGATCTAGGCAACCACACAGTCATCCGCAGTTTGAAGTATTGTACCTGCAGAGGGGGGAAACTTGGGAGATGCCTACCTTTTTTTGTTGCTACCTTAAGAGCACTTACTCTGTTCCCTCCAATTCTACCGACCAAATCTTTTAAATGGGGCTCACTGTAATTAAGGCCAGGTTAACACCAAATCAGTGCAAAAGTTCTCTGAAAGGATGTCAAGAGTCCAAGTGAGGTTTGTAAAGGGCATTGCACATGCTTTTGCATGGTTTGCTTTGCTGCTGAATGTAGGAGAATAGCACAAAGTTACAGGAGAATGTATGACAAAACAGCTCCACCTGTAAAGAAGAAAAATTTAGGATACATCATGAGCACCCTAGGCCTTAACCGATAACGTCCTTGGTAGACATGTCACTTCTAATGGGTACTGCATGACAAACTTTTCCTTTAGTTACAGTTGAGTCTGCCACTGGTAAACTGTTTACTCTATTTGTTGAATACAGGGTTTGTTGGTCTTGTAAACCAGGCAATGACATGCTATTTGAACAGTCTACTACAGACATTATTCATGACCCCAGAATTTAGAAATGCTATATACAGGTTTGTGCGGATAATTCTCAATACATGTAATTACTGATAAAACTTTTAGTAATGATTCTTGCTGGTGTGAGTGAGAATTGAAGAAAAAGTTAACTCTTTGAGAGTAGAGGCTTGTGAGTTTTGCCTTGCCACATAATTTCCAAGCTAAAGGATAAGAAATAATTCCACACCATTGTTTGTAGTTTTGATTGTTCAAAACTTGCAAAATGTTCTCCACATTTTTTAGTCCTCATTAAAGCATTAAAACTTAATTGCCCCTCTAAAAGGACAGAAACAATTAAGCCATAGCCAGTTATAGCTGTTTCTTAGAACAAGTCAACTTGTTCCATGTCCAACTGGCCAGATCTGACTGATGGAAAAAAACAGTTGGTTATTGTATACCAACCCATTTAAAATATTTTTCAAGTGAATGGATGAAGTAAAGATGTTACCAGTATGTCTCATTTGAAAGTATTGTTCTCCAAACAATCAATGAATGATGAGGTTAGGTGTTCTTGGACATTTTAAGGGGCTTCTACTAACTTTCAGGATTCATAGCCAGAAATTCAAGCATGTGTTTAGTTTGTACTATCTGTCACTGGACCTTCTTAAGTCAGCAAAACACAAAATAAGGAAGAGTTTTTAATAATTACAATTTCATGTCAACATTGTTTTCACTTGTTATTTGCTGCTTCACATATTTACATTTCCTCGCTCTATCATAATCATGAATATAGTGTTTGATGTAATAGACTTTGTTAATGATTGATGTAATAAATGTAAATAAACATTTAACATCTTAGGTGGGAGTTCATTGGAAATGAAGATGAAGCAGCCAAGAGTATTCCTTACCAACTTCAAAAGCTTTTCCTCCATTTACAGGTACCAGTGGTACAACATTGATTTACTAGATAAATTCCCAATTTGTGTGTTTAACCTTATGACTCCAAGAGTGACCAGCATCTAATATCACCCCTGAATCACTTTTAAAGGTCATGAGAAAAAGGAAATGATCACCAAATAAAGAAGTTTGTGATTGTTAAACAAATTCTCCTTGTTGGTATCTTAGGAAATGTACAGAGAACAATATGGAGAATATGCATATTGATGTTAGGGTGTGAAGAGTCAATGAATTTAATTATATTTATCTTGATGTTCAACAATACAATCCTTTTCTGTGAATCCCGATAACTATTTTAACATTTTTGTCAGAATGAATGACTGAATGGTACCTTTTTATTTTTCAGACGAGTTCCAAGAGAGCTGTAGAGACTACTGATGTTACCAAGAGCTTTGGATGGGACAGTAGTGAGGGTATTGACTTGTGAACTATTTTTACATGATTACAGACCACAGTTTAGGTTTGAAGTTATTTTTGTTGTCTCTTAATTTTAGCATGGCAACAGCATGATGTACAGGAGCTGTGCAGAGTCATGTTTGATGCTCTGGAAAGCAAGTTTAAAAATACTGATCAGGTAAATAAATATTATTAGTAGTATGGTAGATAAGTAAGCAACTAGGGATGTAGATTTGAATAGATTAAGTAGAAAAATAGTTGATCATTAAATTATTTTAATTAGTAAGTCAACATCTTGAATGAAAGTAAACAGAATTTCCAGGGGTTGAGTGGATATGAATTAGCTGGAAATGAAATATTTCTGCAGCACAGGAGCAGTGGGGACTGGGGCAGTTGAATTGCAGCATGGGTAGCATGGAGTGCTATAAAAAGGATGCTTATCACATGGGAAAGCATTCTAGGTCAACACCTCATCTTACTCACATTTTTTAGTATATATTCAATTTACTAGTCACAGTTTGAGTTTTGCAGGGGTTTCTTAGCTTGTTTTGCATTTCCTAAAATTATCTAGAGTTTTCTGTGCTTTGTTGGAATACATTTTTAGTAAATAAGGGCAAAGACCTTCCAGCCATGTAGCCTTTGTTGGATGGGCTTTTCAGAGCATGAGCCATGGATCCTACACAGATTTCCTACCAAGCTTTTTTTTTTTTTTTCCCCTATTAGGGTTTTTTCCAGCAGGTTTTTTCTGGCCTCTGTTTTGACAGTATTCTGTGTAAACTGTTGCTCGGCTTTGTTCTAGTTTTTCCACCACATGGTCGAATGTCGTTGATTGTTTTGGTTTATCAAATGCCCGATCTAGGTGCTTGTTTAAAGTGATTGTGGAATTTTTATGTCATTACCCATTGAATGAATGCTCCCAATGGTTCAGGAGTTTGACTTAGGGATTGTACTCCATTTCTAAGAAACTAAGCTTCTTTATTTGCCTACAGGATGATCTAATTAACAAACTGTATCAAGGGAAGCTTAAGGACTATGTTAAATGCCAGCAGGTATGCATTTAACTCTTCATCAGTGTTCTCCTTTCATGTGTTTACCAGTAGAATTTACCACCTGTATGTATGCCTAAAATCCCATGGAATTTTTGAAAATTAAACAGGTAAAATTACCAGTTTTAAAATTCCATTTACCTGTTGTGCTCAAAATAAGGGAAATCACTGTATAGAGTGCTCTTTTGTGCAGACATGAAATTGAGCTTACTATAAATTATCAGATTCTCTTAGTTTTTGGAGTCCTCTAGTATATTTCTCTGAAGGTGTCCCTGATTGGTTTCTCTGTAATTTAGTATATCTTGTGCTTCATTTCTTCCATACAGGCTGCATCAGTCTTCCAACTTTAGATCTTAGATCTGAAAATCAATTCCCCCCACAACTGTTATATAGTAATTGATACTAAATTATGATTAATTATATGTAGGTGTAGATTCTCATTTTTCATCAGAGGAGACCTTCATCTGATGAATCTTGAATATCTTTTCAAATCTGTCTGCTTTGACAATGCATGTAGGGAAGGGTATTTATGAATTCATGAAGTAAAAAGGCTGGAAATGAGTGCAGCTTTTAAAAGAAAATGTTGGATTTAATTGTGAAAGTGGATAATTTGCCTTTGTTAGTGTGGCCATGAAAGTGCTCGGACAGACACATATCTAGACATTCCATTAGCAATCAGACCTTTTGGCTCAAAGCAGGCTTTGGGTAGTGTGGTAAGTTAACTCTTCCATTCCAAGTTTAAGTAATGGCACATTATAACACATTCTGTTCTTTATATGTCAAGAATTTTGCCTTTGTAAGTAACTTTAATTAGAAATAATTTAAATTGCATTAAAGTTGTATGTACATGTGAGTAATCATCTCATAGTACAAACAAAGCAAACAAAAAATGAATTAGGGAACCTGTTTACCCTTTGACATTTAAGAATGACTTGCTTCTAATTCCTCTTTACAGTATCACTACTAAAATTTAGTGATTTAATCATACACTAAGGACGCAAGAATGAAGGAAATGATGACAAACTAAAGAGGCTCTTGATTATCTAACAAAATTAATCTTCTCATCAGCACCTTCAGAAATGTTTAGAGAAAAGTGGATGATATCTAGTTTGATTCCCCATAGGAAATTGCCTTGAAGAGTTTTGTTACTACAGAACTCCTGGAGGGCCAAAATCAGGTAAATTAGGGTGGATTTTTTCTTACAAGTGTTAATTTGAAATTGTGCTTTTTTCTTAGAAAAGCTAGGCCTTGTAGAAAATTATTTGCATAATCAATTTTTCTTTTTTCACAGTACTTCTGTGAGAAATGCAATGAGAAATGTGATGCCCGCAAGGCAAGTGATTGCATCGATGTCTGCTATGTATTTTGTAATTTACAATTAGTCTCCAAGAAAAGTTAAAGTTTTTATCAAGATTCAATTTTTATTTCAAAATTAATTAATTATCATTTACTTGTGAGCACTAAAGACAAAAAATTTGCTGACCCTAGGATACAAAACAAAGAACCTCATATACAGCTTTAACTCTCGTGAGTGACCAAGAATATAGAAAAATATAAAATAGAAGATCATGAGTTGATCTAATACCAAATTCTTTGTACTAACTTGGTGAGAATTATATAGCAGACAATAAATATAAAATAGAGGATCATGAGTTGAACCAATACCAAATTCTCAATACCAACTTGATGAGAATTGTATAGCAGACAGTTTGGAGAATTACTAAAATCAGATCTTGGGAGTGAAGGGTTAACATTGAAGCATTTATTAAGTTTGGATAACACAGAATTCTCACAGGTACCAGGCAAAATTCTCCAGCTGAATTGTGATTTTCTGTGCTACTTTTCATTCAGGGTTAGAGAATATTCTTGGCATTCTTTACACTATTCTCTGGCTAGTATACTTGTTGATAATATTCCTGTTATTACTTGCATCTGTGAGCATACTTGTTTATTGGAGATGTAGATTTGCCATTTGCTATTGACTCAGTATTAATAGTTTTTAACCGTTAACATGTTGGAAAGGTTATTTAAACACATAGCTTCCCTCTGAGATTTATTTTAACAGCAAAATACACTGTGCTTAAATTTTTTTTTCTTATAGGGTTTGAAATTTTTATCTTTCCCATATCTTCTGACGTTACAACTAAAGCGCTTTGCATTTGACTATGCAACACTTCATAGAGTCAAACTGAATGACAGGTTTGTATTTTACATGGGCTAATGACGTTTGATTTAATGTAACTATGTAGTGTGATTTTTCTAACATACACTGGAAGATTTGTTTTTCATTTACTTCTCTCAATAGAATGACATTTCCCAAATACCTCAATTTGGAAGACTTTATAAGTGAAGATTTGGAGGAGGTTAGTATTAGGCTTGTTGCTGCAGAATAGAGAATGATATTCATGTTATTCTTTTTACATGAACAATTATAGAAAAATTTAACTAGGGTTTATATAAGTCCTGGAAAACTTGGAAAGTCCTGGAATTATATTTTGACATTTTCTAGGGCTGAAAAGTCTTGGAAATCTGCTTAAATTAAGCAATAAATTTTTCAGAATTTAGGTTATAAGAAATGTATGTAGAACATAAGGAGAAATGATTTTGAAACCTTGGGAACAAAAGGATTTAAGGTGAAATTTGGAGCCCTGGAAAAATCTATCTGAGTCCTGGAAAAGTCTTTGAAAAGTCCCTGAAATTTGTTTCCAAAAAAGGGTACAAACACTGTTCAATACCTCTCAACACTGATTTCTATTTATGATGTCAAGAATGATGCAGATGAAGATGCTAATCTAAAGGGGGACTCGCCAAGCACATGCAGCACTGAAACTGACAGTGGGGTGAGTGAAGGCTGTTCTGATAATGGCACATCTACTGAAGAAGATGAGGTGGACAATAGCAGTAAAGGAGGTAGTCAAGTGGATGGGGCCACAGCATCAAAGAAAGTGGAGCTTACTGAAGACATGTGCAATGGTGACCTGGCACAGGACATGAAGGTTAGATGGACTGTAGTCTTGAATGCACCTCCTCCTTCCAGTGTTACATTTCTTTGTGCTGCAAATTGCATTGCATAAGTTTGTTACAAACATTCATACCTCGCTATGTTTTGACTGACAGTCATGAACATTACTATGGCCCACATGCCTGCTTAGGATGAGGTTTGAAGAGTTGTTCTGTCAGTTTGTGTTGTTCGGTGAAGACAAGTGTAAGCTGCAAACCAGCAACCGTGTTATGGTCACTAGAGCAAAACTTAAATATATTCTTGACTAGTGTCCATGAATGTCAATGAGTGTGATTAAGTTTTATTGTGGAACATTCCAGAAACCTTACTAAAAATAATATTCTCAACATGTACCAAATGCCAGACATCCTTTTTTATTTTTTTTTTTTGGGGGGGGATAGGGGTAGTCTAAGATTTTATAGCATACATTAAGTTGTCGAGTTCATTTGTCTGTGTTTTATTTTTTTAGGGTCCATATTGGTATGAGTTATTCTCCATCATGATTCATTCAGGAAGTGCATCAGGAGGCCACTATTATGCATACATCAAGTGAGGTTTATTTATTGTATCCTGCATGCAGTCATGTAGTCAGTATTTATTTAGGATGGAGTGATCTGTTTCTGTTTGAAGCGTGTTCTGTGTTCCATCAGGTTATTGAAATTGTAATGTTTTCCTGTCCCAAATATCACAGATCATTCACAAATGGGAAGTGGTACTGCTTTAATGACCAGAGTGTCACAAAGGTAAGTGTTATGGTCACAGTGATACAAAAAAATGACATGCATACGGCTTTCTATCTGATAGAGGGTATTCTTAGAAATTTTTGGGAATTACACATCCAAGACTTAGTATAGAGGTATAAAGAGGCGGAAACGAAAGAGGTAGATAAATTAAGGTCAAAGATGAGAAAACTTCTTCAACTTTTGAAGCTGGAAGAAATGACTTGAGCTGTAGGACATTGTTGCCTTGAGCCATTCAAGAAGGTTAAGGTACTTTGAGAAAATTATGGCCTTATTCTACCAAAGAAGGGAGAAATCAAGTCCCCATGAATTTGATTCCTTTGTTTTCTTCTCAATTCCTTCATTACGAACTCAATCAGGCCAGTGATGATGATATTGAAAGAACTTATGGAGGATTTGAATCATCAAGGACCTACTATTCATCAGTCTACTCCAGGTAACATTTGTTTGTGAGTTACTGTAGTTAGTAATTAATAAATATAACCTTATCTTAGTTGCTTTGCTTTAGTTAGAGATGGCAAAATACCTTTAGCCACCTTATACTGCAACACTATGGCCAGCTACTTGAAAACTTTCCAACAACTTTGTGTACTTGACCTTTTTATTATACTATGCTACTAATTTTTTGTCACACAAGTGCAGATGTAGAACTGTAGTTGAAGAATGAGATTGTTTATTGGTGACATTTGCAGTTCAACAAATGCATACATGCTGATGTATAGACAAGTCAATCCTGAAAGAAACTGCAAGTTCCTGGAACAGTGTGACATGCCCCTCCACATTGTGGAGTTGATGAAAAAATTGAAAAAACAAGAAGAAGATGAGAGAAGAAGAAAAGAAATGGAGAGATCCATGTGCAAGGTAAGAATGCAGATGTGTAGAAGCTAATAAATTAAAAGCAAGCTTTGTATAGATGGTTTGAATCAGAAATGGGAGATTTTGTGGCTTGCTGATTAAAGGGCAAGGGCTCATGCCCTCGTAAGTGTCATTGTGATTTGTTGTTGGGCAAAACATTTCACTCACCCTGTGGTTCTCTTCATCTATGATTAAAAGTGAGCACCCACAGCATGAAATTAGCTTTTTTTTCTGGTAACCACTTGACTCCTAAATTTTTAAAAGTGGTAGCCAATTCCAATGAAAGAATTGTGATGTCTTTTTCCTTAGAATGGAGGATAAATTGCTCCTGAATCACTCAGTCATCTTAAATTGCCCAGGCCCCAGCTCAGAGAACAAACTCACTTAGTAACTTAAATATATTTATCTGTGTTCAATACCTAGCCATTTAATCGTTGAAAACAGATGTTAAGTAATAACTAATAACTAGAGTTGATAATCAATAAAAGTTGTCCTTTCATGCTTCATTTCACTACTAATAAATGATTGTTCGTTATTATACAGTATGAAGAAAAACACCTATACTTTGAACACAACAAATAAAGGTTTATAACATGAACTTGGTGGCCTGCTTGGTCTAAAAAGCTTATTTAAAGTTTGGGCAACCATCACTGCAATGTTATCATTTGGTGACATTGCCAATAATGTAAAAATTAAAACTTTGAAGATTAACTAGATTAATTTTGTAGGTTGGAAAAAACATTGTTTCACAAAAGAGTTAGTTTGTATGACTTTGAGGCCTCAGTTTCTTTGGTACTGTATCAGCAAACTGTAAAGGAGAATCTATTGAATTGCTTCAGGGTGGAGTATGGTGTATGAACTAGCATTCCCCTTCACTAGAGTGGTGATAATTAAATGCTATTGTAATGTGCCAATCAATTCAAAGCTTCAACTTCCTCCCCCCAGGCAAACTATGCACATTTAACCATTGTCCACGCCCAGGGGAAGATGGATTTAAATAAACCTTGCCGGGGGGGGGGGGGGAGGGGGGGAGAATTTGAACCAGAAGTGTCAAGTCTTTCCAGCCCAATGAAAGTGGTATTTCATTGAATGTGGAGGTGTTTAAAGGTAAAGAGTTCACTTTTTTGAGCAAGTGACTCAAAAGAAAAGGTCTGCAAGGTCTAGTTTTTGGAGCTCGGTCAGGGGGTGATGTTGAAGTTTTGAACTGATAGATGTGTTAGTGAGATAAGCACATGATTTTGTAAGGGTCTCAATTTTGAACAGAATAAATGTGTTTATTTTGCTCCAGATCAAGATTTTTTGTGAGCACCCTCAGAGTAGGAGAATTATGGAACAGAAACTTGAAATTCACAAGGATACAACTTTGAAAGATGCAGTATCTGTGGCTCACAAGGTATGGCACATTACATAATGAAAAGAGATTTTTTTTTACATCTTACTAACCAGTATTAGACACAGTACAGATGCAGAGAATTACAAACTGAGGTTTGATTACGAGAGTTAAGATGTGGCATTTTAAAATAAGACCATTACTTCATTTTACAAGATCCTCATTGGATAATTTTGCTCTGTTACGGTAGCTTTTCCACTTGGAGGAAATTCTCCCAGCTGAACAGTGTCGAATTGTGAAGTTTGATGAATACTATGATTACATTGAAAGGTCATATGATGGGGAAGAGGTGAGTTTATTATCTTTGTATTCAAATATAGTGCATGCAGTGCATTAGATACAGTGTATTTGGGGTGCATTTGGACACAATTTTGGCTAAGGGGGCAGGGCAGGAATTTGAACAAAGCAATCTTCAAAAGTTAGAATTGTGGGGAAGGGGGGAATTTTGAAGCTTCAAACTATCCATTACAACAAAATATCTAATGAAATGATCAAGGTGCAATCCCCAATGCTGGTGTTGCATGTAGGTGTGGTTTATGGTTGGCTCTTGAATTATTGTCTCATTGCCAAGGCTTTTACTTTGGTATTCCTCTACCTCAAAACCAAACTCCAAATTCCAAAGTAAACCTGGAAAGAGGGAAGAATGAGTCAAAGTGGTGGCTTTTTGGCTGCTTAAATCCGGTTTAGTTTAATTGCAATGACTAAAGGAAATAAACCCTTTAATTCCCATGAGTGACTAGACAGAATTCCTATTATTTCAAGGCAATATCAAGAAGACAAGTGATGAAAATAAATATTGATAATTCTCTCTATGTGGCACAACAATATGCACAGATATAGGTCAGGGGACATTGTCTGTTTCAAGATGGGAACAGTTTTCCTATAGGGAAACTTAAGGAAAACTTTAAGGAACATATAATGTCCAAGGACAAATATACAAGCGTATTTTTCCACGAAATAGAGGCTACTGTGTTTATTATTGTGTTTATCAACATCCTTGGATATCCCCCAGTTTTAGCTGGAAAACTTTCAGTCATGTGGTGCATTTAGACCAACAGTGTATAAGCAAAAAAATATTTTATGGATCAAAAAAAAGAATATTTAATTATTAGTTGATCCCATACTAACTTTACCAGAGTAATGTCTTAATAATTTATGGCAGAAGGTAAGGAGAATTACTCGTGAGATCTTGGGGTTTAAAGGGTTTACTCAAGTAGAATCAAGCCAAGGAGATAGCAATATTTTTCAAGTTGCTGCCAAATCAATAGAAATGCCTTGGAGGCCAAAGATTTCAAAGATTCCCCTAATTAACTAGAGGCATCTACTTTTTTTCTGTCCCTCATAAAAAACACCCTTACATTCACTTATTCCTAGATGATCTTGTTAACACTAAATGGACCTTGGAAAAAGGAGGTTGTCACCGGCCAAATAGTGCCAGGCTACTAAATGCAGTTCTTTCTGTAAACTCACCACATCGCTAGATCATTGATACTAATAGTAAATTTGAAAAAACAGCTACCATTTGCATTGATCTTGTATCTCCTCTTTCACACACAGGATAATCCCATTGGCAAAGTTTTGAATGGAGTTAAACAATCCTACATGTTTGACCTTCTCCTTGAAACTAGAAAGGAAGATGAAAGATTTAAACCCTATAAACCTGGAGGTAAACTTGATCTAAATTGTTCCTTTGTTTGTTGATAACTCCAATAAACTACCAGCTAAATTACTTTATATATGTATACCCATAGGTGAGATAATGTTATTGAACTGGGCCCAGTTGTTCAAAAGGAATATAAGTCATCCAATAAATAAGACACTATTTATTAGAAAATGCAAATTTGTCCTGTGGATAGTGTTATCCACCCTTGGAACAACCAGATAGACTGCTTTTTAGGTTGTAGGGTAGATAGTGTTGGTGATATTTTCATGTTTTTACCAGGAAGAAATAATCAGTAGTTCTCTCATCCATAAATGAAACATGGTGAATGAGTTAGAGCTTACTTGAGTGTTAAATGAATGTAATTTTACTTTGGTGTTATTGTCAAATCTGAGTATAAAAACACACAGGAGGGACATCTGTTAGTATTTTGTTGTTATGCCCTTGTGTCCTCAAGCACTCAGGGGATCAAAGTGTGAACATTTTAATAGCATTTTTTTTTCCCGCTCCTAGGTACAACAGTAAAGGTTCATGTGGTGCATCTAGAAAAAGAAAAGGTGGATCCATATGTAAATGTGCGACCACTGCTCAGTTCAACTGTGGGGGATCTTTGTGATCTTATTCATGAAGTAAGAACAGTTTCTTTTTCCATGCAAGTCTCAGGCTTTTCTTACCTCCAAGAGACACTGTACATTACTCATTGGTCTATTTTGTGGTTTGTCTCTTGGCAACTTTCTTTGTTTGCCTCTAAAAATGCTATGGTCATTGTTTGGTCTACAAGTTCTCAGGCTCCATTTACGGGTAGTTGAGAAAAAGTTGCTTGACCTGGTTGGGGAGGGGGGGGGTTGGGACCCCTTCCCCTTTCATCTTTTCACCCTTTTTATTCTCCTTCTTTTGCCTTGTTCCTATTCTCTCCAAACAACACTTTGAGAGATTTAAAAATAGACTGCTCCATAAAATGTTATGCATATGTTTCACTGTTATTTAAAAAATGGATTATCATTTAATTCATGTGCAGAAATTTAATCTTCCTGTGGACTGTATGAGGGTTGCGTTTGAAGGATCCTACAATGATCTGAAGCTGCTAGATAACCCAAGCAAAGTTCTAAAAGAACTTGGATTCTTCAAAAACAACAGGGTATTTAAATCACTCAAATATTTTTTCCAGATGAAATTGCATATTCTTCAATGTATGATATAGCTAAGAGAAATGAGGTAGCACAGTCTTTTACACATGGGGTTTAAATGTAAAGGTTGTAGATCAGTGTTTGGCAAGGCCTCTCTGTTCAGTGCTTGGTCAACACACTTTATTTCTAGAGTGCCTCTTTTTACCTTTGCACATACAATATAATGTTGTCATGCAAAGAGTTGAAAAGGAATCAGTTCCCTAAATCTCTTCTTTTCCAGAATAGTGCCAATCCCTCATTGTGGGTTAAAGAAAAAATTAGGAAGGGGATGCTTTTGAATCAATTTTAAATCACTTAAAATCAGTTTTATCAGCAAATGGTGTGGAAATTGTAAGGAGGAGTTTGTCTGGTATCCCATTCAATAAATAGAAGGGGGGAGGGGAACAATCTTCCTAGCTGTCAACTGGTATGGCATACTGCAGTATAACTTTTAGCTGCATGCGCCCATTTGCTTGAGCCAAGACTTAGGTGGCCTCAAGTTTCTGCTTAATATGAACCTGCAGTCAACTCAGATTAAGTTATTGTCTGGTACAAAATATTTGCCTTGGATAACAAAATGAATGTTTGTGGTTATATTCCACTAGGTGTTTGTAGAAGCTTCTGATAAAGAGGAAGATGTTCAGTTTAAAGATTCCAAACTGTTCAAAGTCTTAGATGTATTTCAGCACACTATTCAATTGTTTGTTTTATTACCAGATCCATCTACAAAACCATCAGGTATGTGGGGCCTTAAAGATTGTTAGTTGAACCATATTTGGCTACTTTGTAATCTGAGAATGGAAGGATTTTTATCTTCTCTGTGTACATCTCTATTACATCTGGTTATGTAGTTCATTGGCTTGGTTTGAAAAACAAGATGATGTCATTAATGTTTTGGGATCATGATAATTCACAATTATTACATTGATGTTTGAACAGAGAACTCCTTACATACTAACACATGTGTAACAACCTCTTGCCTATAGAGCACACAAGCAGATATATCTGTGAGACTACAGTTGATTCAGAGAAGAATGGAAAACAAAGAGGTGAGAAGTTGTGTCAAGAGTACAGAGATACAGTTATGGTAACATAAGTCTTCATTAACTAACTCTTGCACTTTCCTAGGAAATAATTGCAAGCCATGTTTGATTTTTAGAAAAACTTGTCCGAGTGGACAAAAGAATCACCCTTGGAAAACTGAAGGAAATTCTGAAGAGCGATGTTGGATGTGCACCAGAGTTTTTTAGGGTAGGTACTAGAGAATGTCTTTAGTTTAATATGTTATTTACCAAACAGAATTAGAGATGACTTGTGAAGTTGCAATCATTTGCTGGTGGAGAACAGGCATAAATCAGAGTTTCATTTGAGATGTCATTGATACTAGAGGTCTGTTTTTCATGATCATAGGTTTACAGAGTATACTCAAACAACCAAGAAATTGAGTACAGCAAGTTAACTGACCCACTTACAAGCTTCAGTGATGATTCTAAGGTTGGTGCCAATGCAGAATTTTCCAGGACAGTGAAATGTTGCTATTTTCATGGTAGTTTCAATATTGTTTTTCTGTTTGAGTGACACATTGGTAGAGTTCATTTTAATATTTACAGTTTGAAAACTGTCAGAATCATTTAGGCTGCACTTTTAGATACTTATTTTGTTGTAAATGATGGCATTATTATATTGATAGGTTAATTCTTGCCCTTCCTCATTTTCCTCTACATGTTAAATTAGTAAAATTGTAAAGGAACATGGACTTGCTGTGGTCTGGTTCATTTTACATTTATTCACTAGCTGAATGGTGGAGTAAGATCATTTTATTGACAGTATCTACATGAAACAAACACAACCTTTTAAGCTTTTGTGCTATCTAGCAATTGACTTTATTTGTAAAGTATGTTTGCACTTTGCTGGAAAATTATGCTCTACAGCAATCTTTAGTAGATGTTACATTTATAGTGGATATGAGGCATTCAATTCTTTCTGTGCTAGATACGAGTAAAGTACAGTCGTGCCCTCAAGAAAGGGGAACATCAGCTAAAAATATTTCTACTAAATCCTACGGAAAAGGAGGTGAGGGTGATTTGTTACAGAGAATTTGTTCTGTATATCTATTCCTGGACTCATTGTGCAAGTTCTTCCTGCATTCAATACAATTGCTACAATCCTTTTTCCTGCAAATAATTAGCATAAAATTCCTTCCTAACTGTCAAAGTTGAGCTTAAACTATGTTTTATAACAATATCAGTCTATAATAAAACTTTATAGTTGGTGTCTGGAAAAGAATTTTGACCCACAGTTTGGCCACTGATTCCTTTTGGGAGAAGAGATAAACTAAGGCTACTTTAAAGCAATAGAGCCCTTTAATTACATGTCATGATGATGATTAGTCTTTGCTGAAGGAAATGAATTGAATGGTAGTATCTGTTTCACTTCTAGCCTTACAAGTACTTTTGTGACTGGATTGTAACTGATGGTATGTCAGTGAAACAATGCAAAGAACTTCTACACCCAGAAATCTGCCAAAGATGTGGTATTGATGTACCTGTTGAAAAGTAAGTTTAATCATCACTCTAAGATTTTCAGCTGAAAGGGTACACTTAAAGGTAAAAAAATTTTTTTCCCACCTCCACTGAATGTTAATATGAATTAACACAAATATTATTACTATGAATTAATATTTATTAGTTAGTATGGTTAATTAAATATGGAACCCTTCCAGCTGGTTTTATGCCTGTTAAACAGCACTTGTTTATTTTGCAGCAGATACGGCCATGTTACTTCCTTGTTTATTTATTTGTTTTTGAAAAAGAGTTAAACTGTTAACTTTTTGTTTTGTTTTCCTTCAAATAAGGAATTTTTTTCTCTTTTATCTCTTCCTTTTTTTATTTTTAGTCTCAGGATGAGAAGAAAAAACTGGAAGAATCCTGCTGCAGTGTATGTTGATTCTCAGGTGTTTGAAGACCACATTCAGGTGTATGCAAGTTTTGAAGTTTTCCTGGAAATATTAGAAGGTGTGTGAGTTTGACTAAGAATTTTTATCAAATCACCACTTTAATAATTTCTGTATCTCCTCTTGTCAGATGACACACTTGACCATCATACTTTTTGTTAACCCCTTAATTCCTCGATATAACTGACAATAATTTCTAACTGAAATTTCATTTATTTTGACTTACTGTTTCTTCGTTTCTCTATTTTTATTGTGTTCATTAATCGAGGTGTGGAATTTCAAGTGTGAGGGTTTAATATGCAAAAGTAACTCTGAGTTATAATTATAGTTAATAATTTTGTGTCATTTCACTGTTCTGAATCCCCAAATTGTTCTTTTACATAGTATGTGCATCATATAATCACTTTCCAAAACAAAATATATCCACAACATCCATTTTTCACTCTTCTAGGCCCTGAATTAATGACTTCAACAGACCAGCTTTCAGTCTATGTGCGCCATTGGCATCCTTCAACTATAACACTTGACCCTCCCAAAGAGGTTGTTCTGCAAGACAGTGTAGTTGACGAACTGAAAGCTGCAGTAAGTTGGGATTAGTTAGGGCATGTTATTCATCAAAGAATTCTTCAATGGATCAAGGGTTTTGTGGCCAAGGCAGCAGTGTTTCATACTCACAGTCTGATGGCCCTCAAGGTTTAGGGTCACTCTGACCCTTAGTTAGACTTGTAGATTGTAGTTCCACTCTCTAGCATGCCAATCAATTAGAAGCTTCAACACCACCCATCCCCTCAACCACCACTTTCAGGCAACCCACATTTGACCTTCATCTGTACCTGGGGGGGGGGGGGGGGGGGGGGGGGGATTCGAACCAGAACTGAAAATTCTTTCCAGTGATACACAAGTTTTATATTTTAATATGGAGGTGTTTAAAGGTAAAGAGTTCACTTTTGGAAGGAGATGGCTTAGAAGGAAACTTATGGTGGCTGTTATTGCCTTTTAAAAAAGAATAGATCATGAAATAAGCACTTTGGTGGCATGGGCATTTGAATACTATTTTGGTCTAGAGGGTTGGGAGTTTGAACAAACCAATCTTCAAAAGTTCAAATGTGCAGGGGGTCCTTGGGAGGATGCTGAAGCTTCAAATTGGTTGACACATAAATATGCATACCTTGGAGATAGTCAACTGTTTTTTATTTTTATGTCTTCATGATTCATATTTACATTTGTGCTTCCAGATACTATAACATTTTCATTTGACTTTCCAAATTGATTGCTGTAGTCTGTGATATTTATAGATTGTAATTGTGTATTTCTCTTTCAGGTTAGCAAACTTGGTAGTGTTCCAGAAGAGAATTTAGAGTTGTGCAAGGTGAAGATTATTCAAGATTTAGGGTCAAATTAAAATCTAAAATTACTCTACCAGGATTTTTTTAGTTTTCTGTAGTTTATCATATTTTGGGAGGCTAGTTTGCACAATTTTATAGCAATTTCAGCACTGACCTTTGTTATAATCATGCACAGATGTAAAGCTACCATGCACACCACTTATTTAAACATCAACTTCTTTGAAAGTCTGTTAGTTCTTTGACTCACCAACATCATGGTGTTGATGAGTCATGCTTTAACCCTTTCAATCCCAATATCGCATTAATAATTCTCCTTACTTTCTGCCATTAATTCTCATGATTGTAGTTTGAAAAATGTAGCATTTTAACAACTTATAATCCCCTACTGATATTTTCCTACAATTTCATCACTTTTCTGCTTGATATTGCTATTGTAAAGAGAAATTCTGTTTTGGTCATTCATGGGAGTTTGAAAGTTGAGAAGTTTCACTGTTATAACTTGTAATCAGAAGACATAAACACTTCTTTATAAAGATAACCACACGGACACTTTCATTGTGTGGGGAAGTTATATTTGATTTCAATACCTCACACAAAGTGTTGGAGTTGACATAATTTTTTAGCTACTTTCTTAAGAACTTTGAGAATCCTATTTCTTTTTGTAATAAAAAAACTTAAGGGGATGTTTTCCTTGTAGGGCCGTGGACACTTTCCATGTGAAATGTCTGTTTTGGAGATTCATGATGAGTGTGACTGGTCAAGTGACTTGACATCCCTTAGAGCAAGTCCTCTGTTGATAACTGATGATGGAGCAGTGGTGTTTTTCAGGTTAGAGTCTTTAGTTCAGAGGAATGGAGGGCTTAAAATGTTCTGGATGACAATCTATCTGTCCTTGGCAGATAGATTGTCCTCAAAATTTCATATTTGCCCCTGGAAGCTTGGCTTCTTTGCTTTGCTTTATGGCTTTGTTTTTCTGCTTTGCTTCCTTTTCAATTTAGTTCAAGATTTAACTGTCAAAAGTTCCCACCTTTAAAAGTTACACTTCATCCTTTCTGTAGGGATAAAACAGAAAAGCTCATGGAAATAACAGAAGAAAAGAAGCAGGAAATCATAAAAAAAGAAAATGCAAAGTAAGAATTTCACCCTCTCATGATGATGTCATGTTTTACTTATCCAGAAAAGATTACAGCCACAATGATGTACAATCAATATTTTTTGTGTGTGCAGCATTTCACTAAAACAAAATTAATTTTTATGTTGTCTTTCAAGTGGCAGTTAGGAATATCTGGTAATACTTTATGAGGTAGTAATCAAGGGAAGTTATTTTAGCCCTGTAATCCAATTCAAATGAACAACAGTAGATTAACTGTAGCCAAATCACAAGCATGGTGTTCTATTTTGGAATTAACCCATAATAACTCCCAAGATCTCATTGTTAATTGTCTGCTCTAGCTGCTACACATTTCCTTGTAAATTAGTTAAGAGAATTTGGTATTAGATAAGGATGAAAATTAAACTTCTACCTGGAACATGTGAGTACTCTCATCGCCTGTTTGCTGGATAACATATGAATATTATATTGAGAAGTTTCATGTGAACTCCACTTCCAGTAATGAACAAATGCATTCTTTTTATCATCATACAGGAGCAACAACTCAAATACAAGAATTGGAAAATTTTCTTACAAGGAAAGAGCTCTAAAAATTTACACTGATGACAACAGACCAAGCAACTGAAAAGAAAGAGAGTACTTATCAATTAACCAGGGTTGAAACAACTCAAGAAACGCACAACCACTTGCATTGATAGAGAGATGATGGACTGTGCAACAATATTGATAAATATTATGGAGTTCCTAGTACAATCAATAATGGATTGGGAAAGAACACAGAACAATGAGATACAGAAACAATTCTGTTTGATTGACAGTAGCCCTTGTAAGTCAATAGTTTTGTGCATGGAAGGCAGAGAGGATGTCTAAAATTCCCATGAAAAGGGGCCTAGGGATCATTAGCATTGTGTTTTGTAACCTCACTTTTTGCATAAACTTATTGATGACTGAAGTGACCCTGAACTAACTCACCTTATCTTCAAATGCAGAGCTTCAATTATTTTAAGTCAATAGAATTTTCATTATAATTACAATGTAGTAGAGGACTTTGCAACTTAAACTACAAACATAAGACCTTTATTTCTACCATTTAGTTCACCTCATGGTTAATTTTGGTCTACACAGTTCTTCTGAACAGGACATGTACAAATGGTTACAGAAGAGCTTTTTGATATTTTCCTCCAAGAGAAAAACATTGGGAAGTTTTCTGATGTGCATATACTCAAAATCTGTTTTCTGCAGAAAATAAAACAAAGTCTGCCCTTATAATCTAGGATAAAACACAAATATTTCACTTGATCTATTCCCTGCAGTCACAGTTCTTTTCAGAAGGCTTTCAAGAAACATGTATGATACGTGTACATTCCAGTTTTCAAGCTTATGGAAAAATCGTTTTTGCTCAAGTATGTAATCTTATACCAAGCTCCAAGAGCTAGGTTTAGTGTAATTTAAGAGGTGGCTGATGAGTCAAAACTGCAACTTGGTAAAATCCATTCAGGAAACTCAACATTGGTAGTTACTCAATGAAAGATGCTGTAAAACTGAAGTTCTTGATTGTAATTAGAGGACATTTTGATACTAGCAGTGTACTTTATTATCTAACGCTGAAGGGGAACTGCAACACCAACAAATGGGCAATTTTACCTCTACCTTACAGAGCAGTAATCTCCTTGGGGTTTTCCACTATTTGCATTGAATTTGTGTGAATTACTTGCAAAAAATGCTAAAACAATTGTGGTCAACTTCTGCTTTCTGAGCTCTACTTGTGTTTGCTCATTCAGAGTAAAAGAAATATTTCTCACGACATCAGCTCTTATAGGAAGTTTGACAAATGAACTGTGGGTCACTGAAGATTTTTACAAAACATTTATCAGATGTTGTGATTTTTTGTTACCGGTCTCTCATAATAAAACAATGAAAGTATCATTTACAGTAACTGTAGTATGTAGATTAGTTTCAAATTGTCTTCATGTTGTGCATCAATTTTTCTACTATTACTATCATCTTTACAATTAAATTTCAATTTAGGTCAAGCTTCAATCAAGATGCTGTAAATCTTGAAAACAAACAATCTTAAGTCAACAACAAAAACAATTAAAAGCTCTTTCTGTAAATAGGGAGGTGTATTTGCAGTTTCTTGTAATTTTTTTGCAGCTATTGTTTGAAATCATTAGAACCGGCACCCACCCCTTATTGCTAAGTTAAACTTTTTGTTAAAACTGAACAGTAGGAACAAGCACAAAAGTTGAAGCATAAACAAGAGACAACACTTGGAGGGATAACTGCTTTATTTTGACTTTCCTGTTTTCGTTTTCACAGCCCCCACTGCCTGAGAATTTAGCAAACCTAAGGCTATTCTAAATACATGAAGTTATCAAGGAGGGTGAGGATGAATGGTGATGTCCACCCAAACAGTACATCAATGGAAACTCATACTCAACAAATACATGAACCTTTTTCAATACATCACCCCATTTTTTTGTTTCAATAAATATTAACTTTTAAATACTATTAAATATATGATTTAATTAAGAGTTCAAATTTTAAAGTTACCTCCCTGAATAATTTTCCTGCTCAAATGAATTTTTCAGCTATAATTTACCAACAAATTTAAAGACTTAAATAGTGATCAATCATTCAACCAAAACTTTGGCTAGTGGGACCCTAGTGGGAGTGAAAATATTCCACTGGCCAAGCTCAACTGCATGTAACAAGAATTTTAAGACACTTGTGTCAATTCATCTCTGGGATTTTGGCCTTTTTCTCTATTCCAAGCATTACAGCAAAACCTTATACTTGTTACTTGGACACTTCCATTTGGAAACAGTTTAGAAGAGCTATTTCTTTTCACAACTGTCCATTTGGAAACTGCTGTAAAAACAAGTCATTATGGTGTTTCTGAAAAAGCTTAAGCTGCTCCTCCTTTTCTTTTACACTCATTTGTAGGTTTTCAATGATAAAGAGCATGAGCTTGTTCAAGGCTTCACCTGTTGTTTGCTTTGCTTGCATTCTGTATTCTTCAAGAGACATTTGTTGACAAACAGTGGAAGGCAAGGATGGGCAAATATCTCTCTGAGCAAAGAAGATATTTCTTTTTAATTTCTCTTTAAGTTCAGATGGTACTTTGAACATGTGGCACTGATTCCTCACCATTAGTGAAACCAATTTATGGCCTGACCCCTATGAGAGAGAAAAAATTCGATATTTCCATCAAGTGAGGCTCATGTTATATGCAGCACTTATATGAGCCAAAGAGCAGCCTAATTGCACCTGTTACACTTCCATTCCACTGCAAGAAACCTAACCAACAAAACACTAAAACAATAAGCATGTCTGTGCCCAAGTAGCAATAAAAATTGTCACGTCCTCAGAAAAATTGGCAACAAAAAGTAACTCCCAACATTTCTTTAAAAGTTTATATGTACTTTCCACTTCCCAAGAAATAAAGAAACTTTGTTGAACCCCCAACATATTTTTAATGTTGGATCCCATTAAAATCAATTCATACTGGCAGTCACTGGACTCCTCTCATATGAAGGATTCAAAGCAATGTACCTGATTCTGTGAGGTTGGTCATGATTGTGAAGTTTAAGGTAACTTAACTGCGCACTTTATACATTTAAAAAAATAAATAAATAAATAAATTAGCTTCAAACATTTCCCCATCATTCATTCAGTAGGACAAAGACTAAATGCAACTCACTTTATCTTTAACATCTCTTGGTAAGATAGCACTCATGAACTTCTTCACAATAAACCTTCCATTGCTTGTTCCCTCAGTTGTTCCAATAAAAGTCAATAAATGTCTAAGGTGTTTCCTTTGACTTTCTCCAAGCATCATAACCAACAGTGGCAGAAACTTTGCAGTCTTTTTCCAGTCTTTGACAAGAACTGAGAGAATACCATCCACCAAGTCAGTTAGGTTCGAAGGAATCAATGAGTCCTCTAGTGATCCATAATATTCTGATAAAAGCTGGTGTATTTGTGCTTTATCAATGTTCCTCAAATTTGAATAGCTGTCTTCACCACGCTGTGCTAAAGGACATTCTTTTTGCAACTCAATGCACTCCATGCCAGCTGTAACCCAAACATTGCTTGACTTTGAATTGCTGATGTTCTCCTTGTTTTGGCTATCATTATGAATACAAGGTTCCTGGACACTATTGTGGATTGCTAGAAATCCAGTTCTCCTATCTGTCAATGGCAAGGTCAATATGTCCTCAAGGAAAGGAATATCGGTAAGTCTAAGGAGTCGTGATAGAGCCACTTCAAACCACACTTTGCTTGTCAAATCTGCTTGATCAGTTGAATCAGGGAACATGGTTGACTTGTTCTTTCTGTGCAAAGACAGAATTTCAGCATAAATCAACAACTTCACTTAATAATGCTGCCAGACATAACATAGCCAAGAACATAATAAGTTGATTATTAACACGACTTCGGGTCTCAATTGCCGTATCTTTTTAATATAGGAAAACTCTGGTTTAGTAAGCAAAACTACTTCTAGTTACACTAAGATATCCACCAATGCCCTACAAAGCACAGTCGCATTTGAATCTTAGGCATGGAAGTTTCTTTACAAGCCCGGTGGCTTCCTGGGTCTTCTCGCCTTCTAGCTATAACCGCTGTGAATAAATTGTTTGTATTTTGTAAATAAGGCAAATAAAAGACGAAAACTAAAATTCAATTACTAACATTTTGTACCTCATCATAAGACCAGGGTCAAGACTAAGCCTTCTTCGTTTCTTTGGTGCTTCATGTGTCCTTGTGTTAAAAATTTCAGGAGATTTTGAGGACATGAGAAGATCAGCGAATCGTTTTTGAGCCCTTGGTGTAAAACTCACTGACTTTCTCCTGCTCGCTGGCTTCCTCTCCTTTTCACCAAGAAGACTCCTCCTTCTATTTACTTTCTGTTTCTGTTGAAGGGGGGAAGGAAATACGTGTTCCAGGGGGCCATCTCCGGACGAAAATCTGTACAATTTGTTGTTTTCCTCGAAGGTGTCTCTTTTACTGCTGTCAACACAAACACACTCGATTACTCTTTTTTCCACCAAAATCTGACATAAAGATTTGACCTGGGAGCGAGTGGCTTCTTTAGATAATAGTGGATTGCTCTGAATGTAAGAATGGAGTACTTCAACAACATCTCCACCACGAAAACAATTCTCGTAATACTGAAACTTCCACCGCCTTCGACGTGGCTCGACTTGGGTTCGAAGATGTGCGATGAGATCGTTCCAAATTTTCGTTGCTCTGAAAGGCTTGTGTTCAGCTACATCTTCATTGCCACGGTAGTTTACGGGTTTGTTTTCAGTCATAATGCCTATGGAATTTCAAACCCTCAAAAGGAATCTCTACGCCGTTGGTAAACGCCGCGAGCACAGGTAAAAAATTTAGCAAGTTTGAATCAACCGCCAAGACATGTGACAAGCTTAATTTGCATATGACGAGAAATACTGGAAAAGACAACAATAAGTTGTCCTCTACGCTGTCGTAAGCGATATTCAATTTGTTAAAACACTGAGGAAATCTTTCCACATAAAACCAACTTGGTCAGTTGAATGACCTCTTTATTTCCATGTTAAAAATGCATTTTCAGGAATTCTTAATAAATTGAGGGGGGTCCAAGATTTGGTCCCTACAATGTAAGCTGCCCCCATGGTGCTTGTGTGTAAACATATGGATGCCGCCAAAGGCACAAGCTACAGCATTAAAATGAACCACATCATTTCTGACAAGTAAACAGACAATTACTCGCAATAAACAATACTTTAATAGAGAATTTTTAAGTTTTGTTACTTGTACCATAATGGAAAGAACTTTTGAAAAGTTGTATCCAAGAGATGAGAAAAAACTTGGTTGGATTCTTTTCAAATCACCATATCAATTCTCTGAGCTGTCACTCAAAGCCCTCTTTCATCTACTTTCTTCTGCTGTCTCTCTCTTATCAATTTGCTCTTCCTTCATTCAGACTTAGTTAACTGAATTGATTGAACACATCCATAGTTGACTCAAGAGGTGGAGAAAGGGGCAATCTGTTTACTTTGGCTGGCCTGTTTTTCCTTCTTCTGTCTCTCTCTTATCAATCTTCTCTTCTTTCGTTCAGACTTAGCTAATTGCATTGTCTTGAACACATCCATAGTTGACTCAAGAGGTGGAGAAAGGGGCAGTCTGTTTACTTTAGCTGTCCTGTTTACAGAAATTAACAAAGAGAGGGGCATTTTGAGTGCTCCAGCTGTCTTGATTAACCAAAACTTAATTCACCATAGAAAATCATAATAATTCATAAGATATAAGTTTTTCAAAAATTTTCTTGAGCACTACATCCTCTCAAAGTTTCAGTTGAACAGAGTGGAGCCCTTGACCCCTTTTATAGCCCACCTGTGACTAGTTTATTACAGTATCAACACTGAATCAAACATGAAAGTCAGGAGAATAAAGTAAATGACAGCCAACCTATGAGGCTTTGATTGTTAAGTAAATTATCTTTGTCAGTACCAAAAGAAATGTGTTGAGAAGAACAGGGTAATTTAGTATAATCAACTGAGTTGATAATGAAAATAGGCCATTGCAAAAGGTTTCAAAGCTGATGTGTTGAGCTTTAGCCCTTTGTCAGAGCGTCCATTGGATCTGAAAAAGGGCTAATGCTTGAAACACCAGCTTTGAAACTATTGACAGGGGCCTATTTATGTTATCAATTCAGTTGATAATACTAATACGCTCCCTTCAATGCAACACAACAGTATCTTTTGAAACTTAACCCCTTAATTTGTTTGTATAGAGAAGAGTATGGATAATATAGATACTCATATTAGGGTGTAAAGGCTTAAGGGTAAGCTTTCTAGGGTCAAGAAGATGTGGCTGTTGAAGAAAGGACACTGCACTCATCCCAAAAAATATTTAGGAAACAAGACCAGACTCAGCTTTGACCAGTGAAAGGGTAAGTAGACATCCCAAAGAATATCATTCTAAAGTAAATGTGAAAATAAAGTTAATCCTCAGCCTTCCCTTTTTATTTCTCCTCTACAACACAATAGCACTCACTGATTCCTCACTTAGTAGACTGTGTTAGAATTTGGAGGATTTAATATAGTTATTATTGCATGCCAAATATGTTCAGTGGTTCAAGTGCTTGTTTTGGTTTAAAATTTTTTGACGTACAACAGTTATGATCAGAGCCTTGAATAAGGAAAATAAGAAATTTAATCTTTTGAAAACCAGATTCAATTTCCAACCCAAGGAAAAAATTTAAGAACAGTGAATGCAAGTATCTTCCAGTCCTTTCTGGTTTGATGACCAAGATGAAAAATCTACATCTAATGCAGACAAATTTGAATTATAGCAAGTTAAGTTCATAATTAATTAATATAATTATTTTGCCAGAGAGAGAGAGAAAGTAATGGGCAGACCTCACAGTCAGTTGATAGGAAGTGTTGGCAACATGCAAGCAATTACATCATACCTCTTCATTTCTTTATATACCCTGAGTGATATCCAAGCATCTGTGGCAGCATAGAATAATTGCCTTTCAGTTAATTTTGTCTGTGACCAGTCAGACCTTCCAACTTGTTTAGATAGCAGCTCATCAAAGAAAATAGCACACATAGCTCTTAAGCTCAGTGGGTAGCAGTTCATTTCACGGGCCCAGATTAGGGTGTCTACCATATTGTTTATGCACTCTCCGTATTGATTTTGAATCAAGCTTGCATCAAGAGAGATGGCATGCCCCACCTGTTACATGTGGAAAAAAAAAAGTCATCTCCAAACTCTAAATAGTAAATATTACACAATATCTTCTAACAAAAGCAATGGATCCATTTTAGATGCCTTAATCAGCATACTGGTGTTAAAACAAATCTATTTACTAAAATTGAAATCTACCATCAAAGGGAGGAATTTAATTTCCTTGATTAATTATATCTCACCATGTTTGAACAGTGTATTTACAATTTGAGAAGATATTATGTGATCAAAAAGATGCTAGCCTACTAACAACTCAGAAATTACATAATATTATCACAGAGAAAATATAGATTAGTCACTCTCTCTCTCTTCTTCAACAAAGACTTAAAAAAGCTGTCCAAGTTTTTACCTCCTATTGGAATATAAGAGATTGCACATTTAAAATTGGTTGTGTAATAGTTCTTTTTGTTACTTTTTGTTCAAGTCTGTAGGAACTTTGTGCTGCAGATATCTTCAAATACACATCAAACCTTGCCAAAAGGGAGAGAAATGTCCATGATAAGACTATAAACCATGCGACTAGAGAAGACAGTGCCACTGAGGTCCACTTTGCTAGCATGCTTCAAGGAACAAGGCAGAACACAAGAGGGTGTATTGTGATTCAATGAGATGTTAATGAGTGACCCTGTATTCTGTAGTTTTACCCTGTAGACTAACTATTGTTTAGAATACATAATTATGAATACTGATAATGAATGTATCATTATTCATTCTCCTAAAGAGAAGGTATTCTTTTTTAAACATGGCCAGGGTTTCAAAGCCTCAGCAACCCAATTCATAGCCTCAGTGTCCCCACCCCACCACTACAAAACCAACCCCCCCCCCTCACCCTGATCCCATGTTTTGCTAGACTAATACTGAGTCACTGGCTCACCTTACCTTCAACGCGTCTCCACGAAAAAGGGATAACAAATATGGCGGAAGTTTTTCGCGAAAGCTTCCCTGATTACATATCCATAAAACGGCATTTTTCTTTGAGGCCAACTGAATCAAAGTGATCCTTGGCAAAGCATTCAGACGTTGCACAGACTCTGTATCTAGTCCGAGAGCGTCTTGATTCTGGAAATCTTGACAGACTTCACCATTCTCCACCAGTCGCCGTTCGTCTACCTCATTTTGGACGATGTGAACTTTCCCTGGAAACTTACACGGCTGCAGAATTTGGCCATTTCGAGTAAAATAGTCACTCGGTAAGACAAATGTGCGGGTTGTGCCACTGGGAGACCCAAGTCCAGGATTATTGTGCGGCTCGTCTTTGTGGGTCGAGCACGCCCTTGAGGCTTTCTTTTTCATATTAGTGTAATCTGCAAAATCCTTTAAAGCTTTGATTCCCTGTATTCTGAGTCGTTTGTACATCTTTGGAAAATCTAAAGTGCTTCCGGCTTCGTTGGACAAATCACGTAGTCTTACATGACCATATTGATGATATGGGCTCATACAGCGGCATCATGTAAAGGGTAACCGTGTTCGCACACAGGGAATAAAGGGGGGTGGGGTGGGGTGGGGAAGGAGACGTCCTCATTCCCATACAAAATTTGCCTGTAAAGTTGTAGAATACGCTGGCCTGTAACTGCACTTCTAACAAAAAGAAAAATTGGATATTGGTACAGAAGTGATGATGACTACGGGTACAGTCTTTAAATGATAGATCATAAGTCCTATAGTCCAGTCTACGGATCCAAAGTAATTACTACGGCTTCGGATCCGTACTTCTCAACAATAATGCGAAGTTATTCATGCGAACTTTGTATCCGTAGTAGTAACCTTTCTACCAATTTCCACTTTTTCCATCTATTAATAATGGCCACTATACTAAGACATTTACGGAGTGGTTGTTGGTTGTTCATGCACTCGATTAGGTGAGAAGCTGCGACCACGGGCATACAGTCCCAAAATTTTGAAATCGCCTAAATATTTTCTTGGAGATTTCATACATATCTCCTCAAATTCTGTGCTCTTGGCTGGGTGTATAAATCGTACGTTTTAAGGCAATAACAGTTGACCCCTTTTCAACGACGTACAATTATCAATAGGAAACTCACTACACAGGTAGCACGAACACATAATACACTGCCTGATTGCTGTGTCAGTTGTATTTCCGTTTATTTTGTAGAAATAGACTGAAAACTACATTCCATTGTATGACCTCTAAAAATATATCATTTCGTTTTAACTTCAATTTTCAAAATAATCTTAAATAATGATTTTCCAGCATCATATGTAACAAAGAACCTACATTAAATAGAAAAGAAAAGAAAATATTTCCACTAATTTTACAATGTATTTTTTTAACGATCAATTATTTCATTTACTTTGGAACGATCCACTGCGCTTGTTGTGTGTCATACTCTTTTGTCTTGGAGTTCAAAATTTTATGATGTACACAAATAATTGGCAGTTCGTGATTTTCTTTGGTCAAGATGTGAAGACAACGAAACAGCGGCATCGTTAATAATTCTGGCCAATTTATAGCATCTAGAGAGCCGGTTTCTCCTTGAATTCGCACATGGAAAACTTAACAAAAGCTCAAAATCGTGTAGCCAAAAAAAAGTTTTTACCCTTGTTTCCGACTGCTTCAGCTCCGCTCAGTTTTGAGTATTACCATTGCGTATGCATCTTCCCTATTAAATAATCGTTCCTATACAATTATAAATAATTTTATAACAAAACTGACTAAAAGGAATGATGAGGTAATTAGCAGCATTCCTGCTCAACCTGACAACATTCTTCCAAGAGTATTCACCGATTTGATTAGCTATCTGATCTCTCATACACAGTTATTACAAGAACCTCGATGCCGAGGATCGTTATCATCCGGCACGCAAATCTTAGTACTGATGCATACCCTGTCAAGAAGGGTAATTTGGTGCGTTGTAATACTTTCCTTGATGTAAAAATAAAATCCTGTAACTGACGTTCTTAAACTCATAATATCCTAAATAAACTTTTTCTGATTGAAAGAGATCAATCTTTTTAATCGTCACCTCTAGACGCCCAAGGTGACATCCACCACAATGCCCTATTATAATCACGGCGGTTTAGGCGGCGCAGGCTTTCTTCTGGGTGATCCAAAACCCTTCTTTTTCTTGGTAAAGCCAATCGGTACCTCCCAAATCTTTCTTGGTATGTGTGTATAGTATGTGAAAACAAAGGCTCTGGTAATGCCCTGTCCACAACGTGTGTGTTTCAAGCTCTGCATTCGTTCCACGTTGTCTTCTCTTCGCTTCAACAGCAACGCTTTCCTTCTGGCGGCCGCCTGAGCAGATCGCATACGCGCTAAAGCTTCCAATCTACGAGCCATCTCGATGCGTCTCTGTTCCTCTCGAAGTCGTTCTTGCTCCGCTTCCTCTCGCCCGCGCTTTTCGTCTTCTGCCCGCTGGCGTTCTGCTTCTTCCCTGCGCAACCTTTCCTCTTCTTCCTGTCTCAACTTAGCTTCCTGCATTTCAGCTATTCGCCTCATCTGTTCACGATACTCCCGCTCTTCCTGCAGCCTCCGCAACTCCTCCTCTGCTTCGCGTATTTTCTCCTCCTCCAACATTCGTTCTTCTTCTTCCCTTTGAAGTTCAAGGAGCCTCTCTTCTTCACGTCTCTGTTCTTCTTCCAAGCGCTCCATTTCTTCTTTTCGCCGCCGAGCTTCTTCAATTTCCGCCATTCTTTTCTCGCGATTCATTTTTTGCTGCTCAAGTTCTTTCTCTCGCTCTCTTAGCTCCTCTTCTCGTTTCTTCTTCTCTTCTCGTTTCTTTTGAACTTCAAGCCTCCTTCGCTCGGCCTCAGCTGCTCTCCGTAGCTCTCGTTCTTCACGAGCCTTTTTCTTTGCCTCTTTTAACCTCTCCAGCGCCTCTTGTTCCTGTTGTTTCGCCTCTTCCTCCTCTACCAATCTTTTCATCTTTTCTTCTTCGATATTTCTCTGCTTCTCTTCTGCCTCTGCTTTGGCTAAGGCTGCCTCCTCTTCACGCTCTTTTAATAAACGCATTTCTTCCTCCCTCATTCTCTTCTCTTCATCCTTCTTTTTCCGTTCCTCTTTCCTTTGGTCCGCTCTGATTTTAGCCAGCTCCTTCTTTGTCAATTTTATAGGTTTGGAAGGAGCGTGCGCGTCTTTCTTGTCAAGTGGAACTTCTAGAGCAACTTGCGGCATATCTAAGGTCTGCACAGACTCCTTCCTCGTTTTTGTATAATTGACAGCAGAAGCGCTACTACTTGGCTGATTATCAGTAGCTGACGTGGCCTTACTCTGCTCCTGAATAAATTGACGTAGTTCATCGTCCATTCCATCTAACATATCTGGTGTGTTGAATGCTTCAAAATCTATGTTTTCAGGATCTACTGTAATTTCATCTTTTTTCTTGGCAAATTTCCCATGTTTTCCAGATTTCTTCTTCGAATCGGCTTTCTGAAATAATTCAGACGGAAAATATTTTATAATTACGATTGCTTATTCTTAAGTTTGGCAAAAATATTTATTTGGGGCTTAAGATTGGACATGGACATTCTATGCTTGTATTAAAGCCAACATAGGTCTTTCTCATGACCCTGTTTTTAACAAAGAGCTTAGCTGCCTTGTTGGTTTATAATTGACACAGTTGAATTTCTGCCTTAAGAAAATTTCTCGTAGCGTAGAGCCCTGGGTACTTTATGGGAATGGGGTCAAACGTTTTAGCAAGAAAAAAATGTAGGGATAACTCTTGATGCACAATTTCATCAGCACCACACAGACGGAGGTTCTAACTGAACGAAATTTATTCAAAAATTATTTGCCATGTCATTTCCCCATGAAGTTTGTCAAAATTCTCGCTACATCCATCAAAATGTACTTACCCTTTCTTTAACTTTACTTGGTGTCTTATTTTTATTAACCAGTGCCGCCAAATCGGACAAATCGTTCTTTTTCTCTGCTACAAGTGGACTTGTTCTAGTGACCAGTCCTCCTGAAGAGGAATCGATTCCTTCTCCCTCTTTCCCAATACCCTCCAACTCCAGTTTGCCATCTCTAGGCGCATCATGTTTGTTAAGCAAACTGCTGACTATCTGACGGCGGGCTTCTCTTTCTTCGTCTGTTGGTTCTTTCACCTCTTTTGCCTTGTCGTCGCTTTTTAATAAATTCAATTCTGAATGATCAGGTTTCGACTCAGCCTTGTTTTTACCAAACGGCTTTTCAATGACGTTTGACGAGATGGGTTTAGATTGCTTATTTATTTTAGGTTTCACAGCTTCAGGTTTAGTTGGACTCATCGCTTCTTTTTCCATACTCGAGAGGCTTGACTTCTCCACAGCTTTCGCTTCAATGTCTTTTTCCTCAGCCCCAGTCTCTGAACCTCGACGGCTTCGCGTAGACCTATCACGAATTTGAGGCTCTTGCCCAGACTCGATGTAATTTCGCACGGCCTCACCGATACTCACGGGAACACTTCTCTGGTCTTCTGTTATTGGGGACGATGGCCGCGATTTCTCGATGTCAATGGTTTCCTTATAGGGAGAAGGAGGTCGATTATCGTCCACCTATTGGATATAAATTGAGTAACGTAAATGGTAGCGAAAGTAAATTTCTCAGTAAAGAAAAGGATACAGATATGGAGCATTGTAGAGGAGACAGGATACTACCATAAAATAGAAAAGAACAGGGGCGTGGCCAGGATTTTTCAAAGGAGGTGGGAGGGGGGAGGGCTGGGTTCACGGATTCAAATTTCCGCGCGCCTTACTTGAGGTGGGTTATGCCGCTGCTCTATCCTGTGTATCCGCAGGCACTTATTCACGCAGCGTGTGGAATAGGCAAAAGAGTATCTAGCATTGGAAAAGTATTATTTAAATTCTTCGAAGTCACGCGTTTTCACGACCTGAATCATACCGTTTGAATGTTGTTGCCTTCTAAAATTCTGGTCGTGGTGGTTGTTTGGTCGGTGGACAAAATCTAAGCTTAGCGGACGGCCAAATGATTATCCTTGATAACTAACTTAGCAGCGACTTCAAGAAATGTATGGAAATGTTTATAAGTATCGTCAGTTTTGCCGTTTGCAACATGACCAGCCATCACTCTAAAAGGTATTTGCCACTTCAAATGATTGAAAGCTGCACATGTAAAAATTCTGTCAATTATGACTGAATCGTAAAGTACATATCACATCAGTGGAAATTAAACCTCGGCTAAACTGATCGTCCAGAATAGCACGTGCTTAAAAATTCGTCCTAGAAAATGATTATTTCAAAAGTGTGTCACTACCCAAAATACAGAATTTAGGGAAGCAAAGGGAAATATACATTAAAATAAACGCACCTCTCCGACTAGTTCTAATCTAGCTTCTGGTAAAAGTTCTTTGTGGAGTATTTGTTCAGCTTTGATCGGCGCGGGAGAGCTGGAACGAGGTACTGTCGCTGGTGTGGATGTTGGTTTCTCTGGTGCACTCAGTAGGGAATCTTTCACTTCTGAGAAAATTTAAGGGCATAGGAAAACGTGAGAATTGATAAAAAATTATGGTGGCATGGGCATCAAAAAAGAAGAGATTTGTCAGTTTTTAGCACGTTTGGGTAAAAATGAGCGAATCATAATTGAATTCCTGATGGAAAACGCTAAGCACTTACTCAAACACGTATGATACACTTTGTTAATCGTAACCATTTTATCAACATCGGCTGTCACAATATCTTTTAGTAAAGAGCTTTCACTTTAGGTCTAAAAGAATAAAGCGCCTTACCGACTATCATGACAGATAAGCCTAATGTGAATTCCCTTCAAACCCCCGATTGGAATTATTATTTTACTCACTGAATTAGCATATCTGTGTTGTTTCAATTGGATATTCATGTTCTCGGTTATCTAATGCATCATTACATACGCATGAACGGTGATCGGTAACTTTCCTTTTTCAAATTGACTTCATTAAAAAAAGCTAGCTGACAAAAATAGATTTGCACTCAAGAAATTTGTGGGACTCTATTAACCTCTTCAGTTTAGTTCCGTATATCCATTATCGCCCAATATGGATGTATTATTTGAGTAATGACATTCATTAAATCTTAGAGGCCTCCGACACAAAAGGCACAGATGGTGTAATGTGTTCATAAATAATTCCTGTTAAAAACCAGAGAACGGAATTTTTTACGCATTTTTGCAAGATACGAAAAACGATTATCCAGAATCGAATAAACCTTTTCTAATAGGTTCTTGCCTTGTACATAGATCGAGTTTGTCTGAAGGAAAATCTTTATAAAGATATTGAGATGTCAGCAGAATCTGTTTGTACAGCTAGCCGTGCCCACTCGAGATGTAAATGTGTAAATTTAAATTCAAACGCACCAAAAATATAACAATCAAGAAAGCTCAGAGCATAAGAAAATTTTATCACCCATCGCGACAAAATAAAAATTTTATCTGAAGTTTATGAAATACTCGGCAAAATTAAGAAGCAAACACTTAAGCAGAAAGAGAAATTAATGATGTAAATTCAGGAAAAGTGTTTTTTTTCTCAAGTTACATTCTCATTGTTTTCAAAAACAGTTATGCTTTTTTTTTTCAGCAGTCTGTTCGCGAAAACCCAAATATCTTACCTTTAACGCGCGAAGGAAGTGCAGAGTCTTGCACAACGGCGATGCTATCATCATGTATCGCTGTGTCAGCGATAAATTTTTCCACTGGTTGAGAGGACTGAACCACAACAGTTTCTGTTTCTTTGAGTTCCTGAGTTTCGATACTGGACGGCGTAGTCTCACTTTCATGTGGCTTCAGAGGCGAAGGTACTGACGTCAGAGCCTCATCTTTGTGCACCTCTATTGTTGGCGTTTCTTGTTGCTCCTCCTCAAGTTCTGTCGCTTCCGTCAGAGTTTCTACTCGAAGACGAAAAAAAAAACGCATTTTTTTGTTATAACAATTACTATAGTTTTAAAACAAGTGAGGAAGGGTTTACTCAATCTTCGAAAACAAGCATCTCTAACGTCACAAAGTTTCCTTTGTCGGGGAGTGAGATAGACTGTACTCGAAGACTACTGACATTTTCTTATTTACTATCAGATGACCTTTATACTTCTGTGTACGAGATACATCCTACGTTTGAAGTTCTTTCGCACGATCACAGAGAAAAAAAACTTCTTCATCTTGGTTTTAACTGGAAAGGCCCGCACTTGAGATAAAGGTGCCTCAATGATTCTTGTCCAAAGAGCGATCCAATCTTCAATCAGGTAATCTAAAATCAAAATGTCTAAAACGTTTATTTTTTACAAAAACGGGTCTTAGGTACCTGGTTGAGCGGGTCCTGGGTCTGAGCTTCCCTTCGTGTTTACAGGTAGCGCAGAAGGAAATTCCTTCTCAGGAGGACCATCACGGGTAGAAATAGTCAGCTCTACAACGAAAAAAAGGGAAATATACAATGTGTGAGTCTATTTTCAGTGGAGTGTGGAAATCAATTCGTGATTCCTTGGTTACTTTTTGCAGCTGAGATTCATGTGGAAAATTCGTGTCAATCCCCCAACCAATCAGATGAAAAACAAAGACCAATCGCGACTGGGTCAACCGCGCTTTTCCACGATCGAAACCAGATCCTTTTTTACCTTAAATTGCCATTGGCTTGTTGAAGTAGTTGCCTTTTCTGATCGGTTGCTGCAGTTTCTTTGGGTTTGGTTTAACGACACTCATCCAAAATGTACTTCACGATTCATTTGAGTCTCTCTGAGTTACCTTTTCCTCTGCGCAATTTCCCAACAAAAAAAGTTTTGTAAACAACTAAAATTTCCATTGATGGTCTTTCTTAAGAGGTATTATATTCCGTTAGCGACCACAGATGCTTCATGTTTTTGGTAAACCGGAGGTTTCACTGATCTCAAAACAGCGGCTCTATGCAGTGAATCTGGGAGGGGAAATCTCTTGGTACCAACGCTTCCACGTTCAAACGTTTGAGACTTCCTTTAAATTGTGTGAGATCCTTTCGGAAGCTTCGTAAGCGAATCGCATAGTATTCAAAAAGGATCTCACAAAGCTCAAAGAAAACCCTTACCCTCTGCGATGCCTTTTTTGTCATCACTTTCAATTGTTTCATCAGGCCAATCAAATTCTCCTCCCTCACTGATACAAGGCCATTCCTGGTCAGCAATTTCTTCTTCTGGAAGCAAATATTCATATACCCCTTCGACCACCGGTTGTGATCGAACGATAGTCTCGGAAACCTGGGCCAGGTCAGCCTCACTTCCAAGAGTCGCTCTCGTTTCCATGCCTTCCTGAACCGATTTTGCGCTCGATGTCCTCGTGTCGATGTCAGTTCCATCTTGTGCGTCTTCTTCTTCCACAGGACCACTTTGCCGACTCCTGATATGTCTCTCGCGTACGGAAGATGACGATTTCCTATCATCTTCTTCAGCAACAGCTTTTATAGCATCTTGCCATTGCTCGCTAGTGGAAGAAGAAATAGCCGATGAACCTCGAGATTTAGCTATTGTTTCGTGTCGAGATTGCACTGAAGGCGAACGTGGTGACGCCGAAGCCACTCGAGAGGTAACCGATGGACTTCTTGGGGGAGGAGAAGGGCTTTTTACAAGTTTGTCACGGGCTTGTGATGACATTTCCGAATGCGTGGTATCTCCAGAAACTCGCCCCGTTGGATGTCCGTCGACATGATCAGCCATGTCGTCTTGTAAGATGAAAAAATCATCTCTCACACCAGGCCACGTCGGTGACGCCTCATCTCGGTCTGTTTCGGCCAAATCTGGAGAGCTACCGACACGTTCCACGTCACGTGACCTTGCAGACTGACCCCTATTGTAATGTGATACGCTGGAATAGCTTGCACTACGACTAGAGTGGAGACTGGAGCGGGTTATTCTGTTCGTTGTTCCTGCGAAAGAAGAGGTTTATTTCAGTCAAATTTCATTGAAGTTTTGAACAGAACACAGAAACACCAGGAACAACGCGGTTAAGGCAGAGCTCTCGTTTTCAAACAATAAAGTATTTGCGCGACTATCAAAGCAAGACCGAGAAAAAGGTTAACTATTTTTCCATCAATCTTACCAGCACTAGAAGCCCTCCTTTGTATGCCAACCTTCTCCTCTCTCCCACTCCGAGGAGATGCAGCGCTCGATGGTCGACGAGAACGCTTCCCAGTTTCTGTTTGATCGAATTGTGACGGAGCTTCGTCTTCTTCCTCGATCACATTTGCTGTTCGGTTCCATTCCTCGGTCTAAGGTAAAAAGGTTAAGGTAAGACTGCAATTATAGTAAGTGTATTTTCACACTTATATTGTCTTCACTTGAGTTTTCCTATAGGGCGGAAGCGGGAATATTGCTTCAATCGCTTAAGAATCGGTTGAAACTTTTTATTCGCTATTCCACTTTTGTGGCGGTATTTGGAAAACAGTTTAGAATATTCACCATAGCTTTCGACAAAATATGCCACTCCCATTTAATGTTTTATAGTCTCAAGAAAAAACTTTAACTTCGGGAGAAACTTAGTCAAACTAGATGAAAGAAAATTGGAGTTTTTGATAGGCGCGTCTTGATGGTCAGCGCGCTCGACTCCGGGGTTCGAACCCTTTTCAGAACTATTCTGTTATGTTCTCACAATACAACGACCCGTCGCGAAAACCTGAGCAGGAGACATTCTCCTAAAACACGGGAGCCATGCGAATCGCTCTTGTATACAAAGTTTATCCTTAGGGATGGTGTATTAGGATCTAAATGAATTGCAGAAGTTCTATCTAGGGCTTCACTTAAAAAAAGTCATTACTACACGTCACACAGAAATTGCCACCCTTTCTCAACACTCTTTTCCCTTTTTAAAACTCTCAGTGCAATACCTTTCCATCAGGACTCGCGGCTAAGCGTTGAACCTTGGTTGCAAAGTCTGGCGTCGTTCCTCTGGATGATCCCAACTGGAAAGACGGCGAGGGACTGCGACTGAGTCTCATTCTAGGATTGGGACCTCGTCGATGAAATCGACCGAAGCCTACGTCAGCATTTATGATCTCGTCAAGATGGTTTGGCGTCGAGCCAAGTGCTAATAGAAAAATTTGTGTACTGAGATGAAATTGAAGTGCAAGTTGTTATTAGTATGTATCAGTTCAACTAGTTGGTTTCCAATCAGCCGCAATTTGGCCAGTAAGTTTAATCGACAATTCATCGACTTTTAAAGGAACGTTAGTAATTGTCAGTAGCTGATCAAGTCCATGACGGATTTCTACATGATCGCGAGAAAAGTGAAATGTATCATCAATTATTTTAACTTGTAGGAGGAAGTCCACCAACAGAACCGGATTCGATTTCACCCATACATCGTTTATGATAAAAAGAATCCCTGATTATCGAATTAAAAAGGAAAAACAGAGAACGGACTTAAATTTGCCTCGCGCTCAACAGCCATTTGTACACGCTTCAAACAAAAAGCACACCTTCGACAGGTTGTATCAATTTTAAATGAGATAACTAAGGAAATCTTTTTTCATTTCAATAGGCATAAAACGAAAAAAAAAAACGATGACTAAAGCAAAATTAATGGTCCAAAATGTTCCCGCACATGACACCAGAGTTTCTCACGTTTAACTCTGATTGGTTGAATTCTCCAATCAATTTCTTTCCTTTCATACTAACTTTTTCGGTTGCGAATTTAAGTCGAAACATTTCCAGAGGTGCTCCAATTAGCTATAAACAGCGTTCGCGTCTAACACTGACCTCTCGGGAGAGGGGGTGGTTTACCACTTGTAATCCTGGGGTTAGCCCTTGATGACTCCAGGGTGGGTGGGATGGGAGCTGTTTTGGGTCTTGATATCGAGTCTTGAGCTTCGTGGGTTGCAAAACCAAAAGCCATACTTGGCATGGACGGCGAAAATGTAATGGTATTGCCTCGATTTGTTCTGGGCGATCCGGGCGATGAAAAGTGGGAGAAGTCTTCCAAAGTTTCTCGACTAGAACGAGAGAAGGTAATTGAAAGGATAATAAATATAAGGTAAACAACGATGGTAGTAGACCTAATTAAGCCATCACTTTTTCAGGGTACTGAGAGGAAGTTCAGCTCCCTTATTCTGCTTAGCCTATAGAGCCCCTAACAATGATAAAAGGTTTGACTAGTGTGCCCTTGGAAATTTCTACCAGGCACCCAAATTATTCCAATGAAGAAGCTTAAAAATCACCACCCCTCTCTATTTTCCTTTATTTCTGAATTCTTGAAGAAATTACCCCTCCATTCCAATGTCTGGCATGTGATCAGAGGAAACAATTCTGTGTTCTAAGTGTTCCTTGCTGTGACTCCACCCAGCTGGTTTACCATATTTCATGTATTCTTGTATTATACCAGTTATCTCATCATCATCATCCAAAAAATGAGAGTAGTGAGAAGCAGTGTTGGTAGAGTATGAAGTTCTTGTGGAAAATGGAGTTTGTGATCGAAATCTTCTGTGAGAATTTTGGCCCCTGAAATACAAAGAAAATAGATCTTACTTAAAAAGCAGATAATCAAACATTTCTTTTAGCTTTCAGTGTATTCCAAAATGTGGAGGGTTTGTCAAATTTTGAATCCCAGTACTTGGAAATGAAGGCCCCCAAAAAACAGACAGAGATGTTATTAGGAAGCTCTTTCTAGATTATGAACTACAAATGTGTTTTCTTGACTTATGTATTTCATACCTTGCTTTTTTAAGCTCTTCAAGGTAATAATCTGGATCAGCTCCTGGCTGAACATTTTTATCAGCTGTCAAGTTTTCTGAGTCAAGGTAGTGAAGAAATCTCAGGAAAGATGCCTTATCTCTCTTTGGTTGCTCTCCTTTCTCTGATGCTTCCTTTGGATAGTCTGATACTCCTTCCCAGGCTTCCTCTTCCTGTTTAGATATTACAAAAATATTTTATTATCTGAAAGTCAGCTGTGAAATTCTAAAGATGAAGTACAGTCAAAAAATTTTGTTCTAGCCTGCAGAACAGGCATATTTTTGGGGGAATTTTCAGGCACACAAAGACAAGCTCAAGGAGAGTTCAAAGGAAAGTCATTTGCCAGGCAAGGAGCCTGAAAAATGAAGAAAGGACAGCCTGCTGAGAAGGCTAGATTCATTCTAACATCTGCCTACCATCTCTCTGACCACTAAGATATAAGTAAATCTAAACTCCCCAAATCTTATAATCTTACCTCTTTCCCAAACTCAAGCACAGAGTTGGTTAGATTTCCTACTGTTCTGAGTTTAAGGCCTGCCTCGAAAACATTTTCTTTCTTGAAGTGGCTCTCTTCATTACTATGGTTACAAACCTCATCACTTGGGGTGAAAAGAAGAATTGCACCTTTACGAGTGACAAATGTCTTTGGGAGAGCAAGTTGTCCATCTTCCAACAAGAGGCTGCCACTTGATCTTGCTGATTTGTTTCGAGATGATGAATGATTTATCAAATGAGGTAGGAGTGGCTCTATAGGGGACTGGTAACGAGAAAAAAATTGATGAGCATGAATTGCAATAAAATCTTGAGCTGGGTCATTGAATAGACCTTGAGAAAGTTTTTTGTTCATTTCTGAAGGGCAAGAGACAACAATAGGCTCCAAACTTTTTCCTTGTCTCAAGGCACTGATTTTTTTCTTTATCCTTAGCTCAAGAAAAGTAAATAATATCTTTATTTAATTAATAACTCACTCTAGCTACTGACAATTCACCTGTTTGAAGACATAGCCTCAGAATATTTGGTATTATGTCCAAATTAAATTACCAGTGATAATTTCTTATTTCAGACCACCTATCATTTTGAGTCTAATTGGTTAAAAAATTTGGGTAAGTGTTTTTGGATCAATCACAGAGCAATGTACTGAGTGAAAGCAATACTGGATTACTTTTGACACTCAATTGAAAATTGCTTAGTGTCACTGGTCAAAAAAAACTATAAATGCACTGACAAAATTTGCCAGTCAATCAGGCATTACTCTTTAAATGCCTGATCTCAAGTTATAAGTTTAGTTTTGAAACAGATTATATTGTTAATGGCTTGTAAAACATCCTTTAAAAGACAGAATGATTTTGCACAAATTATTTTTACTCAAGTGGAATATGAGTGCCAAGTCATTAGTCCACGGACAGTATAGTCCTTGATCAAGCTGTTTGCTCGGGCCTTTTTTGAGGGATTAACAATCGTGACATTTCATTAATTTTAGGACAGAAGGAAAATTAACTGAGCCAACTTGAAGTTTGCATTTGTTATCCTCTATCTCTTGTAATCCAAACTTCTCTAATTAGAACTTGGAAATAGTAGCCGACATATTTCCTTAACCAGCTGTAAAGCTTACTTTCGCCATAAGGATTTCCACAACACCCGTTTAAAAGTAACGTTCTTGATAATTAATAAGTCTAAATTTGCACCCCCTTCTTTTCAGTCAGGGGGTCTGACTGTAAGATTATATTTGCGGTACCTCTAATATAACAATAATATTTTGCTTTCCTTGAACCCTCAAAAAGTGAAATTCAGCTACAAGGGAACAGAATGCGTACGTCAATAAAGAGAAAGCTGCGACTAAGACGAAGCAAGAACTTAGCAGAAATTCTAAACATCCATCTTGCAAGGTTTGACAAATCAGGCAGCGAGCTTGGCATTTCTTCACGATGACAAACCGCAGCGATAAGCTGCTTCAAAAATAGCCCTTTACTTTAGCATTATTCCTTCTTTTAATCGGTCTATCGATATTTTTTTCCAAATTCAAATTCAAATATTTTCAAGACTCTCGTTTCGTCGACATCGCGATCTTTTGTCTTTCGTGAATTCATGCATTTGCAGTGAAATACGAATCACAATAAACACAAAACCTGAGTGAACAAAAGAAAAAGAGCAGTTCATGTCTTACCGTTTGATCCGAGTACGTTTCACATTGTAGATCGCCATCCCAACTAGCTTTCCCTCGAGCTAGCGGCGAAAACATCTAACTCAGGGCAAAAAATATGACGCTAAAACATTCTACGACACATTCAACGGACCGCATCACGCCATCTTGACCCATCGTCTGGTTAGGTAGATGCACGAAACACCATATGGTCACCATGCCAATATGCTAATACGACAAAGGTCAATTAAAAGGTCTGCATTTGGGCCATTAGCCGCTTCAATACACTCTAAAGAAATAGGGCTTAGTAAAAAATATAGGGCTTAATGTGGCTATTACGTAATAAAATGAAAACTCTGAGAAAGGGCTTGAATTCAGTTCTTTTATCCAGTTACGGGGGCCATTAGGATCAATGTCAGAATAACTTCCCCTTCCTTAATTAACCAACAACAGTCAATTGTTGCTTGATGAACATCTCGCGGTCTTCTGCCAGTACCCTCTCGCATCTCTCGCGTGCACACTTTGCTCTCAGGCTCAACTCGAGAGAAGCGCTGTAGATACTCATGCGCGGTAGTGCTAGCAGGCTAATCACATGCCCCATCGGTAATAAAAGCTCCATGTTATCCTCCACGTACGCTAAAAAATTACCCTCGGTCGCCTAAAAGGGAATGGAAGGGCTATCAGAATATCGCACAGCTTTATGAAGATCAGGTAAATTATATAGAGACAACAAAAATTCTCTGACCACCCAGACGATAAATGACTGGTCCCAAAACTATGGTTAAGATGGTATCATAGCTAAAACAAGCTTTGATTAATAAAGCAACAGTGCTTCTTGTTATCAATGTCATTCCTATAACACAGGACGTAGCAATATCACAGTAGGCCACTCTGAGTTGGTAACCTCTTCGCACACTTTTTATTCAGTTCACGATAACTTATATTTTAAAATATCACATGAAATTTCTAAAACGTTAAATTATCTAAAACTTTGTAAACTACCATTCCTCTTCAGAATATAATATCTAAAGGAGTGAGTATAATGTCTCTCCGCTGAAATTTTTAAAACGTAACTTACTTTCGATGTAGGAAATCGAATCTATAGCCGTGAAAGATAAAATGATCTTTAAAAAGTCACTTGAGATAAAGCGAACCCTCAAAAACACATCAAAATGTAAATTATTACATGAATCAACTTCAGGAAAACTTGTGCGAACACAATGTGTATTTAAGAGTGTTAAATCATTTATTAAACAAGAGTGTGACCTGGATAATGTAAATATGTTCAAGAAATTTTTTTCACACAAAGGCTACGAGTAAAGCGCTAAAGAACCGTTTTGAAGTAGTGGCAACAGCGTATTCCAGTCCTCTGGTATAGCTATTCTAAATATACACCTTAATTTACAATAACTTTGTCTAGAAAAATGCAAAAAGCAAACATGAAAAAGGCAATTAGAAAATTCACGTCAACAGGTTTAGTTGATTTAAATTCATTTACCAACGTCTCCTTTCATTTTTTTAAGCATAATTTACAATTGTGGTATATAAGATAAACTGGAATAATTAGGATTTTATAAAATAATTCCTTTTTAATTTATTTTTTTAATTTTTCACTTTTGCTTTCTACTGAGACAAAGTTATTCCAATTAAGTGTATCTAAAGATGCCACGTGCTTATCAAAAGTCACTGTCAAGAGCCTTTTATCTCAGTGAGAAGGTCCTCATAAAAAGGCACGAAGACAGCCAAGTTGTGTCCAACTACACGAGAAAACCTGCCGGTAATCTCGGACAGTTCCGTATTCACACTTGTTAGACCCTGAGGGGTACTCGGTTGGGTGGATTGCCCGCTCTCTCTGCTTCCCTTTTGAAGAAATCGTCTCTTTATGCTGTTGAACATGAAGTCGTACGTACGTGTGGCTGTCCAAAAACAATAAAAAGAAGGACGTGTCAGAATAAAAAAAAAAACTTTTCAAGTTTGAAGGAGATCTTTGCAAGTTGAGCCTATTTTTTCTAAACAGAAGTTCTGGGTTTGCTGGAAGCACTAATGTCTTGCTGGAAGCACCAATGTCTTGGTGGTGATTTGAGTTAAGTTTCCGACTAAGCGTTCTCAGAAAGAATTGCAGTGTTCAATCAAGAAACAGATAGTCTGAAACGGTAGGACCACGAAGACCACACCCAGTTAAAAGGGCCTTGTTTGGGCCAAAGACGCCCAGGATGAAGCCGTGGTATGTTGAAATGATAAGATGGCAAATTGAAGGGTTCAATGCTGGTGACACTCGGTGTAACGAGGGGGAAACCAATTTGGCGTACTTACTAATTAAATTAAACACTGTGTGGTCTGAAGATGTGATTCCTTCTGTTTGTCCTTTCAGCAGGTCCTTTTGTTGGGAAGTGAGTTTATTCAGTCCTCTTTCTTGCAGCAGCTTTTCAGTTTCACGCACAGTCTGTTCATACACTCCAGGGAGAGCAGAAGGGAAGTCACTGCAGTAATATAAACTTAGGTAAATTATGAGCCACAAGTAAGTTTTCCCAGACGAGTTGACGATTAAGATTTATATATTTTTTGGGTCTTTCCACAAGTGTGGTACAAAAAAAGATCTGAGTGGCCATGAAGAATCCAACCTCAGACCTTTGGATTCCACGTTATGCTCTACAACTGAGCTACAGAGAACTTTATGGTTTGCTAGGCCTTTTAAAAGATTCACTTATGTCGTGCGTCCTGTATACTTCTTGGAGCAGCATGTCGAAAGCGTCGCGTGAATAACTAAAGTAAAATAGACGATAATTTTGAGCTTGGTAATCAAAAAAAGAAGGGTATTTGTTCGTCTTTTCACGAGCGTGGGACGAATAACATAGAGTCAATTTTTTCTGATTATTGTGAGAAATGCACCAATTTCACCTTACCCTTCAGGAACTCCATCCAAGAGAATGTACAGCACTTCCTTAAGGTTGGCTAAATATGCCGCATCTGAGGCTAACTGCTGACCTATAGTGTTCAGGGTCACCAGTAACACAGCTGCAATCAGAGTGGTTCGCCGAACACTCCACCTCATCTCAGCCAATCGGAATTCATCCATAATCAAGGTCTGCGAAAAAACAATAAGGATCTTAAGCACGGAAGTTTGTTAGACGCGGACGCCGACCTACTTTTTGTGCACTCTGACATCGACTTATAAATTGGGGTGAAAGATGTTTCTTTTTTTTATCTTGTCACGGACATGAGACAGAAAAAGACTAGAGTCTCCGTGACGAATCAAATCTCAGACATTCGGATTCCGCTCTCTGACGCATTACTACTAAGTCACAGAGACTCTGGTGAACTAGGTCATTACTGGGTTTATTAGTGCATACAGCTAGCATCAGCAATATCAAAAGTGTCTGCAAGTAAATAGAATAAGAAAGATTTTCTAAACTGAAATAAACAGAAATGTTTGCCATCTTTCTTGTTCTTTTTACTCATATGAGACATTTGATATTGTTCACCCAAGCAGGATGCAAGGGCACTTGGCCAGAATGAACCAAGCGGCTAAGCTCATAACAGAGTTCTCTGTAGCTCAGTGCTCAGAAGAGCATCAAAGCACATAATCTGAAGTTCCGAGGTTCCATTCCTCATAGGACTAAGAATTTTTTATTATATCCTATGCATGTGAAAAGACAATAAAACATCTTTCGCTAAATGGTACAAAACTGTTGAGATGTGGATTGCGACTGGAGGGTGAATTCACCTGCTTTTAGTGCATTCTGACATAAGTATTAGGAGTGAAATTTTCATGAAGTAGAAATCATCAAAGCTACATGAAAGTCTAAGAATTCCGTTGAATACCTAAAGTGTAGCTCAAAGATATAAAACTAATGTGACATCTTCATTGCATAAAATTGCATTTAATTACCTCTGGAAATGGCCAGCCTGCCTCTCCAAAGATTATTCCTAAATACCCATGCACCAACACATCAATTAGATCAGCATCTTGCAGTTTCTGTTTGAAGTCTGTGGTGTCAACTGCTTCTGCAGAGACTTCTGCAGCAGCCCTAAAACCAACTCCTGTTGCTACTTCTGCTGCTCGTTTTAGCCAAACTTTAGTTGACATGAGACCTCCTAGAGAAGGCAGAAAACTATCAAATGTAGCTGTACAGTTCCAAAAAAACGTGCCACCTTAGACTGATGGAAACTCTATGGGGAGGAGTACGTGAACCATAGGAGCATTATGCATGTTAGTTATAATGAAAGAATCTCTGGAAAAATTAAAGAGAGATACAGTACTATTCTATACATTTCCTGCACAACCTGTTCTTCCAACCAGGGCTGCACAACTTTTCCATTTTAGTGACTAGCTCACTCAAGAAAAGCTAAAAAGGTCAAGCATTTTCTTGCCTTTATTTGTTCAATAATTTTTAGTCAAAAGGTAATTTAAGTACCTGGATTGGATTGAAGATAATCTTTAAACTTTTTCCTTTCATACTCAACTGACTGCTGCATAAGATGAGGTTTAATGGTCTGTAGCTGAAAGTTAGCCATATCAACCTTCATTGCATCTATCAAGCTAAACACTTCCCTGAATGAAAATAGGAAACAATAATACAGGTTCAAGCTCAAACTCATGCCTTTTGTTAATTCATATTTTCCAACTTTTTATCAGCTCACCTGAAAAGGTCCACAATATCTTCATTCAATAGGATCTTTTTGGCTTGTTCATCTCTTGCTGGCGCACACATTTTGCTTAGGAAACCAACAATAGATTGTGCGAGTTTGGAGATGTCCAGAATACCATGATCAGCTTGTTGCTTTATAAGATCCAGGTCCAACATTTCATTGATGTGTGTTTTGAGTGAATTTTGATATGGGAGAAGCAATGAAAGAATGTTCTGTGAAATCAACAGGGCAAATGTGAGCAACATTATGACAAATCTACCCCATGTTAAAGTTAAATTCTTCAAAAAATTATGGCCCCCCAAAGCTAGCATTACACTTACTAATAACTACACCCCAGTACACTGTGCACTAACAAGATGTACTTTCATGTAGGTGTCCTGGGAAGGAAAGACGTGTTCTGAATTATTTGTGGTTATGTGTTGCTGGCACTCTGCACCTTAACACTACAATCTGTGACTCTGAAATGAGTCGTTATGTATTTTATGGTTGGTCCTTTTTACCCACAATTAAACTAAACTCTTTGTCAGTCCTCCAATTTTCTGAATCTATTTGGCTCTCATGGCCCTACTCCTCCTCAGGACATAGCACAGAGTAAATGTCATTTTGGATGTCAAGTTCAAAGAACTGAACTGTGAAATTACTAAACTAAGTGTAAAGTTGAATGTATTCTTCATTACTTTCCCTCGTCTCCTTGCAAATTTACCTGACTGTATACCCTCTTGTAGACTTAATATTATTTTTAAACCCTTTTATAACCACAGAAATGTTCTAAAGCCCTTAACTGCAATACACCCCAACAAACATGTAATAAAAAGCTTTGTCATAGAGTTTTCCCTTTTCTGCCTGAATTTTAAACTAAAAGTGTTGTTAATATCATCAGTCAGTTGACATTCAGCTCTAATGAATGGCTAACACCTGGAATGTCAGCTCCAGAAACTCCTTATGATAGTCATTTTACATTTCCAAACCATTGATAAAACCAAATTATCTATATTCTGCTTTACTCATTTCATCATATATTGATTACCTCCTTAAGTTCTTGTAACAAGGATAATGCCTGATTAAAGACTGGGGGCTTCTGATTAAGTTCTTCCTGAAGTTTATCCCAAAATGCCTTGTGAACAACATCCCTAACTTGTCTTTCAAGTCTAGAGAGAAAAAAAGAAGCAAGTTGAGATGACCATAATTATTATAGTTTTGAATTATTCATCTTTAGAATGCTAACCCTTAAACTCCCAAGATGTGATTGTTAATTCTCCCCTCTAGCTGCTACACACTTCCTTGTAACTATTTATGAGGATTTGGTTGTAGATCAAGATAACTTCTACCTCAAAATTTTGAGTATTATCATTACCTGTTTGCTAGATAATGTATGGAGAGGTTACATCCCAATTTCTTTTGGGAATGAAAGGGTTAAGCACTCAAACAGAATCAGTTACAGTAACTGCAAACAGACCCAGTAGCTGCTGATATAATAATAAGCATTCAAAATATATTTGGAAGGATGGTGGGTATCTCTATTAATGGGAGCATGGTGGACTGATGGTCAGAGCACTGTATTCTGGAACAAGAGATCATCCTCTGCCTGATGCTTTTAATTACTCGCACAGTGCTTCTCTCTTCCTTGGGACATAGAAGGCAACACCAAAGAATGCTTGGAGATTACCTGCACTGCACTAGCATTCCATAAAGGGGGGACAGACATTCTCCTATTCAAAAAGTGCTAGTGACAAAGACCTGGAAGAAGCATCAACAATTACAAGCTCTTACACAAATAATTGAAAATAAAACTTCCCTTTTTTAAATAAGTAATTTTGCTTTTGACTGAAATACTCATTAGGTATCAAAAAGGCAAGAATATCCATCAGCCAATGATTTCCTACGTCAACTTTTTTACACTTCATGGACAAAAAAGACTCTTTCCTGAGAATCGGCACATCATGATGATGTTACTCTTGTGTGAGAGACCGTCATAAAATGTGTCAACTGTGTTCAGAATACAAAATTACTTCCTCTAACGTTCGCTTCGGTTTATCTATGTTTCTCTTTGAAAAGGAGGGGACTTCAGTGTACCTACTGCTCTTCAATTTTATAGGGGGAAATATTCTTTAAGAAATTTTTTATAAAATGTTGAATATGAATTATTTTCAGATATTCACATTCATGAATTACAATGCTGGGAAAATTATAACTAACAACTCAGAAATTAAAGTAAATAAGCCGCGAGCTTTGAGATGATAAACTTTCGGCAAAAATAGAATTGTTCGATGGAAACACTTTACCATGATTTCGTCTTCACCAACAAAGTACATCTGGATCCTCGCGAATCTTAAATTTTCTTAGTAAGTAAACACGCGCGCGCTTTATCGTTCTTGCTATTTCGCGATGTAGTGATAAATAGTAAAAAAAATGAAAAAGTAAAGCCCTTTCTTGGGGTACTGTTAATAGAGTTACCAAATGAATAAAATATCTTACGAGTTTTGAGGAAGTTCCGTCTGAAGTTTGAATGAATCATCCATCAGCAATTCGTGTGCTAAAGCCATATGTGACACAATCTTAGCAGTCTTCCGTTGACTGTCCTCTGAACTGTCAGAGACGTTCGCACCATCTTGAGGGCCATCCATGTCCTCTTTTAACAATTCCTCTTAATTGTATTCTTCTATTACTTTCAAAATACTTACGATCTGACGTTCATCAGCTGAAAAGGGTATGTACTGCTAAAATTTCTTCAATAAAAGTCACAACAATAAACATAGATATGATTCTGTTCTCATTCCCTTGTTTTATTATTTAACCGAAAGACACTGGGAATTAATTTAAGAAGTAAGTTAGTACTTTATGTAAGCTTCATATAACAGGTCGACCGTTCAAAATGTCTCTTTGTTGGACTCAGTTCCAACTCAGTTCGAGGTATTAACTATATTTTCTTCACCTACTTGTTCTATTGACTCGTGGATAACGCTGAGACGAGGAAATCCTCGTTGTCTATTTTAAAAAGTTTTTAGGGTTTCTCTTGAATAAAACTGATTTTAGACTACTGCTACCTAAGGAGAATTGAGGACTAACCTCAATGAACTGTTCAGTGGGTTCACCCTCCTTACCTAACAGACCATTCAAACTGGTAACGGGGGAATGTTTACCGAGGACTTTTCACGTTTTCCAGTCATAAGAGGCCGAAATGCAAAACTTACGTCAAAAATTGCGAATAAAAACTAAACTTTCGGCCAAATCTCACAGATGCACAGTGGGTGGGGAGTGGGACGTGCCGTAAGATGTTAATCATGTGATGGTAAGTGATCAGTGATTGGCTGGCATAAGGTGCTTCGTCTCGTGACTATCACGCTGCAATCGACACGACAAAAATAGCGTCAAAGTTTCCTCATCCCCACTCTTAGAAAGGTACTCTCTTGTTCAACTAGACGAGCTCATCGACATGTCGTTCGCTTCTTTAGCTTTTGTGCTTTTCGTTGCCTCAGGTAAGTTTATTTTGAGGTTTTAAACATCATTTCAAATCTTTTTTGGAGTTCATTTTGGGCGAGTAGTTTCCGTTTCCCTAAACTGGCCGAACTTTACCTAAGTTTATTATGTCATTCAGAATGGAGATTTTCTCTGAAACGAATTTTCTTTGCCTCAGTTAGCATTACCCGCGAGCTCCTTACCAACTGAGACATTACTCTAAGTTTAAGAAAGCTCAATAACATTTTTGTGGCTCCAGTATCGATGGTATTCGTGAATACCACTCATCGCCAGTTGGAAAACATATTTTCCTTTGCTGCACTTTCAGTTTCACACTATTAACGCCGAAAATAGATCAACCATTATTAAAATCTTTTAATCATTTCTTGGTACTCTCCGAATTCCGAGGCCCATCTTCTGCCGAAAGAAGATGGAATGTATTGCTAAATTTGTGTAATTGAAAACTGGCTCAATTTGTTAAGCTACTATCAATTTACAAGTTCCTGACATATGCAAACACTGAGCCCAAACTTCACGACAACAAAATCCATTTTAAGGAATGTTCAAAGAACTGAAGCTTATCGTCTAGACATTACGACTGTTTTCTTTATGGTTAGTTAAAGAGATTTCTTGCTTGTCAGACGGGATGGGAGGAGCAAGTAGAGTCTGGACAAGTTTATATTCAGCCCCATTAGAGTTATGTCATGGACTAATTGTAGTAAAATTTTAGCTAAAACGTCTGAAAGGGACTATTCTGACTATGGTTCACCCTTTCTTCAGCTCCTGACATAAAAGGAATAACTGGTGATTCTTACCATGAAAGTTTTGTTTATTTCTTAAATACAATCCTTTTACTATGCCTGTTGGCTTGTCATCAAACACATGAGGTGTGATATACTAAAATCCGTGATATGACCCCTAATTATAGGGTTAGCCCTAATTTTCATTTTCCACCATGAAAGTCTCCCTTTCCCTAATTTACAGGAAGGAATACTTAATATTTTTGGTCAATTGTGTAACTTAAAAATTTCAGTTCCAAAATTATAGTGAGATTAAAGAATAAAATGAAGACAATTTCTGTTGTGGAAAAAGGATCTTGGTTGTGGAAATTTACCTTAGCTCCATATTGCCTGCTTCCAAGCCACTAATTCCCTAACCATAAATTTGTATACCATATGAAAGACACTAATGAATAGAGAATAATATATGGGTGCGTGTAAATGTGGAATTTCTCTTCAAGTATTTGACTCAATAGCTCACGAGAGAGCACAGCAAACGAGTGAGATGTCAAGTTGAACATGAGAAGAATATATCCATATCCACAAGCAACTGTGTTTTATTTTGTTTATCATATAAACACAACAACCCTTTACTGACAATGAAAAGTCAACTTTATTCATGAATGAAAATAAAAGGATGAACAATCCCTTAATAAAAATCACAAAGTGTGTTGGTGCTAAGGCTCAATATAAAAAATGAGTTGGAACACTACAAAAACAAACCATAGGCACAATTTTCATGACACAAAATTTTTAGTTATTGACTTGGTCCTTACTGACAAAAGAAATCTTTCAGATACACAGCCGAAATTGGCCAGTGGCAAATCTTCCAGTTGTCATTTTTGTTCTCAGCTGCAAGAAATGCCATTACCAAAGCCACTGAATATGTAACTTTTGGTTTTTCTTTCTGTATTTTGGTTTTCTTACCTTTCTAGGAAAGTTTGAATGTCACTATCTGTAAGCTATAGGGATTTTTCAGTGTTTTGGCAGCCATAATCTGTAAAATTTCAGACAAACTGCCTTGTATTGAGAATCATGAAGGCTTTGCTGTCCATTCATCAACCTGAATGAATAGCATAAAAGGCCAGCAACATATCAGCAGCTGATTGGCGTAAAAATATTGTATTTTTTCATGTGTGTTGTTAGGGCTTTTTCACAGGGCTAGAAATCCTTGTATAACACCATAGTTTATATGATAAAAGTATTTGATTTAAATCTGATCTTGACAAATATGCTGCCATGGAAGAAAATTTCTTTCAACAAATTTTACCTATAAGCAAACTGAAATACACAAGTGTTAATGGTGTGCAAATTACATAGAATAAATTACAACCTCAAGAAAATTCCAAAATTTGTCAAGATCAAGAATCACCCTGGACTCACTGAAGCCCCTACCTAAAGATTTTATGTAAAGGCAAAAATTTCAATTTGCACTCGGTCCTAGAATGTGGGATTTTTTTATTGAATATGAATGGAACAAATAAGGTTACAACTTTGCCTGAAACAATTTTGCAGACTTGCAAAACAATGTTTTCCAGCTTAAACAACCATAGTTCCCAACTCTTGTATGTTAATGGTAGACTTGAATTAGATAAAGGGTAGTGAGTACTGTGAATTTTCCCTGATGGCTTATTATTGTTGAAACAAATATTTTGTAGCTAGTGCAACCCCTTTGGGACAAGAGAGATGTTCATGGGGACCATCTTACTGGTGTGCAAAGTACAAACAAGCTGTAGAATGCAATGCATTGGAACATTGTCGCGCTAAAGTTTGGTCTGTAAAAGATGAGGTACGTAAACACCTTTTTGTTTATTTTCTAGACATCTGGAGGGAAATTTTGGGCATTTTAACCCATGATGAGTTGGTGCCAACATTCTTAATGTTTAAAGGCACCAAAATATATATATATATATATATATATAAGTTGAAGTTATACATCAGCATGCTTAACAGATAACTACCATTGACTAAGGTCCAACCTCAAAATAAACACCCACCTCAAGTAAGCGCCCACCGTAAAGGTAGGTAAATTAACAAATACTGAGCCTCTAATAACCACCCACCCCTTAATTGACAAAGTACCACTAAATGACTTCCCCTAAAGATGGAGTTTTGTAGTATTTTTTAGACAGCTTTCAAGGAACTGTTAGATTCTGCCTTAGTTCATCTTTTAGTATTGTTATTATTCAGTGTGTTGTAAGTCGCAAAATAAACTTAATACATTCTTAAGATGGTGAAAATTTGATTAGCACCCAGCGTTGAATAAGTACCCACTTCCTCAAAAAGTTAAGTAAGCACTAAGGGCCAGGGCCCTTAACCGAATATTAAATACAGTTGCTGAGTTATGTAATGTTACTTACAAAGAATGATATCCCAAGCAAAATGCCTTTTTATTAAGTTGAGAAATCTAAATGTGTACACTCTCTCTTTTATCAGGTAGCTTGTGATGTTTGTAAAGAACTTGACCCTTTGATCAGAGCATACCTGGAGAAAAATGCAACTCAAGTAAGTCAGTCATTTTAGTTTGATTGTCCATTGTTTTTCTCCGATATTTTGAGAGCTGCTAGTAGAATTTAAAGACCTCACAAAGAAACACTGTTCAGAACTTAACTCAGTCTCAAGTAGAGTATAAAATAACACAAAAGTGAAACTGTGTACAAAAAAAGTTTTTGTAATTTGTTACACCTAATGTTTGTGAATGCTATCAAATGAAAGTAATAAATTAAAACAGCATTGTTCTTTTCTGTCTTCATGTGTGAGAATCGTGGACTATTGTAGGTTTTAAAGAACTATGCAATTTTGTAAAATTTAAGTCTAGACCATTAACCCTAACAGTTGTAGAGTAAGTTGATACTAACCGTCTAAGTTACAGCTATATCAAAAAATTTTTTCAGACAGAGCTTGTTACTCTGGTAGAGGAAGCTTGTGAGAAGTTTGCTGGACCTTATGCAGAAGTGGTAGGTGACAATTCAAATAGATATTGAGGCCTGAAGCTGTTCACCTTTTAGAACTTTATTAAAATCTTCCCATATCCCAGCAAGTTTCAACATTAAGGAAGACACTTGTTGATGGACCACAGCTCCTTATAGATACTAAATACAGTGTAGTGAAAAAGCTGTAGGAAATTATCTGCTGTAAAGTCTATCTCCATTGGTGACAGTAGTCACCTTAGGTGATGTTGTGAACTTAACCCACAAATTCAAACTCAAGACAAACTGAGAAAAAAAAATTGTTGGTTTCATTTATCCCTTAATCCTTTAACTCCCAAGATCTGATTGTTAATTCTCCCCTCTAACTGGCACACAATTCCTTGTAAATAAGTTATAGGAATTTGGTGTTAGGTCAAGGTAACAACTTCCTGATAAGTTTGAGTATTCTCATTACCTGATGGCTGGATAATGTATGGATTTTATAGGGAGAAGTTGCAGGTTAATCTCTTCTGGGAGTTAAAGGGTTAAAGGCACACATAATGTCTTGATATCACCCTTCAAATTACTAGCTAAGCAGCAAAATGCATTTTACAATAATTTTCAGATCTCCATAGATGGTAATCTATTATCATTTGCTTGCCTGAAGTAATTGGCTTGATTTTATCCTCTACATGTATGTCCAAAATATGCACAATTGAAACTTATTACAGATCAGTTGAATTAAGATATAGTTTTGGACTGTTAAGTTTTCAATTGTTTTGACTCATTGACAAATATCTTTAAATTAATTGCAGTGCAAATCCTTAGTTGATCAGTATGAACCACTGCTTATGAATACCATTTTGGAGTACTTGGTAAGTTTTTAAGGTTTTATTATTGACAGAAATGTCCAAATTGAATGCCTTTTCAATGCAGTCAAGATGTATTAATTTGTTTTTAAAATAAATTTCTTCTGGTTTCTGACAAGAAACTTAAAGTTTCAAACCTCAAAGGAAATTGAATTAATTAGTGTAAAGAAATGAAAAGTCATGGGAATTTTTATTTCTAGTTGTTAAGTTAAAGAAGGTTGTCAGATTGTCACCAATGCAAAGAAGACATCTGCAAGTCATAGAATCAAACTCAAAAAACACAGTGTAAGATGTAAACTTTCTCTGATTAAAGGCTGATCCTCAGCAAGCCTGTACAACTTTGGGATTATGTTCAAGTGAGGTGAAGCAAGTCGACGCCAAGCTCATCTTCAAGCCTTTGAAGAAACAGATGATAAAACTCGTGAAGCCTCTTGCTCTTGCTGCCAAGCACAAGCCAGTTGTTGTCAAATCCAAACCAGTCAAGGCCTCTGTGGAGTGTATTTTGTGCGAGTTTATCATGGACAAACTTGATTCTATCCTCAAGCAGAATGCCACTCGGGTGCGTAAAAGATTCAGGAGATAGATACATGGGGGTGGATTAAAAAACAAATTACAAAATATTCAGTGAACACTGGCATACAAGCTTTACTTTTTTGCTGTGTTTATTTCTAGAGTCGAATTTCATTTTGTATTTTTATCTTATCAGATTAGTACAGTTTGTAACCAGACAGTATTCAGAGTTTTCCATCTTAGTGACTTTGCGCAGTCCACTTGTTATTTCCTTTGATTTCTTTGCAAAACTTTTTTTCCAGAATTTGAGTTGCCAATCTTGGGGTGCAGATTACACACTAGTATTTGCAGTATACTGTGTCTTTTCAAAACAATAATTGTTGTTACCCTACCCTTTTAGAAACTCTCTTTTCAGGGGTTCACTAACAGTTTTTATCATTTGGATTTATGTTATACAACTTTACTTCCCTAAGACATTTATGTCTATTTAGTAACAAATCAGATTAGTAGCACTGATCTATTGTCAGATTATATGATCAGTTCCATTATTTAGAGGTTAGATACTTAAATCATTTGACTGTGTGATTGTGATTGGTATCTTGTTGAAGATTAAGGAATGTGGATATGTGAGAAAAACTTTTCGCGCTTTAAACGGAAGATGTTTTCAACAAAGCTGTGGACAGACTGTATTTGTAGAATAAGGTTGCATCAAGATTTGTTATTATTCTATATTATATTGTTAACATGCAGCCCAACGTTATACTCTTTCTGGTTTGTGATTTAATATATTGGCTAATAAGATTTAACTTATTTTCTTCAGGAAGAAATTGAGGAGGCTTTGGACAAAGTTTGCAGCTATTTACCATCTTCAATCTCTAGTGAAGTAAGAACTATTTTTATAGTAAGAGCTTTGCATTTCTATCCTAAATTTTAGCTAGAATAAAAGGATAAAGTCACTCCAAGCTATGCAGTGTATTGCAGAATCTTTAACAATTTTCTGCATCTTGTAAAGATACTTTTTTCCCAAATTTTGACACCAGTCTTGTTGTGAAGGATGATCATTTGCCTTCCAGTGTAGTCACTACAGTTGTGGATCACACATCTAAAGTTTCTTTTTTTCTAAAAAGAGCAATAATGTTATTATTATTTGCAAAGATCATGCCTGTTTGATCTCACCATAGGCTTGCAGTAGTTTATTATTTTGGTTATGTTGTAGGCTCTAAAATTACTCTGGGTTTTTTTTTTGTGTGGCTCCTAGTGTACCCAGTTTATCAATCAGTATGGTGATGCAATCTTGCAAATCCTTGCACAAGAACTTGACCCAAAAGAAGTTTGCACAGCGCTTCAACTTTGCACAAGTCAGGCAAAAGGTAAAGGTACTTTAAAATGGAAGATGTCCATAGCTAGAAAAACATAAGTCCCTTACCAACAACATGTATTCAAGTAAGGTTATTTAGCTGTACATTTTAACCCTTTCACTCTTAAGATCTCATAAGCATTTCTCCTTACTATCGACCATACAATTTGTATGATGTTGGTTCAGAGAATTTGGTATAAGATAAACTAACAATCCTCTTTTAAGAATTGTTATATTTCTTAGTTCTCATTGCTTTTCTGTTTGATATTGTATTGAAATTGTAAGGAGAAATTTTGTCTTGGTCACTGACAGGGGAGTGAGAGAGTTACCATATGTACTGGTGTACAAGTTGAACTTGTGTATAAGTTGACCTCTCATTTTCAAGGTCAAAAATCAGATTTCTAATCATTTCTAGTTAAAGAAGTAAAATTCAGACTGATAGAAATATCCCAAAAAGGTAATCTCTTATTTCTGAGAATTTATTAAAAACAAGGTGAATTAAAAAAACTGCAGAGCAAAATGGAACGGTGTGGTGTTGAGTTTATTGGCACTTGTTTATATTACCATGATTTAAGCATACACAAGCACTTCAAGTTACTAGAGAAGCATTTTACCATATTTTGCAAATCGCTTTGAAAGTGAAATCTTCTTGTATTTAACTAACCTTTATCTTTAAGTCAATGTTGAGTTTGAAAGGAGATTTAACATGCCTTTGGTTACAATTACATAATTGTAGTAAAGTTATTATTGTGTCAATAAGAATTGTCTAGAATCTCTCTTTACTAGTAGAATATGTATTGATCTTAAGTTTAAAAATATGAGATATTTTAAGGAAAGCTAAGCACTTTACAGAGAAACCTCATAATGCATTACATGAAGAATCCTTATTTTAATAGATTGGCACGAGTTGTTCCCTTTAAAATGAGAGCATTGAAGAGGGGACACTTGCTTGTGAGATTAGACTTTGCCCCTCTTTTACCCATTCCATTAATGAGAGCAATTTTCCCACTGCCATACCAAGATAATCTTTAATGAAGAAATAAATTGTATTATGAACAACTGTTCACAACTTAGATATCACATACTTGGTTGTTCTTTTGTCTTTAGCCATGGAGAAGCCAAAGATTCATCTTCCAAAGAGTAATGAGACTTGTGAAATCTGTGACACTGTCATGACTTACTTGAAGATGTTACTGGCAGACAATGAAACTCAGGTACATGACAGTGATGTATACATTTGACAAATAGATTGCTGTGCTTTTGTTCAGTAATAGGTCCCAGTCACCAGCCTTCTGCTGTTAACCACTTTATTTAAATTGCTCTTTTTTGTGTGTGTTTGTCATAGGTGTTATTTCCTGTTACATTCAATGAATGATTAGTTGATTTTATGTTTGTTTACTTTTCTCAGCAAGAGATTTTAAATGTATTGAAACAACTTTGCAGCTATCTGCCAGAGCAGCTCTCTTCTGAGGTATAAAACACAAACTTATAAACTTTCTTTTACTCTCTTGTTGTAGAACATTTAGTAATAAGCTTACTTGTCAAATTACAGTGTAAATATGAAATTCTTGGCAATACTTATGACTTGTAACCTAAGTATACAGGTACTTAACAGTAATATTTACAGTTGCCTGATTATTTTTACTTTCTTTCTTGTCTAGCTTTGATTCATGTCTAAATAAAATGGAATTAGGTTAGTCTAACACATCAATCACTCCAAAAAAATTAACCTTTGAATATCCATTAGTGCACTGCCATTGTGACTGAGTACGGACCAGCCATTCTGAATCTGATTGCAGAAAGTGATCCAGAAACCCTATGTGAGGTAAGTTTTTCCTCTAACATAAAAAAGTGAGGGGGGCGCTTATTTGACTCTTTATCTTCAGAAGGGAGTCAAGTCTTGCCAAATAGCTTGTGCTTTGTTGGTGTACTCAAAAAATGTCATGAATTTTTCATCTTCAGTTTGTACACTGAAGATATGTGTTTGATGCAACCAGTTTCTCTCATGGTCTACCACTTTTTATGGTGTTGCAGTGGTCTACACTAAAAAACTCAACTGTCACTGTGCAGTTGAAAGTGTATTTTCTGCTGAGCTATGCTAACAAAACTCCTCTTTCAGGAAATTGGACTGTGCTCTGCCTTTAAAAAGGTGACATTGAAAAAGGAGGGCAAATTCTGTTTCCTTGGTGCCTCATACTGGTGTGAAAACAAGTTTAATGCAATCCAATGCAATGTAAGTCAAGTGGAGCAACCTATGCCCATTTCTTGGTAGAATTTTGTAAAAAATGAATTCAAGTTTGTGAGTTTGTGTTAAAGTTGAAGGCATGTCAAAAGCAGAATGTCCATCTGATTCCTCTATGCCTTCAACATGATAACAAAATTTTTTCAACTGCCCTCTATTGTAATTAGGGAAAATTTTCTATAATCTGTTCAACTTTTTCTATGGTATACACATTTTGTCATATTCTGGAATTTACCAGTAGATTACTGTTACAACTCACATTTTTTTTTTCTAGTATTGCAACTTTTTTAGCAATTTTTGGTCAACATGTGACAGGAGTGGTTAAAAGTGTGTACAAAATAAACGTTCACCCCTGTCTCAAGATCAGTCACACAATATTATTCTGACTTAGATAACGCTTTTGAATCAGTGGAAATTGTCTCATTGAGATGTAATATCGTTTTTAATATAGAGCAAAAATGTGTGCTTTTTATCTTTCCAGGCTTTGAAACATTGCACAGACCATGTGTGGAACTGAAGGCGAAACACACCCCCAAGAGAGAGCCTTTTGCTTGACTATAGTACTAATGATTAAAAATTAAAAGTAGCTTGTTGTATGCCTTACACTTCTAAGATCAGACTGGGAGCTACTTGCTTTAGCCATTTGATAAACTGTTGGTGTGATAAACTGCTGTTGCAGTGCTTACCCTCAATAACAAAGATATCCAATAACAGTTAGGGAGTTATCTTCAGTTGAGAACAACACTCAGAAATAAGAATTCCACTTCATTTTTTTATGGTAATATTTTGCTTTTAATGGTAAGGTCAGCACTTCTAAAATTAGATTAAATGAAAACACCATGTAGCTCATTTATTTGCCCAAAATAAAATGACAATGCTTTTTTAACGTTTTCTGCTCGGTTTTTAAGATGACATTTCACAAAGAGAAGTTTCCTTTGGGGAGGGAGATACCACCCCAGCGATACAAAACGTGCGCTAAGAATGCAACCATTTAAGTCCGCTAACCCTTTCTTCATCATATCAACGTTGAAAGTAATCCAGGCCATGGCCACTGATTTTACGTTCTTCTCTTCCGTGTATATTTTCGCGCCTAATAGAGGCTATGTGTTGGTTATTTAGAATTCGTACGAACTCCTTTCCATTTATTCTAGTTTCCAGTCCCCAATCAAACATGGTGGCGTGCTTCGGTTGAAAAAGACTGGTCAAGTTTTTCAGGCACTTTTTTACTTAGCAACTGTTCGAACACTTTGTAAACGGTTATTAAACTGTGAACGTAGATATGACTTGGTTGTGATTACCGAGACGTGGCTCCAGCCCCATGATGATGCGCTAAGAATAGAACTGTGTCCTCCTGGTTACAAGTTTATTGACTTTCCACGACAAGAACGGACAGGTGGAGGCATTGGACTACTGTACAAGGATTCACTTCGTGTTAGCACGACTCGAGATGGAATTCAAGAGTCGCTTGAATTTTGCGAGCTGTTGGTCCAAACGTCGACTTCCCGCAAGATACGGCTTGTGATCGTCTACCGTCCACAGAATTGTGATGACCACCGCAGGGTTCCCATTAACACTTTTCTGATGGAGTTTTCTGACCTGATGGAGTCCACTATTCTATCCAAAGAGCCTTTGATTGTCGTTGGTGATTAAAACATACATGTGGATGTTCCTAATGACACTGATGCACTTAAGTTTTTAGATCTGCTTGAGTCTCTCGGTTTGGAGCAGCATGTGACAGAGCCAACGCACATACGTGGTCACACCCTGGATCTTGTTATAACAAGAAAGATTGAGGATATTCTGGCGAGTCCACCACGCGCCTGTCGCTATTTCTCCGATCATGCAGCTGTACATTGTCATGCTGCCATAAGTAAGCCTTCATTTCAGACTAGGATAATAAAGTTTAGGAAAACTAAATCCTTGGACGCTGAGAGCCTATCGAACGACGTAGTACTTACAGGGCTATGTGATCGAGGTAATAGCGATCCCATCACCCCACTGGACTTGGATGTACTTGTAGAGGATTACACGACCACACTCTCTCAAGTTCTTGATCGTCACGCACCTTTAAAAACCAAAACAGTGCGGGCTAGGCCTAAGGTACCCTGGTATACCAGTGAGATAGCCGAGGCAAAAAGGCGACGCCGGAAAGCAGAACGGAAATGGAGAAGAACACGATCACAGGAAGATTTGTTGGCATTCAAGAAACTCAAGAACCACGTTACTTATTTAAGTACACGGGTTAAGCGTGCTTTCTACTCAGACTTTGTGAACGACAATAGTGAAAACCAAGGAAAGCTATTCAGGGCCACTCGATCATTGTTACTTCCTAGGAATGAGTTGTGTTTTCCAGAATACACGGACAACTCAATCTTAGCCAACGATATCGGGCGGTTTTTCGACCGTAAGATTGCAAAGATTCGGGCAGAGCTTGATGCGTGTACTCTTCATCCTGGGGCGGTGGCTGAGGATAAAGTGTTTACAGGTGATAGGAAACTTGATCATTTCAATACGTATTCTGTGGAAGATATAAGGAAGCTGGTCAGTAGATCATCGAAGAAAAGCTGTCAACTTGATCCTATGCCGACCAATTTAGTAGTCGGCATGTCCGATATGCTTCTCCCCATCATTACTAATGTCGTGAATTCTTCACTTTCCTTGGGACACTTTCCATCTGATTGGAAAACGGCCCTTGTGGATCCAAGACTGAAGAAGACCAAGCAAGGGACTTCCTTATCCAATTTAAGACCTGTGGGTAATCTGCAATACCTCTCTAAATTGGTTGAAAGTGCAGTTTATGATCAGACAACCGATCACGTTACTCAGTCGGGTTTGTATCCCATCCTCCAGTCAGCCTATCGACTTGGTCATAGCACAGAGACTGCCCTATTGAAGATACAGAATGACATACTAGCTGCAATGGACAATCAACGAGTTACTCTTTTGGTATTGCTAGACCTGAGTGCAGCATTTGACACGATTGACCACCAAGTGTTGTTGAATCGCCTGTGCGTGATGTATGGAATTACAGGTACCGCTCTTAAATGGTTTCACTCGTATTTATCAAACAGGAAACAGCGAATCCTGATTAACGGGAGCTATTCGAGTGACTTTGATCTGCCTCAAGGGGTACCTCAAGGATCATGTCTTGGTCCCTTGCTCTTCACGTTGTACGCAAGTAAGCTCTTCGATGTTGTTGAATCCCATCTCCCTAACGTTCACGCATACGCTGATGATACGCAGCTCTATATCTCATTTAAGCCGGATGGTTCTGCTACTGAGACGGATGCTGTTGACGCTCTACAAGCTTGCATCAGGGACATAAGAACCTGGATGGTCCAAGACAAACTTCGGCTGAACGATGCTAAGACCGAGTTTCTTATTATAGGTACACGCGCACAGTTAAATAAGGTTATGATAAGTGACTTGCAAGTAGGTAAAGTAAAGGTTTCTGCGGTTTACTCTGTTAGAAACCTGGGTGCTTGGTTTGATGCAAACATGAATATGACCACACATATTAACAGCATATGTCAGAATATTTATTACCATCTACATAACATCCGGCGTATTAGAAAGTATTTATCATATGATAATAGGAAGTCCATTGTACAGGCTATTATAATGTCACGATTAGACTATTGTAACGGTCTATTATATGGTACGCCCGCTGGTCATCTTGGTAAGCTGCAACGCCTGCAGAACGCGGGTGCTCGGCTGGTATGTACTATATCTAGGTATGATCCTATCACACCATCCCTGATCAACCTGCACTGGCTTCCGGTTACCCATAGAATAGAATTCAAGATAGCAATGCTAGTTCACAAATGTATCTACGGCGTAGCACCACAATATCTTTCAGACTTGATAAAAATCAAAGAGAGCTCGCGGTATCAGTTGAGATCATACCGGGGCATACTCCTAATGGAAAATACCTATAGAACAAAAAAGACACTCGGGGATAGGGCGTTTGAAAATGCTGCGCCCAAAGTATGGAATCGACTCCCTTTAGAAATTAGACAATGTCAATCATTGAACATTTTTAAAGTTTTACTAAAGACACATCTTTTTAAATTAGCTTTTTATTAGTTCTTTTATTAACTCATATTCTACTTTTATTGTTTTCCGAAAATTGTAAATTATTATTATTATTATCATTATTTGGACTAGCCATTTATTACTTTAAGATTTTAGTGTTGTAATGCGCACTCGATCATATCTTTATCGCATGCTAGACTGCGCAATATAAGAAATAAACATCTTCATCTTAAGGAAGTTATCGGTCTGTAATTCTTGAGCTCCTGAGTATCGCCAGTCTTGAAAGCATGCGTCTATTTTCCAGTAAGTTTTGTATGGCAGATCACTTTAACAGCAGTCTTTGTTTTTCAATTTATGCAATGAAGAAAAACTGGACACAGGAAGCAAGGATCTGGTGATCGTGCAAGCCATTAAATGACGGTGGGAAAGGGAGGGTTCCAATCACACACCACGCGGAATTCTTCTCTTAAATCACCCATCAAGGACAATTTTTTTTAACCAATCACGCGTCACGTAAAAAAGAGTAAAGATTTCAACCTATCGGATGTATCATTAAAAGTTATATTGCATTCAACGGTTTTTATCCTGGACTGAATTGCGTTTCATATGTCTATTGCTTTTGGTTAGACAAGTAAAGACCACTCAAGTGTCGAAACGAGACGCTCCGAGAGCGTTTACTCGGGCTTCGTATCGCAATATCAAATCGAACTTTACAAATATAGAACACAGTAAAAACATATCAAAGAATCAGGATATTTAACACAAGAGTTAAGCCTAGGTATTTACTCTTCGAGTTGCTTCGTTGAGTATCCTCTTCATCTAATAGCTTGTTGTTTGCCTCACCTTCGAAGTTCTGTTCACGAAGATTTTTTATTTCTTCAATTCAGCTTCTGAGGTGTTCGTCTGGGCATCATAGTCGTCATAGTTTGTTGTTTAATAAGTCAGTAGTCGTAGTTTTGACAATTTTTTCGAGGTTTGAACTCATTTATGGCCCATTAGTTATCTAGAGAACTAGTATGGACTTTGCTAATTTGGCTATCTTTCAATTTGCGGCCACTCATGGCTCCAAGATTGACTAGACTTCTACGCCACCTTTACTATTTATGTGAATGTTTTGCCCAATACCCTTCTGTACGGCAACTGTATTTATTTCAGTAAACGATATAACGTGGCTTTTGAATCCGTTTTGGTCAAAATTGTTTTCCCCGTGTACTAACTCATTGCTTACATTGCCATCCTCTCGGGGGCACAAAACGACACCAAAACTCTAACGTATTTTACAGTTTCAGTCATTTGGGTTGACATTCTCTTGGATCTTTCATTCGATGGATTCGGATACTTTCTGGTCTTTCTGGATACGATCTCGCGCACCATCACGACCAGGCGGTCGACAAAAATAACACTGAAGGTCATAGTCCTTGTGCAAATGTTTAGTATATTAACTTATGCCTAATGTGCTACGATTGTTTGGACCAACCAGGAAGGTCAAAGACATCAAAGGTCAAGCGAAGGTCAGCAAAGCAGTGTCACGGCTGCCACGGTTTATTGATCTTTGTTGAGACTCTTTTTGCTTTGAATAATTGGTTTACTCTTAAGTCAAAGAGCGTTCACTATCACGGAAATCTAATTAGTAAGTCTTGTAAACCACGCGTCATGCGCTTGTAAAATAGAAAATCACGCATTACGTTGTCATGTCCGGTCCCGCGTCACGCAGATAATTTGGGTCCCAGCAAATTTTGGGGCCATCATGCGTCACGCAAAAACCCTTTGCCACCCTCTTAAATTTGATTGGCATCTGGACCCTGAGAGGTGATTAATGGATGTTTAGCTGTAGTGTCAAACAGCTTAATCACCGTAGCTCTAAAGACAGCACAGAGTAACCTCTGCGGACAATTTTTTTAGCTGCGACCATCTTTCTTTGTAAATGGACTCTCTTAGGTATCAAGAGCATTAGGATTGCTGAACCCACTGAACAGCACATCCTAAATTTGAATGTGGACTTATGGGGAAAACTTTAAAAAAAGAGCATTCAAGGAATAACGAAATTTGCATTCTCCCTCCTATGTGCTGATTTGCAAAAATGCCAGGCCTGTCAAAAACCCGCGCGGGACTCTCTGTCACACTTGCATGCATTTCGGTACTTGACAACAATCTTTAACTGATCCAGACTGCGTAGGAAATCTTTCCCTTTCTCGTCATTTGGAATTCCTTCTTCTTATTTCTAAACCAAGTTCCTAGGGTCTCCTTAGCCGAGTAGAAACAAGACTTACCCTGGAAACGACGAGGACTTAAACAGTACAAAAATAGATAATCACGGCTCCAATTTTACTCCTTCGTGACTCCTTGTAACTTTCTTGAGGCGGAGCGTCAGAAATTCACAAAATGACATCCTTAAAGACGGAAATCGGGCTACATCTTCAGAGTGAATCTCAGAGTTGTTCGTTTGACACCACAACCCTTCCAGAGCTTGTTGCTGAACATATTATGTGCTTCCCCACACCCTTTTTTGCCTTCCCGCCCCCTGGTATAAATTATGGTCTCTAAGCTAAAACGTTTTATATTTTGCAGCCAAGAAACTTCTTTCATTTTCTTGAGGGCGTAGCAAAATCATGATCCGTAACTTCTGTACGTCGACTTCCCTGGCGTTCTTCGATCAGTTTAAAGTGCTATCCTTCTGATAACCGACTCATATCCCCATTGGTACTTATACTTATCGTCAACAGTTAACTTTCCAACAAACATAATTACTCCTTTTTCCTCGTTGTACTCTATGTTTATTTTCTACTTTCAGGAAGTGTGTGTAGACAAAAATTACTAAGTAGCTTTGCAATATAGATTTTCCACTCACAACACACAAACAAACGAAAAAAATTAAATTCAACCGTATTTACTTTAACATACCACGCTCGGGAATAATTATTTTGCGAAAAATCTCGTAGTTCAAAACTGAAATTGTAATATTTGAACAAGGAGACTTAAGGCCAAAGAAAGACTTGTCATAAATTTTCGATTTTTAATCCTCGGGTAAACTTGTCAAGGAGACTTACCAAAGGAAGACTTGTAATAAATTTCGATTTTGACTCCTCGTGAAAACTTGTCAGGGAAAGCTTCATAGTTACCAGGTACCCAAATAGGCTATGGGAGTCACAAAAACACTTCAACGTCTCATCTCTGTTTCATGAATTACATATTTCCTTGTTATTTATCTATTTACATATGTGTTTCTCAGTAAGCAAAATAACTTATGAAAGGAAGGAAGGTGGATGCGGTAACATTGCCGTTTTTCCTATTTCATTTTCATGTTTCAGTTTTGAGTAGATGTCTCTGTTGCTTTCGCAGTTGATATTTTGAGGTGCGAAAGAAAATGATAAAATACGTATACGTTACAATCATCATTACTGTTATCAAAACAAAATAAAAGGGGAAACCAAGCATTTAAAATCACCTTCTTCATTAACGGATTAACTTCGATAGATTCAAGAAACTTGTGCATAATTATTATTTTCAGTAATCTGGCGGGAAATTGTCACGAAAGCAAATGTCACGAAATGAAAATACGTTTGTGGGAAGACTTTCTCAGTCACGACCAGCTCTCTAAGATCCTGGTAAACACAAATTAAAAGATCCAGTGTTATTTTTCCATAGGGTATATCTGTTTGTTAAGATGACAATAATCATGATTGAATTTAGGAAATCAGAGATGGTTTGCTTACAATTTTCAGGTCACTGTTGGGATACGGCAATGATCAGGGTTAGAGACGAATTGTTTTTTTTTTTTTTTCTTTCTTTCTCTGTAGCGTGAGAAGCTCTAAATATCTTTTTTCACTAAAACAAAATTTAAGCTGTTTAATCATTTTTCATCCCCTGAGGTTTTTTCTACTGTGTTCTCGAGACAAAGAGTATCAAAAGTTTCTTGCTTTAAAGTCACGAAACATTTCCCAGTCCTCAACAGTTCACATACGAACAATACTCGTACCCCCCTCTAGAGCAAAATTACAAATCGTTTGGTATTTTAGAAGAAAGTATATGTTGATCATAATAATATATAGCTTATTTAACAATTTTCCTCAGAGTTATTGATTGTGATGGTCAGGAGTAAATCAGAATATTTAAGAAGGCTATATCATGTATTTCAAGGGAAGTTTGGGGTAATTTTATTCATTTTCGACGGAAAATTTGAAACAAACATTAGAGATTGCAAGTCATTTCTCTATAGCAGTTCGCTCAGCGCTTTAGTGCTGTATCTCGTGTTTGAAGTAAAAGTTCAGGCTCGATGTGATGAATGCAATTTGGTGGTACATACCAAAATGGAGGGTTTTATTGGCATATGGGATCATCTTGACGGATGGTAAATTTTCTAGGGCACGGAAGGGTTAAATCTACGGACTGTGGCGTTTATCTTAGGGTCGAAAACATTGTTATACCTGCCGCAGAACGGCTTTTACGGCTAGAAGCGGGAAGGACAGCGGTTTTGGTGCATTCAAGATTTTTTCAGGCTTTTCCCACGAAAGTTTGAGTTTTTATCGGGGCACTGGTTAATTTATTAGTGCACAGACGTTCATTTGTGTGTTTTTGCGGCGAGCCTTATGCGGCGATTTACCTTTCATGCAGTTTTGCTTTTATTTATGATGGACTGAGGTAATCGATTCATTGACAATGGCCGTGGTCCAGTGGTCGCGCAAACTCTGGCCAAAAGTTTGAGGAATTTTGGCTATTACTGGATTGAAGATTTATTCCATTGGAAGTGCCATCACCTTTCAAGATAATTTGAGCAATTTCTTCACCGAGGAGCGCGGAATAGTAGATATTTTTCAGTGTATTTTGGATCTGTTGTATGGATCGGCGAGAATCCGTGATTGGTTCACGCGCGTAAGAGTCGAAATTTAAAACTCCCTCCTTTTTACTCGTTCCACAAGCTTTGTGGCATAATAGTAATAAAGTTTAATCGAGGAACACGATGTTTCAACCGTCGCACTTTCAAAAGATGGCCCAGCATTTGGGCATTGACTCTCTGTCCTACGAAAAGGAATACAATGGATTTATGACAAAGTTGAAGAACTTTCACGAGTCTAAGGGGTAAGATGAGGAATAGTTTAGAGGCTTCTTGCTAGAAAGTTTCTGTGTTGTTGCGACAAAGCAGGAAATTTATTCTGTCTAATGTCTTGTCGTCTAGGACGCCATTTAGACGATTGCCGTGGCTAGGAGGGCAATATTTAGACTTATACCTCTTGTACCGTAAGGTAACTTCAGCCGGTGGCTGGGTGAAGGTAGGTCGTCGAAAATTACCGCGTTTTCTTCCAATTTTAGACTCTCACTCCTCTATTTTTACGTTTAAAGAACCACTGAGTTGTAACTGAATCCATGTTTGTCTATTTTTTAGGTTACAGAGGAGAAGAGGTGGCGAGACATTGCTGAAGTTTTTAATTTGCCGCCAACATGTACGAACGCCGCTTTCGCTTTACGACAACACTACTCTCGGTAAGCGACGTTAAAACCTCCAATTGCATGGACATTTTGTCTATTTAAGAGTTCCACGTTCTAATTAATAGCCTCTTGAGTTGAAATATGAACGCAAGGCTACATCTAGACGGTTTAAGACCATAGTAGTGACCATTGAAACTGATTCATGTATGGTCCTGTTATAGGGGAATAGCTTATGAGCTCGATAGTTAGGGAGAACTTCCGTTATCCTCAATAAGTATTTACCTTTAACTTTTATTCAGGTTAAGATAAAATTAACTCTGTTTGTAGATCACCTTATGGAATTTTTGACATCGTGTGAAGTTTTAACCGAAGAATTCTATAATTTCCTTGTTGCTGGGGATGTCCTGGCCTGCTGTCACCAAGATTGTTTCATTTGAACGTAAAGGACACGTTTTTCCCATATTTCCGTAATCTTTTTGGTAATTTTAACATGGGTTATTTCTGACGGCTTATTTCCGGTTTCCTAGATTTAAAACATCACTTTGCCTTCCACTACATCATATTCTCGTCGAAAATTGATTTTGAAAAAGCTAAACAAAAGACTTTCGTTGTCTCTTTGTGCGTGGTTATGTTTGTTGTGACCCGTCAGATCGAATTTCTGTACTTGTCTTACTTTGGTCCGACGTGTAAATTGTTATAATTTTCGTCGTTCGTCAAGTTAATTTTCTGTATCCGAAGGGAAAGTATCCATTGGACCGGCAGTGAAAGCCTTGTAAAATGTGTCAGGAGCAGTATATTTCATTATGCAAATGAAACGTGCTACTTTGAACAATTATTGTCTTGTGGCAGAGGTCGAACATCTTGTTACTTTGTACAGTTACGAAGACACTATGTTGTAGAGTAAATTTGTTTGAGATAATTTCAGCGAGTAGAATGTTTTTTAGGGGTAATCTAGAGTTTTAACATCTTATTGGGTAATTGTAAGCTTGTAGTCATTAAAAGCTGTAACAGGCTGAGCAATTTCCTACGTGAAGAATCTGTACCTTATGCATGAAATTTTGATGGGAAATGATTTCACTTTTGTGGTATGGACAAGGTCATCGCACCATAATCATTATGCATTCATCTATTAAAGGTGCTCTACTTCTTTGCAGGAAAGGCATTAGATAATTGTGTTGTAACATTTGTATATTTTATCTGATTAGTTCTCTGTTATTCTTATATTTCAATGTTTACATTTGAAATGACATATCCTCTATTAAAGCTCATTATTTTTATAATTTAGAATATATTTAATGAAAATGTGATCTAAACCAAATTAGTTTTGTATAATTTATACTCTTAAAGGCAGAATAGATTATTTTGTTGCATAGATAAAAAGACAAATTCAGAATAAGAAACTGATGATGAGGAATTGGAAAACTGCTTGCTCAGTGTTTCATATCCAAGATGTCAAAACAAAAAGTCAGCCAGGTAGAAGGTTGATATTGATTTTCAGTCATACAAGCTGAATCTTTAAGTCTTCTTTTTTCACAGCTACATGCTGATCATTAGGCTCATAGCAGTTTCTTGGGAAGATCTTTTTTTGTAAATCCTTTTTCTCCTGTCTACTTCTGACAGGGGCTAAAGAGTAATATTTAAGATGTAAAACTCAGCTTGCTGTATTGTTATGTACATCGGGCTATAAATAAGACTTTGTTTTTAAAAATGTTGTTGACATCATTCATTTTAGCTATTTGGAAAGCTTCGAGAGAATCAACTTCTTTGGGGAAGATGCAGAGGATGTTCTAGCAGCTGGAAGACCCCATACACCAGTTGGTGGAGGCACATTCACTCAACACGTTCCTTCAGTGGCAACATCAGGTAATTATGTCATGTACCTTAGTTGTGCAATCAGTCGAAATTGAATTTTCTGGTTTGTCTTGTTTCTGTTGTTTTCTTAGAATATTGTGTACAATTTAACATTAAGAATTCATTTTCCCATGAAAAATGAATGTGATTCAAGTAGTGGCAATACAATTACTTAGTATCCATTGATGAAACTTTGGTTGGCAGGCATTGTCAAGAGGCTTTCTTTTTTTGGAGCAAAAAGTAGTGCTGAAACTGAAATAGAAATTCAAGTAAATGTGAGACCTTATTATTCAATGTAAGAAAATTGAACATGTAACAAGTTATTGATTAGTCCCCAAATTACCTTACTGACTGACATAGTGAGTGTATTTAAACACATTTTCATAAAAGTTAAATGTCTGTTGACTTACTATGGCATATCTGGGAGAAGGGAGATGTTTGGTTCAGAGAGCAAGGTAGTAATCCCCAGCTGTTTTGGCATTTTAAAGTTTACGTTTTTGCCTTAAACCTGGTACAATGAGGATATCAATTTGAAAGTGTTTCTCTGAGTGTCACAACAAAACAAGGAATAGAACTCATTGACTTCTAAAACCAGGTTCTTAGCCCACCTTTTTTTTTTTTTTTTTTTTTTTTTTTTTAGATTATATTTCCGTCATTTCCACCAGCAAAGGTACAGTATAACCTCATTTATGTAGCCTTGTCACATAAACAAATACTTTTATAATTTGACATGAAGCACTCTGGTACTCATTTAAATCAGGGTCTTTTGGAGACACACCTGTAAGGATGGCAGTGATTTGGAATTGAATTTTCCTCTCTGTTATCAGATAGAGACTCTTTTTTGGAAGTTAAATGGTTTACCAAGATCCCAATCATTTCATTCGAAAAATATATTGTGTTAGAAAATTGTGGTCTTTCATGCAAGTAGAAATTGTGTAATTTGCCTTGTGAATTAAAGAGGGAAATTAATGGCTATCAAGACTTAATGAAGGAACTTTTGGCTATGAGTAGTTATGGTGAAGTGCATGAAATAATATTCATAAAATGTGAGATTTAAAAGTGTAGTCAAGACTAGTTATTGTTCTTCTATATTGTACATGACTGACAATTGTTTTTCTCTACTTTTCAACCTCAATAGATCCAAAAAGAAACTTTGACAAGCTTGTCCTTTCTCTTCAATGTGGCATGCCAAATGAAGTGGATTTTGCCATTAACATTTGTATGCTGTTGTCAAATGTTAGCAACTCCGTGTTCAATCTCAGCAAGGTAGGAATGAAATCAGTGTTTCAACAGCATGGTAGTCATCCACCAGTGATAAAAATCTAGCAAAGTTAAATGTTTTGTCATTGGAAGATGTAGTAGCTTTTCTGTTGTGTACTCTACAGTGAAACAATCATTTAATAATTTATTTTATACTAACTTGTTTACATTGATTTCTTGACAATCTTGTCTTACTGGCCAGAGTATAGAAAACAAACTCAGTGTAAGAAACCCTGGTTTCAGAGTCAATTTCTTTAAGGTGACAAATGCATTTGAACTAAAACTACCTGGAGAAAAAAGATAAATCTCACTGCATCACTACAAGGGAAAGCAAGGCTTCTGTATCTGTAGAGATATAAATCGCAAATTCTACATGTATTTTTTTTTTTTGTATTGCAGCAGTGGAGCTTGATCATTATTATAAATATGAATTTGAAGTAGTGATAATTGATCTTACTAGTATGCTTAAGGTTATTAGAGAAACTGTTTGGAGTGGTATATCATTTACTTATTACAATTTTAGGCACCTGCAGTGGTGGATACATTACTTGCACATGTTGGGGTATTTTCTGAAGGTATGTAGCTATAGCTTCAATTTGTTTTAATTAGATATTCCACACTTTTTCTGGGTTAAAAGAGATGAGTGATACTTTGTAAATTCACCATTCACTTATCTCATCAATTAGAAGGGAAGTAGGTGGGATGATTATTTTGCTGATCAGATAAAGAATGGATATTTTTTATATCTGTGCAGGATAAATTTTCAGGTAGAGTTAAATTAAAGAACTGAATGTATTTAGGGTAAGTTAAAAAAAATTATTCTTCACTGCTACTTAACAAACTTAAAACTCTTATGTTTATCTTAAAGATTCCCATGGACTAGGAGAATTATATGAACAGTGGTATGCAAAACAGGATATGGAGAGAGATTTCACAAGGGTAAGCTTCAAACAAAGTCTCAAACATTTCTAATGACTTTGCCATATTTGTGGTTTGTTTTGTTTTGTTCATTCATTATTCCAAATAAAAATTTAAGAAGTTTCTCTCAAAGACAAATTAATAATAGAGCAACCATTTCATTAACAAAACTGCAATTGAAGCAAAGACTTTTTATGTCAAAAAGTCAAGAATGGAATATCAAAAAGTAAAACAGGGATATTTGTGTTCTCAGATTAATGACTTTTTTTATTGAACCATGTAACAAGGCAAGAGTTGCTTGATTATTTTGTTGAATTGTGCTTCTTTTCTGCAGTTTTGGAAGGAAGGTCTAACTGTGAAAGGGGTTGAGGACATTCTATGTAGTGACAGTGGTATGTGTCAAGTAATCATAATAATTATGATATTAATAGTAATTAAAGTGAGAAATTGATGTTTGTCCATTGGATGTGATCTTTAGTTTTGAGACATTAGAGTCAAGTGTCAAGACCCTTGAAACAGGAAAAAAAGGAGTTTAGCAAGATTAATTTTTCACACAATTTGAAGTTTCCCTACCTTTCATCTAATCTACAGGATGAAAAGCCTCACAGCATGCATCATTGCCAATGGGGCAAAAACTTCATCAAACTTTTTTCATGGGTCGTTATGATGTATCAGACAATAACCTTGGGAATGTTATTATTTTACTATATGCATGACCCACTTCATTATCTTGAGCAAAAGTTCACTCAAACTACATGTGTAGTTCTGATGTTTTGGACAATAACCTCACAAATGTCATTATGTAACTGTATGTGTAACCCCCTTTGTTATGTCAAGCAAAGACTTCACTTTATAACAGATTTCATAATATCCCCACTGAAGTGTTTTTCAGATACATGAGATGCCTGAAACAGGTTGGATAATCATTCCCCTTGTTTTATATGGGTTTTGATAAAAAATGGCAACATAAGCAAATTCTGTGATCTTTTGTTTTGTTTTTTCAGATGATAAGACTACAGACCAGGGATCTCTTTTTCACCCTTCCAGAAAGAAAATTGGTGCTAAGGATGTTGAGTGCCAAAGAATTTCTCAGGTGCTGACCCAAGCATTTACCTCTACTTTTATTTATTGGTTACTTGGAAAGGAAAGATAATGGTACAGTTATCTGGTCCTTTTGCATTTAAGTATTTTGGATTATACTCTTTAGTTGATTTCTATACTTTGGTCAAGTTAAGTCAGAAAACATTTGTCTGCGTGTAGATTTTATTGACACAACTCTACATGTAGTACTCAAAACAACTCTAAATCTAAGGGTTCTTATTTACATGTATGTTAAATGGATTGTTGCCTATTATGATGTTTATTAATTCTTGGTAGTTATGTGAAAGGGACTGTTACTTTATTTCATCTCCACTCTAGCCCATCTGTTTCCCTTCATGTAATAGGTGTAAACAGTGGAGAAAGAACAAGCAGTGGTGTTATTTTTGAGTGTTTGCCTTTTTCATGATAATCACTCCTCTCTACATCACAACATTGTTACAGCTAGTAAAACAACAGCCTAATCTCTTTTTATATCATCTATGAAACATTTTTTAATTTTTTTGGTGTACTCTATTTACAGGTTGGCATGATCTTTTACAACTTCTCCTTTGACAGTGCTAATGCTGATGTGCTTGCAAGCCATCCATTGTGCTTGAAGTAAGTATTGGTAGTGTTTCTGGGCATCAAAATTAAGTAAAAGGCCCAATGCATCTCTTCATCTTGTTGATTGTTCAAGTTAAATCTCTTGTGAAGCAATATGACTAATTAGAAACAGGAAATCATAACCATTAGTTGTGGTCACTATCATTATCTATATTGTGTAAGCCATTTTGTTGAAACTTTTACCAAAGCAGGAAAGAAAATAAGAAACTTAAGTGGATATCTCTTTTTCCCCTCTAGGTTCTTAGTGCTGTGCATTTGCAGTAATCATGGATTTCTGCAAAGAATGGCTTGGGAAACTCTTTCGAATTTAGCAGAGAAGGTAAGCATCCAAATACAGTAGGTGTATTAAAAATTGATTTAGTAAATCATTTGAACCTAGAACCAACAGTCAGTTGATTTTTGATTGTCATGATAAGGTAAAGTCATTTGGTTCTGAGGATTACTTTCACTCAACTTTTCAAACCAGTCTATAATCTGGACAACTGTAGCCTCGCCCAGCTGATCAGCCTACAGTATTTACTAATTTATTATTTTTCACAAGAAATTTGTTCTGTCATTCTTTATCAGATGCTAATGGACCCAATTGAGTCAACAAGTACACAGATGTTTTTTCAGATGCTGCATTGCTTTTTAGATCATAAAGATCGTTACCATGTCATCAATGGTAAGCTTATATTTGCTCATGAATTTTGCAAGGCTTATGTTAAAAGAAATTGAAGTAACATCTTCTATGGTGAAAGAAAATCCCTTGTGGGAATTAATACTAACTTCTGCTCATGATGGTTTATGTTCATTAGCCATGGATGTTTTGGGCAAATTGTGTACCCTGGAAAGAAATGATGAGGTTATAGAAACTGGCCTTGAACCTGAGGCTTATCAATCACTCATTAAAGTTCTGATTATCAGTGATGTTCAGGTAATCAAAATACACGTACTTGAATAATTTTATTTTAGTGCTCCTTCAAAAATGATCCTAGTTCAGGAGAGAATATCGACTTCTTTTAGTCACTTGCACCTGTAGCTTAGCTGCAGTGCTTTGTGGCACTTGCGGGTACATTTAAAGCAGAAATCTGTGTACTTAGTTAACATTTTAAAACTGATGTAATGTCATATATGAGACTATAGTTGTCTGCTATCTCAGTTTACAAAGGCAACTTTAAGCAGAGAGAGTTAATTAGAAAGTAGCCATATACTGTAGACAGATACAGTAATTACACATATGCTGAAATGTTGTAATTTCTTTCAGTTGGTTCTGTCTTCTCTGGAATCACTCTACAATTTGTCTGGAGTAGGGCAAGTGACATCTGATCATATTGCAGAGGTTAATCATAGTATTGGTAAGTACAATGCAAACTAAAAGAGTGTTTTTCCATCTTATCTTTGCTTGACTTCTCAGTAATATCATTTAGAGTTTCAAATGATGAGTGGGTATTTTTATTTAGATATTCTGGTGTGTTTGGTGACTTTGGATGCAGAATCTTTTGGACCAGAAGCCTTATCAGAGGTGCAAATCTTAGAAAAAAGGATTCCAACTGCCTTGCCAGCAACACCAAAGCCACAACCAGCTACAACACCAGGTTATTACACAATTAGTTGTGGTGTCAAATATTTTGAATCAATCATCAATTATTGAGAATTGCTTGTATTTTATCATATATACACATGCATGTATTGCTCTTCATCATGCCTCCTGAAAAGGACCCCACACATTTTATAATGTCCTCATTGTTATTATTTTTCTTCATTTTCCCATGCTATTATTTATCAAGTGTAACAGTTGTTTTGGATTTTGATCACAAGCAATGATGATCAGCACACCAATAGCAAAGATAGTTGAATGATTTTTGATGTACCTATTAAGTATTGTGTATAAGGATGCTAGCAATCAGTGTGAAAAACTAGTCATATGAGAAAGAGTTTTTGCTTAGTTGAAGGTGGAGTTGAACATGCAGTTTATTTGACATGTTCTTGTTTTAAAATGTGAGATGGGATATAGTATCAAGGAGGCTAAACCTTGAAAATGATTTTAAAAATTAATGTTTGTTTTTGTTCCAGTTGCTCCACCACAACCAAGAGAACCAGTTCAACAACAGCAAGCCCCATCTTCCAGTCCATCCCCTGGTCCAGTGACCAGTCCCTCTCCTACACCAGCCCCCATCAAGACAACAGGAACTGAAATTGACCCAGAGACTTTTACTTTCAACTGGTAGGTCCACTGGGCCACTAAGCTCTTGTTTGCTACACCACAATTAGTGTGAAGTAGATTATACTCTTAGAATATTAATGGCCAGTTAAGAATTCAAATACAGATGTAAAGAGGAAATTCGTCCTATTGGTTCTGGTTTGCCTCTCAGTGTCCTCCCTTATTTTAAGAAGGACAAGTTAATTAAATTATCAAATCAGTAAAATAATCATTTTACTTGTTTGAATTTTCAAGAATTCCTGTTGATAAAAGTACAATTAACTGCTACTGAAATCTCTTTGAACTTCCCCTTTTTATTTCAACTGGGCTTGGGTCAGGTTTCTACATAGTTTTGCAAATGAAGTATTTGTATCAGTGTTAGTTAACTCCTAGTGATTGTTTTTAATTTGTTTTGTTTTGTTTTTTTACAGGCTTCAGGGAACTTATGAACATTCACCTGGAAATTCTGTTTCTCGCATTGACATATATGCAGACTATCTGTCATCTTGTAGTAGACTGGCTAGAGTAGGAATCCTTAATGCAACAGCATTTAATCGCATCATCAAGTAAGTGATGAGTTTTGTTTTAGTCAGGATTTTTGAGTCAAATCTTTGCTATTAACCTTTCCTCTCTTAGGAGTTACCAAGAATAAATTTACTCCTAGAATATATATAATTAATATATATATATATTTTCTATCAGAAAGATGTTGAGAAGTAAGAAAAATGTTACTTAAGGGACATTATTTTATTTCTCACCAGATTTTTAGATCTAAAACTATCATAAATGTATTGTGTGAAAGGGTTAACATTCTTTGGTGGAAGACTTGAGATTCTCTGAGCCAGTTGCTTTGGACTTCAGATGGAAAAGTTTTTTTTTTTTTTTTCAAGTCTTGTCTTAGTCATTGTGTTGTGTTCATGGGCAACAGGCTTTACTCCTATTATCCCTCTCTCCTCCAAGGAGGATGAATAGGTATTGGTGGACTGTCAGGGAAAGTGGATGAATTACTGGGAGTTTCCTGCTGTTTACTAGCATCCCGTCCAGGAGGAGAAGTTATACTTTTAGTTGCTTCATGCTAGTGAAACCAGGATAAGCTTCCTGTAAGCTTGACATTCCTTTGAAAAAATCTGTGTGAATCTGTCAGTGACACAGTTAATTTATTTTTTTGCAGATTGGCTTTTCCTGATGGCCAGCTTCGAAGGGTGCAGTCTGGGGTAAATGTCCAATACGTCCTAGCAGGTTTAAAACGTAGAGCTAACCCACTTCCAGTTAAAAGCCGAACAGATTCACCAGCACCTCAGCATGTTGCAAGCCCTCATCTAGCAACTCAGCAGCAAGGACAGAGAATGCCCCCTGGTCAGCAGGCCATCAATAGGACTCCCACCCCTCCTGTTCAGAGTCAAATGTCCCCAGGATGGAATCCACCTAAACAGCAAAATGTGACAGTTGCACAGCAAACACTCCCTTCATCAATGCCGAGGCAATATGAACAGAGGTCCACACCACAGGTTTCTGTGAGCAATCAACCACAGATGCTTGGAATGGCCCAACTTCCAAGAAGACCAAGTACATCTAGTCAGGGAGCCATTCAAGCAACGGTAGATCAGGTTCGTGTATGATCACGTCAAGTAAAAGAAGGGCACAAATTTGTCCGTAAAAAGAAATTATGTTCAAATCGTCAGACAATGGTTTAAGAGATGGCATCATTGTATGGTGTGATGTAATATATACCATCTGAGTTGTCTGCTGACACACTAAACCTCTATGTGAATGATTGTTCAGTGTGGAAAAAAAATAAGAGAGTTCACATGAAAACCACTGTCAAGTTAGTGATAATGGTCTCCCATTGATAACTTTAAGTACAGTTGTTCATAAGTTATGGAAGGCTCACTCAATGCACTGTAGTTACCTACTGGTTAATTTTGTTGATGATTTTTTTCCTAGGGAGTAAGACAATTTACTACACCAGCTTTGCAACAGCAAAATCTCCAAACTGTGGCCAATCAACGGCACATGATCGGAGGGCAAACGCAAAGGAGTCTTGGTCCAACTGATAAGGCTCAAACCCTTGAGAGAGTAGCAGCTATGCGTAGAGCAAGTGTGGAAGGAACTAGTGCTCTGCAGGCACAGAATCCACAAGCCCTCCAGCATCATTCCCAGGGGAAGATCATGCAGAGAATGCCCATATCTTCCCAAAGTCCAGGCCCATCTAGAGGAGATCAACAGCAAATGGTTCACAGCATGCCACCAACTGTGCAAGCGTCTCCAGGTCAAAAGGGCTCCAGTGGTGCTTTTCCAGCTCAATCCATCCCTGCTGATGTACCTCGTAGTCCTGTTCCTCCACAGATCCCACTATTGAGGTCTCCACTTCCTTCAACAAGGTCTACCCAGCCACTCACATCACAACCAACTCAGACACCATTTTCAGCAGGCTTCATACAAAGACCTGTTACAGCAGCAGAACCATCCTCATATCGACCAACAGCCGCCTACCGGCAACAAGCTCCTGCTTTTCCTCAGCAGCAAAGTGTACGCCCTGCACCACCTGCTTACAGTGGGCGGCCTCTGTATCACGGGTCTTACCCACCCCTTGCTCCTAAACCTGCACCGGGAGTCAATGTTCAATTATCTCAAGAAAGCCAGTTGAGGAAGAAAGTTTCCTCTAATACTGCCGTCGGCGGGAGCCATCCCGGAACTCCACAAGTAGTGAGACCTCCCTTTCTTAGGGAAGAAGTTACAACAAGACAGATTTTTGCTCCTCATGAGAATGCACCCAATACACCACCCTCACCTGTTTTGTCCCCTTCCTCAAGGAGTGGACAGCCGTTCAGGGGTTCTCAACCAGACTTATCGGGTGGACATGGTGGAAGAAACGTCAGACCTGGACTAATAAAGAACAGCAGACAACCGTTTTCTGGGTAATATTCTTTTTTGTTCTCCCTGATAACTTTTACGTAATACATTTTAAAAATTGTTCACACGTAACCTGCACGTATTTAGTTTGCAGAACAATAACTTGATGATTGCTATCCAAACATCCTAAATGCTTTCATCTTAAATGCCTTCAAAATCCCAGAAAAGCTACGGCTGAATATTGTCTGAATGCGGCTGACGGTGTAACTCTGTGAATGTTCTCTTTTTCTCGCAGGATTAGACAAGAAGGTGTCGTCCTCATAGCACAGGAAGAGAGGGCAGCAGATGTTGTTTCTTCAGGCCTTTTAGAGGGCGCAGCGGAACAAAAAATTGTCGTCATAGAAAACAAAAATAGAACAGATATCATCCCAAATAATTCGCTGTCTTCAGCGCACGCTAATACTGCCCATGAGCATTCAAAATTGTCATCTGGGAACGCGTCAGTTAATACAGGAGATGAAATTTGCAGATCGAACATTGATGAACATTTTGATCAGTCATTAGAGAGAATGCCGTTGAATCAGGGAGAAAAAAACTCTCTTCAGAGTATACCCAAGTCAACTTTGTACCCTTCCAGTAATGGTTCTTTAAAAAGAGACTTGAATATTCATGCAACCTACGGAAGTAGAACTTCTGCATCAAACGAGGAAAACCTGAATGGCCAGCGCGATAATGCCAGTGATGAGTTTGGACAAGTAAAGAGGCCAAGACTGGATAGTAGAATATCCTCCCTTGAAAATGAATTAGAAAATTCTTCGTCGATACCATCTAGAACTGGAAGTCCAACCCCTCTTGTTAATGGTGACATCAAGGCTGATCCAAGGAACAAACTGATTGATAAACTTTTAGATAAGGATTTGCATTTGCCTCTTAATGGCGTTTGTGGAATCGATTCGTCCGATATAGACCTTCTTGCTTCCGACGGAGAGAGACTCAGTAGTAGTAAGGCGTCATCACCAGATCTCTTTGGAAGCGAAACAAATTCGGATTTTGGTAAATATTTAGAGGAGAGCGATACAGATACGGGCTTGTTTAGTGATGTTCTGCAAGGAGATTTAAGGATAGATCCGATGGAGAATGGTACTGAAGGCACTCACCAAACGGCATCGAAGATGCCAAATTTTCCCGTGGGAACCTGTAATGAAGGTGCAATTGTATCCAGCGATAAAGGCATTCCTGCTGGAGCTACGCAGCAACAAGGCAAGATTCCTATTCCTCCAACGGTGAGACCAGACCCCGTTCCTGGCCAGTATAATGCTACGGTCAATCGGCTATCACTTACAGGAAATTCACCCTGGAATTCTACAAACAATGTGAATCTTGAGTCAAAGACAGGCTTAAGCCTTTCGTCAGCGTCTGTCAATGTACAAAAAGTTACATTTCCACATCAAAATAACCAGCCGAGTTCTCAGCAAATGGTAGTAACTCATGATTCTTCATTCATTCAGCCTTTTACGACGCCGAAAAACATACTGCCCAGACCTCAGGGGCCAGATATTGTCAATAGCAAAGCTCCAGTCTCTCAAGGATTAGGTATTCAACAACCCTTGATGGCTTCATCTTCTCATGGAGGGCAGCAAATGGCTGCAGATCAAACAGCCTTACCACGTGGAAATGTCGCTCCGAGCAGAGGAATGCCACCCGGCTGGGCCCCAAGTGGAGTTCAACATCAGCAACTGCCGGTAGCACCACATGCTGCTCGCAGGGTTCAGCCTGCTGCTGCTATTGGATTTCAGGTAGCCTCACCAGTTGGTGCACCCCTGGTACCCCAAGGTGCTACTGTGCCTCCTGGTTCTCTGAGCTTGGGTTTATCACCTGGTTGGCAGCCTCAGTTACAACAACAGCAAAAATCTGTGACTGTTCACCCGGATGTGACGACTCAAGGTGTGGCCACACCTGGGGCAGCGATTTACGAGGCAACATCTACGTCTCAAAGTAGACCACCAACTAGCCCCATGCAGTTTCAGCACCCTGCCATGCCACCAGCTGTGAAGAACGTAGTTCAAAACCCAGTTGGATCCTTGCTAGTTACTCCGACTGCTCCTCAGGTGTTTGCACCTACCTCTCCTGCGCATGTTAGCCAAGCCGAGTTTTCAGCACCTCAGATGGTGTCTTTCAAACCTTTTAGATGTCGATGGACTACTTGCTATAGGTCAGTGATATGTTTTGTTGGCTCGACTAAATCGACTTATTCAGTTGGTAGCGACATAAATTGCCAGAGATAGTGCATTCACTAAACAATACATACACAATATTGTAATAACTCGCCAACAACGGTTGCTTCATTGCCAAAGAACACCGTCAAAGTGGGATGAATGTAGTAATTGTTACATTAGGGTGCTTTAGTTAGACACAGGTCAATGCTGCTTCTGTTGCTTAAAAGCGAAATATATTAACGAACCGAAAGCAGATTTTACTAGAGAAATTACAAATTGATCTGTTTTTCCTTTTATTGTTTACAGCTCATTTGACACCAGCAAAGAGTTATTTGCACACGTGGTTAGTGAACATGTCCCTCGTGACAGTCTGGTCATGTCGTGTATGTGGGAAGGTTGCCCATCAGTGCGCCGCTCACGTTCGTCACTTTTATTTCACCTTCAGGTAAGTTTTCCGGGGTAAGAAAAAATATCTTTACTCTTTAAACAAAGAATAATTGAAGCATCTTAAAAGGTTCTTTTATTTGGTTTTTTTCCGCTTTCAGTCTCCAAGTCGTGGATTCATTCAAACAAGTGATAGTTGAAAAGAAAAGTTATTCCCGCTGTATTTCGGATTTTGCTGTCATTTGTTAAGAGCTGATGTTGTTATGTCTTTTTTTTTTCACTTTTTCTCGGAAGTGATTATTGTATTCACTTGTGTTTACTGAAATATCAATTGATTCCAAAATGTGAGCCAGGTCGCCTATTTTGGACTTTCTGGTGCCAAATGTGTAGATCTCTATCCTCCACTCATTTCGCAACAATGTCAAAAATTATTGTCACAGCTAACCTTCTAACTTTGTGTCTCCGCAGCAAAAACACAGTGAAGCGTCACCCGCTCCCAACTCTCTCCCGCCCCAACCAGCTCAACATCAGTCTCCTCCTGTGCAACCTCCTCCACAACCTCAGCGTAATACCCAGCCTAATCCCCAGCCTCCTCCGCCTTCCACTCCGTCCACGTCATTTGTTCCTGCATATCACTTCCTAGCTCGCATGTTGCAATCATTGCAGGTTAGAAATATTTGAGTTATACGGCCGTGATTTAAGGTGCTAGAACGGGAGTTGAAAGCTTACAGTCTAAGCGTTTTAGCAAAGTAGTTTGTTGATTATCACATTCGGAGGACTTGTATTCCGGTGGTTGCACGATAAGGGATTCTTAGTTGCCTCGAATTCAAAATTTTTTTTAATAAAGCTTTTTAGTAATTAGGCGCGTCACGGAGTAAAAATTTGGAAATTAAAAGGACGGTTGTAATCACCTTTAGAGGAATCTGTGATTAACCCGTCATTTTAAAATGTCGAATTGTCTTTTTATTTATGATTCTTTGTAACCATTCTCGCTTGAAAAAAAAAATCAAGAGCTCATTTTAAGACGTAATGAACTGTAAACTTGTATGTCCTCAGTTGCTTCTCCGTTTTCATTCTCTCCTTTAAACCTTATTGTTAACGTTTGTCCACCAGGGTGAAGAAGAATCGCCGTTGACGAAGTCAGTACGGTTAACTGCAGCCCTTGTTCTGAGAAACGTGGCACAGTACTCAGCTTTAGCCAGGAGGTAAGTCTTGTTAAGTTCTTGGTATACTGCTCCTCTCCAAATTATAGCTTAAATCACCAGTTTCTCTTTAGGTGTTAGGAGATAGGGTAAGCGAGTGCCTCGGTCAAGAGGAATTTGATATTAAATTAGGCAGCAACAAAAATTGCAACTTGCAATTGACATCCCGCTAATTTTTACATATCGTGCCTTGTCGATAGATGTACAGTAGACTCTTATTATCTGTGTCTGACCTTTTGACTTTCTGTTTTTGTCTGTATGTCTTTTTACGGACGCAAGTAAAGTAAATTATTTTTTTATTACGTTACAGCTTATTAAGACGTCACGAAAGTCGACTGTCACTTATTGCCATGTCCAACTCAGAAGCTGCTAATGCTATTGCGGCCTGTCTCTCTGAATTGTCTCCACATAGAAAGGGTTCGTCAGAAGACTCTGGTGTCTTTTTCTGGGCACCAAGCAGATAATATAAATTTTATCAAAGCAGGGTAATCATTCCGATGACTGCATCTTTTGCTATCAAATCTGACGCTCTTTGAAGACGAAATTACGAGAATCTAACAATAGAAGAAGTACACAGGCTTCTTTGGTAATCTTATTCCTTTGCAGATGGCACAAGTTTTACTGTTTCTTCAGAACTTGTGAGAGCGTTTTTGTTTTTGCTAAGGTTTTACATGCGGCCTCAAGTATTTTTAAGACTTGCAGGCTAGAGATAAGTAAAAAGCGTCTCTGTGCTAGGAACGTACAACGTGACGTTGATAAAGAAATATTTCGTTTGTATAGAGAGAGAACATTATTGGAACAGAAATATTCAAAGTAGCTGTTCATACCTGATTGAGTAATATAATTATTTGTACAGTTCTTTTATGACATTCGCTTCTCCGTTATGTAAGCTCTTCTCCAAAACAAGAAACGCCATGCATTGAAATCAGTGAAGAAAGCAAATTATTGAGCTCGGTAATGTACTTTTTATTCGGAATGTTGGGTTGTTATAATAATAAATATTGAATTATAAACTGAATCTATTTTCATTCACCCAGTTAAATGATGTCCTCTTAAGATGTATTACTGACAGGTCTTTTTCTATGGCATCCTGTTAATGATGCTTACTCTTTTCTTTGTTATCCATCTATGTCTGTAAATAATCATTTTGCATTATTTATACGTGATGATAAGTTGTACATAGCGTACAAGTATACTTCGTTTGGACTGCGAAGACACCGGTAAGCGTTGGATTACTATAGCTTAAAATATTTATAGTACTGGAATCCACTTGGTGTCGGTTTTTTCTACATTGTTCATGACTTTGCAATGGAAAAAAAACTTATCGCTTTCTCTTTGATCAATAAAATTTTTGTATCACCGTATTTTGTGGCCTTTATTGATTATTGAGATCTAATGGAATGAAAACGAACAAACCTAATTTGAGTTGAGCAGGAGAAAATTAGATCTAACATACCGAGCACCCTAAACGGCGTTGTGTGTGGGTAATTGTCTACTTGATGATTGAGACTACCTTGTTTCCAGGCTATTTGTCGGAGCAAATGCTGATCACGGGCGTAAGAAAACACGACAGAAACATGTGAAGCCGAAACTTGAGACCTTCTGTACTGTCGTCCGTGTAACGAACTTTCATACCTCAGTTCCATGCTGCTGACGTCTTACAAACAGGCTGGTCTAAATTTGAAAGTAGTGTTTTGGATGTTAAATTCCCTTATTCAATTCAAACCATGGAGATGAACGTCAACCTTCGGGGATCTACCTTTAATTTAGTTGCAGACTATTATGAATCCTATGCCCCTCCTGTCCCAGGGGTACAACCTCTACCCTTAACTCGACCATCAAGACGACCATCAGACAGAAGAATAGCATGCACTTCTGTGTTTGACTTGCTTGTTGCAAATCGGTTGTACGGTTACTTAATAATAGGCATTCGGTAACGAAGTGGAAAAGACCTACGTGCAAAGCTCTAGAAATGAAGCCAGGAACCGTGAGACGAACATAAGAAGGGGGTTTTCGTGGAACATGGAGCATATTTATTTGATGCAACCTCAAAGAAGATCAACTGCAAGATTCTCTCACGGTCTGTAAAGAATCTATTGTCAAGGCTAAAGTTTTGTTTGACGTGACTGGCCAATTAGTGAGATCACGCGCGCCGTACGTGAATACAAAGGGTTGAAAAGCGGGAAGAGGAAAAGAAAAATGTAATTTGAAATTTAAAACGAAAAGACTTTCTACTTAGTCCAAGAGGGTTTCCACAGATGCGAGACTGTGGCAAGGGTACACTATGTGACAAAAAGACATGAAGTATCAATTTTAGAAAACAAAATGGCGGTCGGTTTTAGCGGAGCTCTTCAATTGACAGATTTGGATGATTTCATTACTCCATCGCAAGTGAGTAGCCATTTGTTTATGAATATATTATAAACTTTGCTATTGACTTATCAAAATACGATTTCATTTTAGGAATGTATAAAGCCGGTAAAAGTAGAGAAAAAGCCAGGGCATGTAAGTGTATGATTAACTCTTCCATTTATTTTTTTATACAATAATTTGATAAAAAAAAATCCCGGGTACAAATTTATTAACCCTCTAACCCCTAAGAGCGGTTGACATCTAATTTCTCCTTACAATGTCCTCCCTGAATGAAACATTTAACTCACGAGAAAAAAGGAAATGATCTCCAACTAAAGAAGCTCTTGATTACTATACAAATCCTCTTTGGTAGCAGCTTAAGAAATGTATAAAGAACAGTATGGAGAATATGCATGATGATGTCAGGGTGTAAGGGGTTAAAAAAAACTCTCAGATCGTGTTAATTTATCCCATGTTAGTAAGACACTCTTAATAATTAAAATTAAGCATTTCATTTGTATCTATTTCTAACTGAGAGAAGAATCTATAGCAGTTAGAAAAAAGTTCAATCAAGTGCAATAGATCAATCAAGTGATTGATCTGCTGCAGTGGTTCAACCAATATGATAATCTATCAGTATCTATAATCTTGTCCATTGATTAACATTTGTTACTTTCCTATGGTCAATCCAGGCCACAATGGCATATTTAAGAGGTTGAGTTTTAAAGTTGGATCAAACTAAAGGATTGAGTTCATTGATTGACCATTATGATTTTTAATAGTTGGCAAAAATCAAGATTGAAGATGATGGAAGTTACATTCAGCTTTCTGAGGTAAATCTAGAATCTGTGTTCCCAAATTTAAGCAGTAAAACTGTTATAGTCTGCATTAAAGCCTATTGGCCCACCCGGCTGGAGCTTATCCCCATTTCCATGTACCATGAAGTTGTCCCCCCCCTGCATTTCATCAGGCTTCCCCGACAACTGGCTTGTACCCATTTACTCTCCTGGGTGGAGAGAGGCACTGTCAGTGAGACTTAAGAGTCTCATCCAAGAACACAACACACTGACCTGGCTCAATCAGTGCACTGACCACTGCATCTCCCATTTATAGATAAGCTAAGTTACTTAGTTCAATATCTTTCCCTTGCTAAGTTGGCAGTGAAGAAAGCTCTCAGTATAGGATATTATGTTAACTTGATATCTTGCTAATGAGAGAGTACTGTTGTTAAACTTTGTCAGGGTGGAGAGAAAACCAAACTCCAACGAGCACAAATAACACTAAATGATTGCCTGGCTTGTAGGTGAGGGATTTTTAATATTTAGGGTCTATAATGAAAACACCATTTTTTTGTTCTTTTTCTGTAATTAATGTGTGCTTCCTTAATATTTTCAATTCACATACCAGATGGATTTAAATTGGCAAAGGAACTTCATGATTGGACATCATCCCTATTTCATCAAATTATTTGTATGGAATAATTACCCAATTCTTTTCTTTTTTTTTTCAAAGCAAAAATGTATATTTTTTCAAAGGTATTCCCCAATTGCTATCTCTAAAAACTGCTTAAGGCTATCCATGATGTACTCAATCAAAGCTCTCTTTTTTAGATATAGTCTCCCTATCATAAAATGAAAAGAGCTATCTGATCTGGATCAAACTTTTGGCCAAAATTATGTTTACTTCTAGCGGCTGTATAACATCAGCAGAAAGTGTTCTCATAACCCAACAGAGTCAGGAAGAGTTGTACAAGATTATAGAAAACAACCAAAAACTTGCCAAGGTATGTGTGTATATAGTACCATAAGCTTGCCCACCAAAATGTAACAGTGACTTAAAATAAAGAATCTGGCCACTTAAAATAGAAGTAAATCAAACATAATAAGAACTGAAAATAATATAATATACATGTACTAGAAACAAAAATTTGCAGTTGAGGTTGAGTAGATATTAATTTCCCTTGTCACCATCAGCCTTAACCCTTTAACTCCCATGAGTGACCAAGACAGAATTTCTTCTTACAATATCAATACAATATCAACCAGATAAGTGATGAGAATAAAGAAAATATCAATTTGGGGATAATAAGTTGATCCAATACTAAATTCTCCAAACTAACATTATAAGAATTGTGTGGTTGACAGTGAGGAGAATGACAAATTTGATCTGGGAGTTAAAGGTTTAACACAGTTTTGTGTAATGAAAAAAGTGGTTTGTGATCTTGAAGTAAGTATAATTGTTCAAACTTTAAAAATTCCTTTTTATTTTTTTTATGTAGGAAGGTAAACCAGATGGGCAAAAACTGATAGTAGTCTCTGTATCTCCTCAATCACGTGCTTCTGTTGCAGCAAAGTTCCGATTAAACATCACCGAGGTAAGATAGCTTAATGTTTCCAAGAAATTCTCTTTATGAGTCAAGATAACGTTTTCTAACCAAGATAAGTCCACAATATTATTCATGTACTCCTGCTTACCAAGCATAATTTACCAGCTATAAAACATAAATAAAGTTTTTCCTTCACTTGTTATTAAGCATGTTACTCTCTGCTTTTAATGCAGTCAAATCAGTATACCTTGTTGCTCTGATATGTCTAAGTTGTCAACTGGTAGTAATTTCTCCTGAAGAATTCCTTCTGTGTTGTGTTTATCAGTATTAGAACTCTCTTTGTAAAATAAATTCCCTTGCTCTTTTTGCAGACAGCTAAAAAGTTAACAGCTTTTCTCAAAAATCTTGGTAAGATGCCATCGAATATCAAATAAATTGTTTATATTAGGTAAATCATATCATGACAGTAGGATTAATTAACTATAGTTACATAAAACATAGTACAAATAAATAGCTGTAGACATAGATATGGTAACATCCAGATTCATTCAATGCATTCTTGAGGTAACATGATTCTTTTATGAAGCTAACTTAGAATTAATGTTAAATGTGCTGTGAACAAACAAACTAAAGAATTCCTTATTGTAATTTCAGGTGTTCATCATGTTTTTGACACTACTTTTTCAAGGGATTTTAGTCTTACAGAGAGGTATTAATAATTATTACAAGTCAGACCTTTTGTATACTTTATTTTAGTTTCTCAATGTGATAGGGGTTGAAAAAAAGTTTGAAGAGATAAACATGATTGGAACCATAAAAGCAGAGAGATTTTTGTGAAACATTACCTGAAAGTTGAAAGAGACTCATATTGTGTATTGTACTTAACACTCACATGCAAGAACCAAAAAATAGAGCCATTTATTTCACATGTATATTAAACTGGCATCGTGACATCTATTTATGAATGATGATTGTGCTTCTGCAAATGGCTTGCTTAGTTTGTTACCTTTTAAACTGTCTGTATTTTGAATTGTATTTGGTCTCGCAGTGATCAAAAAGGGATTCATTATCAATAATGTGTGTTGCAGTTTAGAACAGTTTCAGGTTATATGATGTTAAGGATGTTTTATGACTGTGTTGATGTATTTTGAAAAAAAAGAAACTCCAGATCAAATTGAGCAGGTCCATTTAACATACAACATATACATGTTACATAATAATATGAAACAAAAGTATAACAAGCTGTATTCAACAATTTCTTTTGTAGTCAACAAGAGTTTGTTCAGAGATTAAAGGCACAGCAATCTGGAGAGAAGGAGTCTGTACCCATGTTGGCATCAGCTTGCCCTGGTGAGAATAGTGTTTTCTGACCTCTAGATCTCTACTGTTTAGATCTTAGAAATTTATGTTTTAAGTATTTTCATTGGTTTTTGTTCAATTAATCCCCTTTTTTTTGTTCCAATTATGATTTCTGAGCATTTATTTTGGAGAAGAGAAAAAGTAGTTGTTGTATTTTAGTTTATTTCCAGTGTATTACTTGCAAATTTCATCCCAGTCAAAGCTGCATTTTTTGTTATTCACAATCTTTTTGATCTTGTGAAATGTGCATTCCCATTAGAGTTCCTATCATTATGTAAGATGGAAATTTTGATAATGTGCTAACAAGAAGGTCAGTACACTGTTATTTCCCTTTCAGGCTGGGTGTGTTATGCTGAGAAGACTCATGGTAGCTACATTTTGCCCTTCATCAGGTGTTTGTGGTTTTTTTTTCCTGTTAAGATTGACTGGTTGGGGCTTAGATTCCGAGAGGGATTAGACACAGTCAATTACAGTTTTTAGTAGACTACAAGCAGTCCCTCTTTTTCACTTTAATGATTTAAAAAAAAATCAATAGGATAAAAATTATTTTAGCATGCCACAGTGAACTTGGGTAGAAATGCCTACTTTTTGTGTACCAACTATCAGAGTTCAGCACAGGACGCTAACATCAGTTTTTAACACTCATTTTTGTTTTTAACTTGCATGACAGACTCTTTATCCTGTTAGGAGTGTACTTATTGCAGTAACTAGCAAAATATACCAGAGTATCTCTGTATCTAATCTTAGATTCTACCTCTGATCTCTTTTGAAGCACAACAAAATCTCCGCAGCAGATCATGGGTTCTCTAATCAAGGATCACTATGGAAAATCAATGGGGAAAAAGTATGATTTTGCATTAACCCTTCACACTCAAACATTCATATTGCACTGTTCTCTCAACAGTTCCTATGCTACTGACAGGAAGAATTTCTTTGACGATCAGGAGCTTCTTAAATTGGTGATCAGTTCCTGTTTCCTTGTGACCTTTACATTTGATTCAAGGGTGTTACTGTTTGGAGAAATATTGGAAGCCAGTCACTCAAAACAAATTCTGTTGTTTGATCAAGTGCACTTTCAAACAATATATACCAACCATTTAGTTTGTGCAGGTCACCTGTTCCTGGGACACTGCAAAATTTTAATATTTTTCCTTATTTTTCTGAACAGACCAGATGATATCTATCATGTGACCATAATGCCATGTTTTGACAAAAAGCTTGAAGCTTCCAGAGAAGACTTTTATAATGATATATATAGAACAAGAGATGTGGATTGTGTTATTTCAACAAGTATGCTCCTCTATTTTGTTTTAATGAGCAAAAGAGCTGCAGCTTTGTAATTGGTTAAGTGGTTGTTGTAAGGGTTTCTAGTACTAAGTTAATGACAGCGGGTCAGAAAGATTGATGGGTTGGAAAAACCTGTAATCAGGCATTTCGTGTTAGAAAGAGGAAAAAGTGATAGCAGATGGTTGAAGGGGTAGACAGCATCCCACCCGCCCTCCCTCTCCGCCGTTCCATTGGCTGCCTTCTGCATGCCGCTTGCCGCCTACAACTAGCTATCATTCCGTGTTTTGGGTATGAAGGACAAATCAAGTTTAAAAAATCAAAGGAACTTTTCATGATAGTTTAGGTACTGAGTGGTCAGTGATACTTAAGGAGAGGAACTGTTTGCCTTAATTGATGTACAATTAACATTTTGTGTGTTTTATTAAAATACAGCAACTCGTGAAATTTTACGTTTAGTTTCACGTGGAAAACCGATATTGCCCAAATCGCCAAGCTAGAAGCGCGATATTGTAATTCCAAGTGAAATTAAACGCTGTCTTCTAAAAAGCTTTTAGATAAGTAATTTTTTGTTTTAGATTAAAGTTCTTTGTCTCGGACAGTGGTTGTTTGACTTATTTTTTTTTCCCTTTGCTTAGTTGAACTGGAGAAAATGTTTGAGGAAAAGAATGTGAACTTTGCTGAGCTGGAGAATGCTGAACTGGACTCGTTGTAAGTTATCGCACTTTTAGGATATGCCATGTTTGCGTTTTTAAGAAAATTTTGTCAAGGGTAACCGAGTTGTTCTTATGGATGTTTCAGGTTTTCAAGCATTGATCAAGAAGAACTTGTAGGCCATTCTGGAGGTGGCTCGGTAAGATGCTTACCAGCGTCTTTTTTATGTATTTAATTTCTGTATTGCATGGATCAATGTCTTCTGAATTAGAATGAAAAAAAACTTTTTCTCAAATCAGGTTTGTTTGTATGGTAACTTCACTTCTGAGTCACATCCGACGAGACATTAACAAACGATCCCGTTTTGATTAAAAGGCCTATTCCCATTTCTAGTCTTAATTTAATTTTTTCTTAATTTGCGGAAGTAAATGATGTTTGATTATCATATTTCAGGGTGGCTTTCTGGAGCACATATTTATTTACGCTGCTAAGGAGGCAAGTTTCAGATAACAATTTGCAAGGATACTAATTAAAAGACATTTTGCTGCAGATATTCTTTTTTTATCTCTATCAAAAGTTTTCTGTGATATTTAAGCAAATTCAAAGAAGACTTGTGGCCCTCCACACTAACAAACTCATTCTATGCTAGTAAACTTCCCTCAACTGGAAAAAGCACGATTGAATGTGACCTGTGCAATTTGACTCAATAATTGATAGTTCATGTTTGTTTAACGACTGATATTTGTAATTCGCGTTCACACGTGTTATTTTTCTCAGTTGTATGGCCAGACTGTTGAAAACATAACCTACAAGACTCTAAGGAACAGGGACTTTAAGGAGGTAACCTTGCAGGTAATGGCAGCATACGTTCGTTATTACTTTAGCTCAATTAGCCGTTTGGCGAATGATCCATGTACCTTTCTTTTTCAACATCTTCTTTGTGCAAGGTGCTTGACGTGATTCTACTCATTGACATTAGTGACCAGTTTTAATTTATCGCCTGGGAAAGGATTCCCTTTTCTTTTTTTTTCTTTTTTTTTTGGGGGGGAATACTCTGTAGTATTCAATAGAAGGGGGGATTAAGTAAAATTACATGACAAAATCCTCCAACACCCCCCTCCCTGTGATAAATAATGAGCGGTCCCTTAGGGTAACTGAATGCTGTTGGCCCAGCCTTAAATTTCATATCCAGCCATGATCTCATTTCTTATGTTGTATTGATTGCCTCTGCGGGCGAGGTCACGAACTCCAAGTTTTTTCTTCAGGTCGATGGTAAAGAAGTCCTCAAATTTGCAGCAGCTTACGGTTTTCGAAATATCCAGGTTAGCTTATACAAATTGCTCAGTTGTTACTGGAATTTATATATTATACTTATAAAAATGTTTGTGAATGATTGTAGAATCTTGTACAGAAAATAAAGCGGGGAAAGTCTCCATATCATTTTGTGGAAGTCATGGCATGCCCGGCGGGTGAGTCTCTTTATACAATTGTATTATTTCGTTGTTTCTGCGGTTTTATGTTTATGGAGAGGCAGCAGGCCAATAAACACTGCACTCCGAGGTCTGGGTTCAAGTATAAACCAGATTGCCTCTATCCTCCCCGGCCAGCAGTATAAATGACAACCATCAAACTGTCGGAGAAAGCTGAAGAAATGTGGGGGGAGGGGAGGGGGGAGGTAATCTGCGTTGGACTGGCATCACCCCTGCATCTCTCTGTGGAAACCATTATTCCTGTTTGTTGAACTGTGGGGTCAGTTTGAATATCCGTGATTAACATGAGTGGGATAAATTGTTGATTTTTCCTGGTTAAGGCAAGAAGCGTGAAAATGAGAAACACAGTCGTGTTTGTTGGAAAGCAGTCAAAGTGGACGTCAGCTTCGATTTTAAATTCCTTTAGAAGTAATTTGGATGTGGCAAACATTTCAAGGTCCCAAATTAAGCATCTTGCCCTTTTTCGAAAGATCTGTGATGATTTTCTTGAGTTTGTGTTCGTTTGTCGTTCCCAGGCTGTCTCAACGGAGGTGGCCAGATAAGGCCAGGGGATGGAGAAACGTCAAAAGAGCTAATAAGTAGACTGGAGGAACTCTACAATTCATTGAGGTAACCTCCATTACCTTTCTTAGCAGCATGTTGCTGTCGTTTTCCATCGTGTTTCTTCGGGCAGCCTCTTACTTGAAAAACGATGGCTCGTTCAACCAGAAGGCATTCCATCTTTGTGATGCATCCTTTCCGAAGTACTACTAAACTTAAGTTCGTTAAAACAATTTTTGAAGAGAAAAACAACTGTTGTTTGTATGGTAACTGCGTTCAAGGGATGTTACCTCTGGATCTTATTGAAACTGTGTATACTATTTTGTTTTGGCCAGATCAAGAAAGCCGAGTGAAAATCCAGCGGTAGAAGATTTGTACAGGTGAGATGGATCACTAAATGTTTTGACTGTGTATGTTTAGATTTGGCAACTACGCGAACGGGAGACGTTACGGCTTAGTGTTTACCCGCTGGAAGTCTAGAGACGTGCTCTGGCAAGATCACAGTAAGGTGTTAACCAAGGGTAATGTAGATGAAATGGCATGCAATTAGTGATACCGGCTAACGGCATTTGGACGGGGCGCATCAGAAAGGTTACCTCAGACAGACGAGTAGTATTTACAATGAGAGGACTTAGAATTATAGATACTATTATATGCAGCTGATAATACAACGATCCGGGTAAACAGAGAATATTGAGTCCTAATTCCTCAACATGACCTTACCTGACTGATGAAAACTCCCAGTCTAGTTAAGACAAAGAATATGATATTGTGATGTGATCTTTTTATAGTTGTTGTTTGTTCGATATTTTAGAGAGTGGCTCGGTGGACAATCTTCACAAAAGGTGTGAAAACATTTTTTTTTCTTATAATATTTACATGTTTGTATATCAAGGATAAGCTAACGAACCTAGAGCCTCAAAAGTTTCTGTAGAGCTAGGACAACACGTGAGGATACGTTTTGTCAAACAAGGCCAAATACGTAACAGAATCAAATCAGAGCTGTTGTTGTTTTAAAATGTCGGAGCGAACGTCAAAGAACGGAAGGGGTGAAACTGGCTAACTTGTTAGCCTTCAACTGGAATCTTGACTGGTTTCCATTTATTTCTGTTGCTTTTTTATTCTTTGAATTGGAGAGAAATATTAAAATTATATGTAGGTGTACTACACATTGACTGTTCAATCAAAGCTTAAGAGGCAAGTGATTGTTTAAATTTTATTCTGCACAACATTGCAAGCTGGCGGGGGTACTTGCCTCATGAACACCACTTACTCAACTTGTTCGCCTCAAATTTCGGTGTTGCAAGCTGATGAAAGACATTGCAAAAAGTTGAACAGTTAAGTGTTTTTAACACAACATGTTGCCTCAACTTGTTGTTATTCACCCCAGGTAAAAGAGATGCTTCACACCAATTATCACGAGGTGGAAAAACTGAGCACAGCACTGAATATAAAGTGGTGATGCATTATCGCAAAATGTCACCCAGTCAGCATATCCCGTGGAATCATGCGGAGCCAATCACGATCGAGATTTTTGCTTTGTCCAATTAAAAGAACAACAACCGTTGACTCAACTCCGACATCAGGCTGATGTCAGAGTTGCTATGCTGTTTAGCCTCAGGAGGCTCGATAAAAAAAATGATAGAGTGAAATGGTGATTGATAATGACGTCATGCCATCCAAGATTGTCAAATTCTATGACAGTGAGAACCAAAACTTTTAATTGATTTCTTTTGAGACTTTTTCTCGGAGCGAAGTATCGTTTGCAAAATCTATTTCTTATAATAATAGTCAAGTCGCAGCAGTGTATTTTTCATAGGGGGGACTATTTAAATGAGTGGGAATACTCTAAATTTAAAAATATTTTTTCAAGAGAAAATGTATAAGAATATCAGAATAACGCGCATGGTTTATCTCACGATTGCGAAGGACTCATTTGAAATTTGTAAGTGTTTATTTCGAATGTGTTTATATTTAAAGTTCTCAGACTCAACATATCTCGTGGAACCTCATTCTACGTCTTCTATTCTAATGCAAAACATTTCGCTTACTTTAAATAAAGATCTTACAACTGCTCCTATTATACTGTGTCTACTTTTTACTTTTTGTATTTAATTAATACACATATCCTCTTCTAATTTAATTTTAACTTTTTTTTAATCCTGGGAAAGAAAACTCGTACTTGCCCTTGCTATACAGGGAAAAGAAACTTGTAAAAAAAGGAGAATTTTTTACATGTTTCAACTCCCTGTACTGTACCTAAAGTTATCCAGGCCCTTTTTCAACATCCCCAAATTAGCAAAACTTAAGAAGGATGGGCTTACATGTACTCAGGCAGATAAATTAATAGTCATTTGTCGATGAAACTGTCCGTTGATTGATTCATTTTCTCATGTGGGGCAGATTAGAGAACTGGGTTCCACCCCTAATTCCTTTGCCATCCAAACGCACTCGGCCGCACAACAACCGCGACGGACTGGGAATAAAAGAATTGAGGTGTACTTTAATATAGACCAAAGCAAAATGAAAGGCAGATGTATAATAACAATTCAATCCAAACTACACACAGCCTACCTCTTGTTTGGGAGGAGCACTGTAACTTGGATGTGTCGACACCAAATTGAGCCATCTGTCGTATCACGTTAGGTCCACAACTGACAGCTAGAACAAATACATACAGGAAGTCTAATCTGCTCATCTAAACCAAACTCAGTCGTTCCAGATCATTTTCTCTTCACGTTGAAATTCCGAAGAAGGATTTTTGATAGGCACCGCTGAAGCAAAGTTATCAGGGAGTGTATGATCTACGAGTTTTAATCTGCCCTTAAACCCATAGTAGTCGTTATGGCCGGGGGAAAGATTTTTAAGTTTGGACCCTCGAACTAAACTTGTCATACTGTCAAGCCGGGTTTGTCTCATCGACTCAGTTTTTGTGTTCTTCTTTATCTGTTAGCTCGTAAAAATTTCGCATGCTATACTCAGCAGGCCCTTACCATGGCTCAGTATCTCTCTTTAAAAATCTATGGAGTGTAAGGTTTTTTTAATTGTTATTATTATTATTATTATTATTACTATTATTATTATCATTATTATCATTATTATTATTATTATTATGATTATTGAAATTTCACATAAATCACTAGCCAGAATCACAAGCCGAGTGAAGACAGTCAAATTAGTCTTGGTACGCTTTTTTTCAAGTGGAAATCAATGACTCACTCGTCACTCGACCGCATTTCTTAACCTGACTTCGAGGTAAGGAAAATTTATTACAAACGGTATTTAATTTTAGACCAATTTTCTATTGAGCGTCGAAAGGTAATCTGGGATTGCTGTACTGCGTTCGGCGACAAGATAACAATAGGCGCCCACACCACCTTGTCAGTTAACCAAACAGATGCAAAACTAAAAACATTTGCGATTTTCCCTTTCCATGAAATGTTTTAATTGGCTCTTCAAATTACTTTGGTTTTGGTTTTACGAAGCCAATTTGGCGTTACTCACCATCTTTCCGTCGCATCTCTAGCTTCTCCCAGACAGGAACAGCCTCTGAAAGTAGGGAATGATATTTGTTTTTTAATAAATTGCTCAGAGAAACTGCTTAGTAGCATTGCTGTTGTTGTTATGTAGATTATTTTCGAACTGTGGTAAGATTGTTCCAACTCGGGTCTCATTAATCTCGTAAACCATAAACGCATCTTTAACTTTGTTATGTTATTACAACTTGAAATTACCCGAAGCTCTATAATTGGGGTGAAACTGCGATTCTTTGTTCGAGTCAAATTTTTAAACTAACTCGTCTGCACGAAAAATTTGGCATGCGAAGTTAAGCAGGTGTGATAACACTATGTATGGAGCAGAAGTCGGTTCAGTTCCTGAGATGATAAGCGATCAGCTAAAATCCTGTGACGCAGGCTTTTGAAATACATCACTGTGCTTATATGAGCTATACAATATGAAAAATGTTCACATCCGTACTCAGCTCTTTCTCGAGAATCCCGCTCGTGATCAACCGTGTCATTCAGAAAGACTGGGCTAGGCTGTTACAGTAAACCGCAGACCATACACCGTCTTCACTAGAACGGGTCACTACTTTCACTACAGTGCATGTCTTGCTGTGCTCCTGAATTCTAGTTGGAACGTTCGTTTGTCAATTAATTATGAACCGAATTTTGCTTGTAATTGATTGTTATCATAAAGAATAGTATTCTGCAATTTTCCAATCGACCTGCCACGCATTCTTTATCAATAAAATTATCAAACATATATTTCGTCGAGATAAATGTTTAACAAACATTCATGCTTCACCAATAAGTTTCTTTTTCTAAATTAGTTATGGAATGATCGTGGTTAGTTGTCTCACTCTTTTCCACTCCTACAATGTATCTAAATAACAAACTTCCACTTCAAAACGCAATCAAATAGAATTCAATTTCCTCTTCGAAGTAAACTCAAAAACTTAAAAGTTAACACTTGCTCGATGTTTGTTCATATTTTTTAAACAGTTTTTCTTAGTAATTAGCCAAAACTGTATGATTCTTGTGTCTGATTTTCAAGCAATTTGCTTAATTGCTTTGATAAGCAATCATTAATTATTCAAGATGGAGTTGAAAAAACTTGAAACATTTGTTTGCGGCATACTTTCAGCTGATCGAGGCTAGAATCCTTTGAACAACATACTGGCGAAGAAAGACTTATTCCAATGTTTGAGGAAAAATTAACGAAAGGATTTTTTGTTTGATTCGTTGAAATTTTTCACTAATTATGGTCTGTTCATAGACCCCCTTCCCCCTTCCGCCTCCACGTTTCTGAGGATGTAGCCCAATTGGACAGCATAATATGGGAAAGAGAAACGTTAAGAAAATGCAGATGACTTTTATGTGTTTCGTTGTGTTGTCCGGTTCGAATGAGTTTGCGAGGACCTATGATGGGTTAATAATTCCAAACATACATATGAATTATACATAGTCTTCAAACGGGAATCTTCACCCGAAACTGATTTTTCAAGCGTCTTTCTTATCTTTCAAGCCGACAAGAAATGAACTATTGCAAAAAAAAGATACCTACTAGCGATAATGCAGAGTTCTTGACAGTTTCCTAGGTTCGTTTTCATTTCTATTTTCATGGAAAATTCATGATTATTTTCTAGTCCTTTTATTAAGTCTACTCAGTCCATAAATAAAATGTTCCGAATTGATTTATCTGATAGATATCATGATTACGAAAACGCCTCGAAACAAGCGGTCGCTCGAAGGCAATTCGGCATGAGGGGACAGAGAGTTACATATGATTTCATAAATCAGAAGGGACTCATCAGCGTGGCGCAAGAAACTAAAAATTGGAAACACAACCTTAAATTTACTTTAGGAAACAGCACGTCAACACGAACTCGCAGCGTGTGATCGCAAAAAGTGATCTGCGTTGCGCTTCGTTACGTTTTGTGATCGTGAGTTTCCTCTATCGTCATGAACATTTTTTGTTGAAGCGATTCATCTTATGTTTTGAGTGAATCGATAAAATAAAAGAAATTTTCCTAATCGGAGCCACCTAGGTTATTTTAGCCTTTTCCTGATTATGAAAGATAAATTGTATCGTTATTTTAAGTAAGGAGAGCAAATAAAGGATAAACTGAATCCATACTCACGGCAAATCGAGCTCAAGATTAACATTACGACGAGTCCTCTGAGCACCATATCTATTCAGTTTCTGATACAAAGCAAGGAAAGTTTCTCTGGCACAGATCCGATTTCAAGAATCCCAATTGGTGACCGCCTTAGACGCTGGTTCTTTTTGGTTAAATTAAGCTTCATTTTATACTTTTCCGGAGATTTCAGTGACACCTGCGTATCTTGGTCGATAAGATGTCATTCATAACACGTCTAATTAGGTATCCGTTACATTAACGCATTTAGCCCGCCACAAAAGATACTTTTCAGTCAATTTCCACAAGTTACACTATCTTAAAAGCCTGTAGAATTTGCAAAATAAACTAGTTTGGTGTCATCTGTTATTGCTCGTCCCGGCGTGGCATTTCTTTAATTGCCTTTTATTTGACGTAGGCGGAATTGTGTTCTATGAGAAGGTAATCCTCAGATTATTCATCTCTTGCCTGCTAATAAAATCCCTCAGCGCTTTGGAACAATTTCTCATAAAAAAGATCAACATATTTTGACGTGACCGTCAATGATTGCAATATCAGCCATTGAATGACGCAAACAAAAATTGTGACATCTAAATATTTTTTCAAAACATGGGCAGTTTTTTTTTGTCTTCATTTTTTCTTTTGCGTTTCCTCTATGGCTTCACCGACACTGAAATTTAACCATGTAGGCACTTATGCTTCATGAGTGCGGTTTTAAGGGTTTTTTATGTTAATGCAGGCGAGCCATACAAAGACAGGAAATGTGGGTAACCTAGGCTGTTAGAGGTCTCGAGTATCACTTCCAATTACAATGAATGCTTCACAGTATATTTATGTCATCGCGTTATCAAGCTAAACATCTTTTCTAGGGGGAAAACGTAAGAATCGGATAAAATTAAAAGATTAACTGCCGTCCAAAAACATGTGTTGCCTTTACAGAACAGTTCGAAATCACTAAGTGTCAAAGAGAAAGGGAAATTGAAACTCGTTCTCGATCTTTCAATTAATCAGGCATAATGAAATTTTCTTTAGAATTTATTTTCTCTTATCCGCCTCCGGTTCTCGTTCGAAACAGAACTCCCGCTAGTCAGAGTCTGCGGTTCATTAAGGAAAATGTTTTTTTCAGATCATATCTTACTCTTAGCGAGGGATCAATTTCCTCCCAATTTACAGGCGAAAACAGATTAACCGAATTGAGTTTTCCACAATATTTTAATCCATAGGCCTTATAAGATCTGATTCTGAGAACAAATATACTTTTCTTTAATCATTATTGATGGGTTTGACGCATTCACACTCACTTGCATTTGGAACTGACTTTTCTAAAGGAAAATATCATTTCTTAAGAGTCTTTTTGACAATTTTTTTTTACCAATGTGACCTTGCTGGACATTATTATCATTTAATCAAGATAAAGGAACTGAAACCCTT